AGTCAGTAAAAAATATTTAAAGGGTTTTCTAAGGTCATATATTTAAAAAAATTTTTTTAGTTGCCAATGGACCTTTATTTTATTATTGATATGAACCCGGTGCCTCACTCATGCTAGGCAAGTGCTCTGCCACTGAGCCACCACCCCAGACCCCTAAGGTCATATTTTAATGCACTGATATGAAACAAAGTCTAAAACATTGATATTTTCTATTAAGGTAATTTCTTGTGTCTGTTAGGTTTTATTACTTAGGGAAACTAAATTTTAAAGGAATTAGGATTTGTACCATTTAAAAAGTCTTTTAAATGATTGCTTTATAACTGAGTAAACAACTGCTATTTTAGGTTATTACAGTCTATTTTACACCCTAAATATATGTGACTAGAGGTACAGCTAAGAGCTTAGAGGAACACTTTTCCAAACTGGTGTTCTCCAAACCAAAGTTGTCAGTAGTAGTAGTCTTTTTTAGACTTATAAAAAAAGATAGAAAATTTAATTGGGGATTTATTTATGTTATTTAATGTTTTGTAACTAGATAAAGGTAACCTGTTATCAATAAGTTATATATAGAATTTTGGGTTACTTTTTACTCTGGGATAGAAATTTAAATGTATTTTTGGAAGACAATAAGGAGAGCCTAATTTGTTTAAAGGCTGACAATATGAAACATGGAAGCATTCTGCCACTTTTTTCCATAAAAAGAAAGGAGCTCTCTTACCTTCTGTTTTGATTCACATTTCAGATATAATGTTATATGTGTTAATGATATTCATATGGACTCAGTAAACTATACAAGTACTTTGTAAAATGATATTTAAGAAAGAGGCAAAGACCAACTTCAGAAATAAATCACTTTACCTAAGATTTGTTAAGAGCCCCACCTCACCTGAGATAAGGCTCTGCCTCTCACCCTACTTCATGTTAGATGTCTCCAAAGAAGGGTAGACTTAAGCTCATTTTAAGTTATGTTCAAAAGATGATTTTTATTGCAAAGATTACTGCAATCTCCAAAATAAACAAGGGATATACTATAAAACTAAGTAACAGTTTGAGCAAATTATAAAACATATGTAAGTTTGTCAGACAGTTTTTTTAAACGTAAAATTTGTAAAGGATTTTATACGTGATTGAGTTGATAAATGTATGTGTCTTTGTGGAGGCAAAATAGATACCAAAGTGTTATTATAGAAGTTATATTTCTTGCTTCAAAGCTATTATACAAACTGAATATGTTTTTGATCTTGTTATTATTTTTTATTTTCCTTATATAACTTTATAACTTTTTCCCATTAGTATTTTAAAGAAGTACTCTTTCTAACAAAACAACCTGACGTAATTTGAGATAATAAGCTATCACCTACAGGACAGAATTGGATATAAGGCAGACTTCTATAATACAAACCCCAGTTAAACGGAAGTGTTAACTATAAAATTATAGATCTTAGTTACTGGTGAAACTGGCCTGCTGGATATTTAAAACCAAAACTTGGAAAGCAGAGTCAAGGAAGTAAAAGGGCGAAGGAAAAACCAGTCAATATTTTGGCCCTTGCCCTCTAAGTTCAGCCAGGACCCAAGGGGTCAGCCTGACCCCTCTAAGGAGCCAACTCTGATGAGTCAACTGAACCTCCTGATCAGGGGGAACAACAGGACCCTAGAGAACAGGAAGCCAATCAGTGCACATCTGCAAAGAGGGGGTTCATTGGACAGGGAAATGTCCCATGTGCTTCCAAGGGAAGCCACATGTGGGTCGCAAGACCCTGACCACTCCTGGTAGATGGCACAACTAGTAGAGGAAAGCTAAAGGAGCCAAGAGGCTTCTCACACATTCCCAAGAATAGATAAGAACAGGATCAATTTTGACCAACTTGTTTTTTTTTTTTTTTTTTGGTACCAGGGATTAACCACTGAGCCACATTCTCAGCCCTTTTTTTATATTTTATTTAGAGACAAGATTTCACTAAGTTGCTTAGGGCCTCACTAATTTGTTGAGGCTGGCTTTGAACTCATGATCCTCCTGCTTCAGCTTCCCAAGTGGCTGGGATTACAGGCATGCACCACCATGCCCAGTCATACATGGGAGTTTAAGAGAAAAGACAATTTTTTAAAATGAAAATAGAGATGTATGTTTGTGTCAGTTCTCCCAAAAGGAAGTAAACTGGGAGATTATAAAGAAAGGGTTTTTATACAGGAGTGCCTGATAAATCTCACAAGAAGCTCTGTCAGAGTCACAAGTTTGTTCTGAGTCTATTTAATACCCTATAAGTCTTCCTAACATCCTTACATAAGTGGACTTCTTTTATTCCCCCCGTCCCTTTCTGGTATGATTATCTAGCCCTGATATTTATCATGAGCTGGTTTATGGCTCCCTTATTTGGAAAAAAACTACAGATTTCCCTACCATGGAAACTAAAGGTCAGTTTCTAAGAACATATATCCTGGCCATATTCTCCACTTTATCATCCCTCAGGTTAAAGAGACTCTGCCCAGACTCCTCCTCTGAAGTTCACAGTTCCTCATGTATAGTCTAGTGTCTTGGTTTTAATCAAGACTTAGAGAGAAGACATGCTTCTGCCAAGCTGGAAGGGAACTGACCAAGTGCTCCTGCCTGGGATGGCTGTCTGAACTGCTAAAAAGTCCACTCATTACCATGGGTGGTTTCCACCTCAAACAGTGAATATGGGTAGGACTGGTGACAGTACCAAAGGGCACAAGAACAAAATGAAAATGAGACCAAAGGATATAAAAAGAGAAATAGGGGATCTGAGAAATAAAAAGTCCAGTGGTCCATTTTTCAGAATACAATATATTTTACATGTAAAATGACTTAGGATGTCAGTGTAACAGGGATTCACTTGATGCTTTGACTATATTCTTTGTGGCTTTGAAACTTATTTTTTTTCTTTTTCCCAATCTTCTTTTCCCTGAACTTCTCCCTAATTTCATTTTCTCTGAATCACCTCTATAAAAGCCCCCTGTGAATGGGCAGAAATCATAGTCTTTGGGACAGGAGTCCCTGTGTTTCTCCTTTGCTAGCAAAGCAACAAACCTTCTTTTCCTTTTTTCTCAAAACTGTGTCCTTATTATTGGTTTGGCATCAGGGACAAGGACCGAGCTTTCAGCAACATAAGAAAGATGGCTGGCAAAGCCTGTCTCTAAATAAAATATAAAACAGGGCTGGGGATGTGGCTCAGTGGTCTAGTGCCTCTGAGTTCAATCCCTGGTATGCCCCCCCCCCCAAAAAAAAAGACAGCTGGAGGAGAATGTAGAATGAAAAGTTAAAGCAGTTAACACTGGAGTGTAAAAATTCACAAAGAGTAGGTGAGAAGGAAGGGGCCTGCCTGACCAACAGAGATAAAGTATGTATGTGCCAAAAGGCACTCAATCCAAGGGTATTGAGAATGAAGGGAGGTGGGGACAACTCAAAATATATTTCTTTAAATAACCCAAAAGGAGACAGTAAAACCTAGGTGACAACTGGAAAGATTGTGTACACTATAGTACTCAACCAAGGAAGACCTGGGGGAGGGACCATGCACTGTAGGGTATAAAACACTAGTTGCACCCACTCTGGGGCTGTCTGACACCAGGCACCTGATCTTGCAAGACCTTCATTAAAGTAGAGCCTTGCTTTTTGCTGTTGCTTGTGCCTCTTTGTCCAGTCTTTGGGCTTGGATAGGCAAGGTTGTTTCTCACATATGTTGAACAAAGAATTGGGCAAGAGGCAGGGGAGAAGCAGCCAGAGGAGGTTTATTAAAAGCAAAAGTTCACTCCCTAAAGCAGAGTGGGCTTCAGGGAGAGCATGGCTCAAGCAAGCCCTAGTGTCTGAGCCAGTCTTGTCCTGTGTTGGTCTGCTGCCTCCCTGCAGGCCTGAGACCCTAGTTTGTTTGTACCTTTTGGTGACTTTATTTTCATCTAATTAGAATATATAACAGTGGCAGTGTTGCTGAAAGCTTGGTCCTTGTCCCTGATGCCAATCCAATAACAAGGACACACTTTTGAGAAAAAAAAAAAAAGGTTTATTGCTTTGCTAGCAAAGAAAGAACACAAGGACGTCTGTCCCAGAGGTTAAGATTCTGTCCCTCAGCAGGAACAGGTGACTCAAAGGCTACAGTCCATGTGTTCTCTGTCTGGAGTTGTAATCCACTTGTTAATTTGGAAGATAGCCTTTTCTGAGATCTTCTGGTACCACCCGCAAAGTCTGGATTACTTTGTTCCTATGGCAGGTGTGTACTCAGGCCAGATAACTCCGCCTAGGATGGGGAAGAAAGGCGATCCTGTTTCCCCTGAGATTAGGGAGGGGGAAGGGAAGAGGAGGAGACAGAAACATGGCCATTTCAAAAATAAGCTGCAGTGGCAGAGCAGCGAGGGTTGTATTCAAAACATAAAGTGGGCCACTGTCACAGCAGGAGTTGCCCTGGTAATGGGACAAATCCGGAAGAGGAAAACAGCAATCCAGGGGTCCCACTGCAGACTCCTCTCCTGGTCCTGTGCTCCGGGTGGCATTTTTCTTGTATCCTGCCTGTCACACGGATACAAGATAAACTTCTAGCCCAGAGAGCGGGAACCTCGCCCGACGCAAGCTGTGAAGATGCCTCCAAAGGACTCCCTACTTCATTGTAACCACTTTCTTCGAAAAGCGCAGGGTCTCCGCAGGACCACTAGGTTCACGTGGGACGCTAAGGCGAAGCACGGACGTTGTCACTGATGTCTCCACCGGAGAAACTGCCCGGACGCCCCGCGCTTGCCTCACATCCCCGTTCCTGCGCCTAAGGCATCTCGGGCGGGCGCCCTGCAGACCAGGAGGCCAGGGACGCCACGGCGGTGCGGGCGGGCGCTGGAGGCTCCGCACCCGGACTCTGCACCGGCTCGGCACCCGGCAGCGCAGGCCCGCAGGACGCGGGGCGGGGCCAGGCAGGGGCGGCTCCCTTAGGTCGTCCTCGGCCCGCCCACTTCCGGCGCGCCCCCGGCGGCCGACGCGCCCCGCCCACCCGCGCCCGGAGACGTCACCGGCGCGCCGCCCCGCCCACCTCCCCGGCCTCCTCAGCCCGCAGCGCAGCTCCGCGGACCCTTGCCCGCCGCCAAAATGTGAGTGACGCTCCGCGATGCCGGCGGCTTCGGGCCCCGCAGGCGGCGACCGGCGCCAGGGCCCCCCGCACCGCCCGGAGGTGGCCGTCCGCCGCTCGGACGCGGGCCGAGGCCGGGCGGGCTTCCGCGGCACGCCCGGGGCCTGGGGTGGGCGGCGGCCCCGGGGCCGGCCGCAGACGGGTCGGGATGTCCAGTGGCGCCGCCGGTCCCCCGGGGCGCCCCGCGGCTGTCGGGCGGGGCGGCCGCGCTTCCCGGAGGAAGCGGCGGCCCCGCCCGCACCCTGGCTCCTTCCCCGAGGTCCGCAGGAGGCCGGCGACGACTGCGCTCGCCCGGGAGCTCCCCGCCCGGCCGCCGCTGGGCTGCGGAAGTGCAAGCGAAAGGACTTGGGCCCCGTCGTGAGGCCGCTGCGGCCAGAGCAGACTAGCAGCTCGTGAGGGCCCGGGAGCCCCGGGAGCTGCCGCGCTGGAGAGACTACGGGACCGCGGGCCTTCGCCCTGGGCTTGAGCAAAAGCCGCCTTGCACTGGCCCCTAAATAGTCGGTGTTTCCCCTGGGAACGTTCAGAGAGTCACGAGGACCTAGTATTTCCCTCCAGCCTGCCCAGTGGTCACCTACAGAGGAAGCCCAAGCGCAGCACTTGGAGTGTACCTGTCCAGGTTGCTATGCCAGAAAAGGGGTCACGGTGTTGGAGAGCTACCTCTGAGGAATTAGGACCTGGCTCTCTGCAGCCAGCTGTGTTGACTTCCAAACCTCACTCCTCTCATCTGTAAAATGGGGGTAACAGAGTATCTCCTTGAGAGTTATGAGGATCAAGGAGGAAGTACCTGGACAGGGCTTACGCAGCTCCCGAGTCCAGTCTTTATCTATTACCACACCCTAAACTCTTTGAGGGCAGCACTCAGATCTGCTGTGTCCCCTGGTCCCTGGTTATTGACACAATGTAGATTGGAAATAACTGTTGAATCAGTGAATCCTTGATTGTTGTGTAGCAAGGCCCGTGCTAGGTACTGTCTTGGACACAGAGAAGAGAATTCTGAGACCAGGAACCTGGGCTCTATTAGGGTAGGCAAGACTTTATATATATTTAAAAATCATGTATATACAGAGCAATCAAAGTGATGCCAGCCAAGTAATGGAGGCAATAAGGACTTCAAAGCTGGAGTGATTATAAAGATCTGCATGGGGAATAATGAAACATTTGATGAAGATTGTAAGAAAAAAAAAATAATGAGTACCTTTTTAAGAGAGCATAGCTTCAATTCATCCATTCACACCACCCCATCTCTATCTCAGTGTTCCTGATCTTGTTTCTGTAAATGGTTCTATTTTTTCATAATGAAAAAGGGCCATTCTGTAATTGTTCATAACTATAAGTTAGTTTTTTTCCTATTTTTTAAAATTTATGAGTGTCTTTGCTACAGTAAAAAGATCTGGAGAATATTGAGTGGATTTAAGCAGATATGTGCTTTAAAACAAGTAAAAAATAATTAGAGCCAGGCTCAGTGGCACACATCTGTAATTCCAGCAGCTCCAGAGACTGAGGCAGGCGGATCTAGAGTCCAAAGCCAGCCTCAGCAAAAGCCAGATGCTAAGCATTTCAGTGAGACCCTGTCTCTAAATAAAATACAAAATAGGGCTGGCGATGTGGCTCAGTGGTTGAGTGCCCCTGAGTTCAATCCCCAGTACCAAAATAAGTAAATAAATCAATTAGGAAAAAAAGTGTACCTATCTTGGGATCAGGCACTTCAGTGACACAAAGAAGATACTATTAAACTTTCATTTTAGACCCTGGTCACTTTATAATGTGGGACAATCTTGGGAATTAAGAAGGATATTAAGAATCCTTGTTCATTATTGCAGTACAAGTTTATTTTTGTTTTTGTTTCTTATTTTGCTTTAGTTCTGAATCTGGACTGGAGTCTTTGTGTTTACAGAAGAGTCTGTGGAATCATAATGTGTATGTGCTTGCTTCTTTGTACATTTCAGGTCTGCAGGTGTGCCTGCAGGTTCCAGTGCTGCCACTGGCAGTAATCGGAGAATTCAGCAGACACAAAATCAAGTAGATGAGGTATTGCTCTAAAATCCTAAAACATGAATCTTAGACAAATTTTTAGACAAATTTGGAAACACTCTGGAAATAATTCTGCTTAGGAAAAAAAATCAAAAGTGTGAATATAGCAGAACTGGGGACATGTGGGAAATGTACGCCTTGTGTTTTAAATTGGTGGGTCAGCAATAAACATGGGGCCACGGGAAATATGTAGTTAATTCATTAGAAATTAGAAATATTTTGGAATAAACTGAGTTGTTTTCAGGTTCTGCCCTTAAAAAAAAAGTGAATATAAAGTAAATTTTAACTGTAGCAAAAATCTGCCCCCTGATGTTCTGGAAGCCCTGATCTAAGCAGAGGTCAGCTGATTTTTCTGCCCCCAAATCATATACCCCAAACACAAACATTTGGTAACATTTTCCAAGAATTGATTTATAAAATAGGGTAATGAAAAATTTAAGGATCAGATTTACAGATTGCTCAAGCAAGGAACAAGTCCTTCAAATCATTTTTTTTTTTTCAGAATGCCTTGTCTTATAGCCTGTCTTAACAAGTTTCTCAGCCTGAGCAAGTCTGTAGAATTCTTCTCTGACAGTTACCATTGAATGCTCACAGAAGGTGGATGTTGACAAACTGCTCTAGCCCAACTGATCTATATTTATAGAATTCTTGAGTTAGAAGACCTTCACTATAATGCAGGACCCCATGAAGACTATGTGAGGAGTTGTCTCATATTTCCATGTTCCTAAAAGCTGTCACTGTCCAACAAAAATATCTTGGTCTTTCTGCATTTAGTTCCCTTAAAAAGTACAGTTAAAGTTAAGTTGGATATATTGTTAAATCATACAATAATGTCTTGATTTGATGGTTTATGAACTTAATTCTGAAACTTTTGTTTACTTACAAAATCAAATTGCATCTATTTTTTTAACCAAAGTAATTATAAGGAAAGATTTTTTTCCCCTTTTCTATGGAGGTGAAATTCCCTTAACGCATAATCAGTCATTTTAAAGTATTTAGTGTATTCATTGTGTTGACAGCTATCACCTCTTCTAGTTTCAGAATACTTTCATCAGCCCTGAAAATACTCCTAACCATTTAGTAATCACTCCCCATTCCCCCTTCCTCCCATTCCTTGGTAACTTCTCATCTGCTTTCTGTTTCTATGGATGTGCCTATTAAATCATTAAAAGAATCAAAGCATGTGGCCTTTTATGTCTGATTTCTTTCACTTAGTATGTTTTCAACATTAATCCAAGTTGTTAGATGTATCAGTACCTTTCCTTTTCCTGGCTGAGTAATATTCCATTGTGTTTTATACCACTGTTTGTTGATTTATCCATCAGTTAATGTTTGAGTTGCTTCCACCTCTTAGTCTCATGACTTGTACTTATATAAGTGTTTAAGAACAAGATTTTGATTAGACATAGTTTTCATTTCTCTTAAGTGTCTACCTAGGAGTGGCCTTACTGTTATGGTAATTCTATATTTGACTTTTTGAGGAACTACCAAACTGTTACCCAGTGGCTGCACCATTTTATTTCCCATCAGCAGTGCCCCAGGGTTCCTGTTTCTCTATTTCCCTGATAGCATTTGTTTTCTCTGTTTTGGAATAGAGCCATTCTTGTGGGTGTGTAGTGGTTTTGATTTGCATGAGTAAATGATTAGTGATATTGAACATCTTTTCATGTGCTTATAGGGTTGTTGCATATCTTTGAAGAAGGGGCTATTTCTGATTGGGTTGTCTGTCTTTTTGTTTTTAACTAGTAAAAATACTTTATGTATCCTGGATATTAAGCCATTTTTAGATATATGATTGCAAATATTTCCTTCATTACATGGATTGACTTACATTCTTGAAAACATACTTTGATGTAAAAGAAGTTTTTAATATTTATCAAGCCCAGTTTATTAGTGATCTTTTTTGTTGTTGTTGTTGCTTTTACTTTTGGTATCAAACTAAGAATCTAGGCCCAAATCTGAAGTCATGAAGATTACCCTTATTTTTCCTCCTAAGGGTTTTATAGTTTTAGCTTTTACATTGAGGTCATTGATCTGCTTTGAGTTAGTTTTTGTGTGAGGGGAAGTAGGGGTGCAGCTTCATTCTTTGGTGAGTGGCTAACTGGTTGTCCCAGCACTATTTACTGAAAATACTATTCCTTTCTTCACTGGATGGTTTTGACCCCCCCCCTGTCAAAAGTCAGTTGGCCATTTGGGCTGGGGTATAGCTCAGTGGTAGAGTTTACCTTGCATTGCATGCACAAGGCCCTGGGTTCGATCCCTAGCACAAGGGGGCAGGGGGAAATGGTTGAGTTGATTTGTGATTTTCTGATTTCTGGACTCTCGATCTATTCCATTGGTCTTTGTCCTTATGCCAGTACCATAGTTTGGATTACTGTAGGTTTGTAGTGGGTTTTAAATTTGGAGATGTGAATCCTCCGACCTCATTCAGCTGTTTTCCATGTCATTTTGCCTGTTCAAGTCTCCCTACAATTAATATGGAAGAAAGTCACTTCGATTGGAATACCATTAGGATTTTTCTGAGGGGAGGGAAAAAATGACAGTCGGGATTGCGTTGACTTAGGGTCACTTTGGGGAGGACTGCCACCCTCACAGTTTGACAATATAAGTTTGAATGTTTGAACCTGGGATATCTTCCCATTTAAGCTGCTCTTTACTCTCTCTTAGTAGAGATTTTTAATTTTCATTCTGTAAGTCTTTCACCTCCTTGATTAGATGTATTCCTAGGTATTTTATTCTTTTGAATGCTGTTGTAAAGGCAGTTGTTTCCTTAATTTCCTTTTCAGATTGCTCATTGCTTGCATATAGAAACACAACTGATTTGTATGTTGATCTTAGACTCTGTAACTTGGCTAAATCTATTAAGGCTAGTAGCTTTTGTGGATTCTGTAGGATTTTTCCGTATCTATAGAATCACCTACAGATGGAGATGGTTGTACTCATCCTTTCCAACTTGGATGCTTTTTCTTTTCTTTACTAACTGGTCTGGCCAGGACTTTAGTACAGTGTTGAACAGCAGTAGTGCAAGTGAGTATCCTTTCCCTCTTTCTGATCTTAGAAGGAAAGCTGTCAGCCTCTCACCATGGAGTATGATACTAATTGTGGGGAAGTTCCCTTCTATCCTTAGTTTGTGAGTGGTTTTATCATGAAAGATTAGGGCCCATTTTTTTTTTTTTTTAATGAAGTTTGGCTCAAAGTTATAAAGTGATGATCTGGAAAACAGTGTGCCAATAAATTTCATTTGGATTTTGGTTCCCCCATTCCTTTATATGTAACTTACTGTGATCACATTGGTTTAGGTTGTGGACATAATGAGAGTCAACGTGGACAAGGTGCTAGAAAGAGACCAGAAGCTCTCTGAGCTGGACGACCGTGCAGATGCGTTGCAGGCAGGAGCTTCTCAATTTGAGACAAGTGCTGCCAAGTTGAAGAGAAAATATTGGTGGAAGAATTGCAAGGTAACTCTCTTAACTGATCTTTCCATTAAGCCCCCTTTCCATAATTCTCAAAGGATTACAGGTCTACAAATGCTGGACTTTCATGAACCTAGGATGTGGGTTTGATTTTCTACACATGAACATTTGGATCTAAAATAAGCATCCCTTCTACTCACCCATAAGTAGGACTCCCCAGGTTCTGTGGCTAATCTTAAGAGACATGTAAAACAAGATTGTCCCAAAGCAATCACAGACAGAAGCCCCTTCTGACCTGAGCTGTTCAGAACCATGAACACAGACTAAGAGGAGAAGGGTGGCCTTGGTGGTCAGTTTGCAGGTAGTTCTGTGAATGGCTCCAAAGTCAAGGAAAAGAAATGCATGGTCAACTGGGGACTGGAGTTGTGGCTCAGTGGTAGAGCGCTTGCCTCACATGTGTGAGACACTGGGTTCAATTCCAAGCACCGCATATAAATAAATGAATAAAATAAAGGTCCATTAACAGAAGATGAGAAAACAGCCACACAGAGTACATGGCCTGAAGCAGATTTTACATAGTTAGTAAACAAACGTGCCATGATCAGATCCCACACACAACCAGTCCTATCTGCGAAGTTGAGAAGTGACACCTTGAGATACCTGGGACAGGGGTTAGTAGCCCTTCCTTATCTGGAAAATGTGTATACACAAGCAGATGCCTTTCTAGGGGCCACAGATCATTGGAACATATTTTTATTTTATTTTTTAAATTTTTTATATTTATTTTTTAGTTGGACACATATCTTTATTTATTTATTTTTATGTGATGCTGCGGATCGAACCCAGGGCCTTGCACATGCTAGGCGAGCGCTCTACCGCTGAGCCACAACCCCAGCCCAGGAACGTATTTTTAAAAGCAAGTAAATAACCTTCAAGTCCTAATTGAGAATATTAAATTCAGACTTTAGAAATTATGAATTGCTCCCGGCTGTGGTGCACCTCACATGATGCTCTTCAGCAAGCACTCCTTGTCTGTTGAAGTGTGAAGTGGACATGTGTTTTGTTGCAGATGTGGGCAATAGGGATCAGCGTTCTGGTCATTATCGTCATCATCATCATTGGTGAGTTACTCTGTGTTCCCAGATGATTGTGTGCAGGTGAAGAACAAAATTCCCCTCTGTTAGCTCAGTCCAAGGGTTTTATGAATTTCCTTAGCGAATGTTTTAATATTTGAGTTTTGTATGATTAAAGTCCAAGATTTTTTACATTGATCCTTTGAGGTTAGGGAAAATTTATTCATCTCTATTAACTGGCTTTTCTTTCTGAATATATTTTTTATTTTCTATTTCCTTTTATTGTGATGTAATGATTAAAAGCATGGACTGCCTCTGATCCACCCTGGCTCCACCACCATCCGGCTCTGTGGTCTTAGACAAGCAATTTAATGTCTCAGGACCTCAGTTTCCTCATGTGTAAAATAGGGATAATAATGGTACTTAGCTTGTTTGTTAGGAGGACAAATCTAATTAAATATATGCAAAGTGCATAGGATGGTACCCAGTATATAATTTAAAAAATAGTTATATAAATAAATATCACAACTCTTACTATCATTACTATTACATATAATATTGGAAGAATTCATTGCCACTTTTGGACCATTATCTGGGAACTAGAGAAGTGTGTTTTCCATTCGTTGCTTACATGGATGCTGGTGGATGTTTCCTTTCAATGAGAATGGGTGTGGTGGCTTGGATGCTTTGTGCTCTAGTCTCCAGCCCTCTGTAGCCTGTAGAAAATTAGATTGCAGTCCCTGCTCATTCTGGATTTGCTCTGAAAGACTAAACTGCCCTTCTCCCCGTCTTTGAATCTCCCCTCATCTTAGTATGGAGCGTCTCTTAATGAAGAACAGGTGGAACTCAACCCTGCTGTCCAGGAAACCTCTTCAAGACTTTCGACTTAGAACCTGCTACATTATCCAGCTTACCTACTGTTATTTCCAAAATGATTATTTTTGTTAGTTCATGTAAAGTTTGGTTTCTAGGCTATGTGCCTTGTTTTTTAATATGCACTCCAAACTAGAGGGCCAGCTTGCCCCCGTTTTGCACAGTGCCTTTACAGATTTACCTATGAGCAACAGAGGACATCTGGACTCCAGAGTACTGTATCTAGACTTAACGTTGTCACTAATTCATTGCCATTGATTCCAGTTAAGGGAATCCATTCCAAGTTCTTTCTCCTGTCATTTGACATTATCTTCAGAGCCACATTTTAAACCTTTGGGTAATCAGATTTCCAACTTGTGCCTTCCAGGAAAAACACTACTGCCTAATACTGATCTGTGACAATAACAGGCTGTGCCTTATTTTGATCCTTTTCTGGTTCCTTGTAAGCCGTCTTCTTTTTGTAAGCAGTACTGACTCTTGCTATATTTAAAATAAGATGCTGGTAAAGAATTTTTGCTCTTTCATTAGATATGAAGATGTTTACTTTCTTGTTATTGTTATATATATATCACTTGCTAAAATATTAATTAGAAATAACCCCTTTGAAAAGTTTTTTAGAACTATGAACATGACCAAAGTTCCTAGTTTGCCAAAAAGTTAAATATGAATAAATTTTCCTTAAGTCTGTCCCTGACAGATAAATTCAGAAAAGTGCCAAATGGAATTCAAGGTGTCCTTCAAAAGGAGAATGGTAATGTTGTGTGTGGACCTTCCACACCCTGAGCACTGCTTTGTCTCTGAAACGCTGTAGATGGCGCCCATCCCTTCTGCTTCGGCCTTTTGCAGTGGGGCCTTTTGCAGTGGGGTTGAGAGGGGAGCGAGGCTCTCATTGTTTCATCTCACACTTGTAAACAAAGAGTTTTCCCAGCTTCTTGCAAACCATCAGCTGTGGGCTCCATTGTCTTTCTAATAATTACTTGAGCAACAGTTTTATAGCGCTTTAAGTAAGAACACCTGTGCAGTTGATCATTACCTAATCCAGTCCTCAGAGGTGATAGTTTTTTGAAGTTTGTTTCCTATTTTTATTCATATTCTGCTTCTTAAATCAGTCTTCTAAATTATGGTTGTGATGAGGCATTGGTTAGCGGTGGGTGACTCTTCACAGAGGATAGCTAGCCGAGATGCCTGCTTTCTTCAGTGACAAACTGCATAGGATGCTGCTGTGGAAATAGCTATTCTCATCTGAGAGACTTTTTGTTACATACATTAGACTTAACATGAGGTTATGTGGCTTAAAGGTGGGAATTCCAGTGTGAATGAAAGCAGGTTAGGAGGCACTGAGAGAGAAAAACACATGGGCTTTTGGCCCACTATTACTAGAATGTTCTAAAACGCTTGTTTACATGCTAGTATGACTTTACAAAGCAGCAACAGCTGAGCTGCACCAGGAACTGGTTCCATTTCTTTGGTATCTGTTTCCCTGATATCACTGAGATGATTTAATGTTGGAGACATGCCTTGCAGTATGCCCAGCCGTGAGAAAGCAGCTGTTGGTTTAGAGACATCTGCACACCCTCAGCACAGGGTCCCTGGCTGGGTCTGACTCTGAATCCTTGGTGCTCACCCCTCAGCCTTAATACGCAGTCCCACGTAACCCACTGGCTCCGGCATTAACCTAGGAATACCTTGCTTGTATCCGTGCATTTAGATGGGAACTCACGCGCTATAATGACCTGAATAAAGTGTTTATAAATATGACTCTGGCTCCTGTGTTCCTTAGCAATAGCTTTGCCTGGTCCAAGTACTGAAAATGGCATTCCTTGTGCCACTTCCTCCCTCTCCCTTACACACTGCACTTTCTCTTCTTTCCCATCCATCCTTCCAGGACACATTCTTTTCTGGTACCTTAGTTTCCCCATACCAGAGTGGGTAGAAGCATACCACTCCCCTTTGAAAAGTGCCTTTCAGCATTGAGTGGGGAGCTGGCTTTCACACAATTACCAAAAGGTTCAGGATTTGGCTTTGGGCTTTTTAAATATGTTTTTTTCAGAAGTGATGTGCAGAGCTGGCCCTATATATGGAGAATTAGGTAGACCCTGACATGTGTAGAGTAGGTAAGCTTGGAAGGGTGAGGGACTTCTCCAAACACAAACACTCTTGTATTTTGCCACCTTTATTTCCCCCTTCCCTTATATTTACTTCCAAGTCTTACTCTTTAGCAACTAGGAAACATATAGCCCTTGTGAAGTAAACCTTTGCATATGTTAACAGATCCAAATACATTCCTGTATTACAAGCCCCACCATGATCTAGCCCTTTCTAACTTTCCCATCTTATCTCACACCATTCTGGCCCTCTCTTCTCCAGGCAAAGCTTACTGCCTTCCTGGTTTTTTCAACAGCAGAAGTTTCCCTGTCCATGTCTGTGGTCTATTCTGCTCTGTTGGGCCTCCTTCCCCAGCCCCAAGGCCTACTTCTCTCATCACCAGGGTTCCAATTCCACATCAGAGGCCTTGCCTGATCACCTGGCTAAAGTGCCTTTCACCTCCACCTATCTCAGGTATACCCCATCTCATTAGCTTGTTTTATATACAGCATCTAGTGCTTTCTGAACTTCCTTTATTGGAGTAGTTCATGCTTGATGTCTTTCTCAAAATGTAGACTCCCTGAGCGTCGTTCATTCTGTGTGTCCACCATTCTGTCTCCAACGCTAACAGTCATCCCTGCCCAGATATGCATTCAATGTTTGTTGAAGGAATGCAGTTTGGCAAAACAGAGCTTGGGAGAACAGCGTTGCAAGGTAGAGTATCGCTTAGAAAAACAGGTGTTTCTCCCAATACATAATATGGACAACCGCCACTTCACTTTTCCCCTCTCCCTTTATCACAACTTTGATTCATGGAACAATTAACTGAGTATTTTTGATGTATCAGGCAGCCTAGGGGGTAGGGTTTTGATATGCACTTTTTCTGTCGGGATGAATTGAGATACCAACCGAAAGGAACTTGCAGACTGTTTTGTTTCAGCCGTGCTGGGGATGGAACCCACGGCTTCACGCAGCCAAGCAACCGCTCTACAACTGAGCCACAGCCCCAGGCCCAGACTTTTTTCCAAGGGTTCTAAGCCTCCCTTTTCTGAACCATCTTTTCCAAATACGTGCCTTCCTCCAGTTGCCAAATTAACGCTAACTTTAGGAAGGCTAAGTTTCAGGGTCTAACTTCTCTGTCTGAAGGTCGAGTTACATTTTACCTGGGCTGCCCTGAGGCCGGCTTTTCCAAGCACGCCCCACTAACCTCGAGTTAGCGGGAAGGAAAGCAATATTAGGAAAGACGAAAACAATGGGAACTAAGAAGACCAGAGAGCACAGCACCATCCCAAGGCCTCCCGGACTCCCCCCTGGCAGTTAAAGTCACCTGTCTACCCGCGAGCGCCCCTTAGGACCCTCGCCCCCACCTGCAGCTGGGGCGGAGGCCGCGCCGGACCCGCCTACCCCTCCTGGTCCCGCCCCCTCGCGACTGGCAGCTCCAGTACCCTATCAATGCCGTGCCAGCTGCCACTGGTCCCGCCCCCAGGGAGCTCGGCGCGCTGGCCCTGGCCTTCCTCGGGGCCACTCCACCCCCGCCCACCCGCCGGCCGGCCAGGATTGGCCGAGCGCTGCCCTTAACCGACGTGTTATGTAACGTGTTCTAGGGCTTCGCCCCGCCCACGCCCCTGCGGTTATATAACCCAGGCGTCCCAGCTCGGGCTCCGCCCCCGGGCCAATGGGGACCCGCGCACCCGGCCGCCGCGGCCAATCGCGCGCTGAGGGGGCGGGGTCCGGTCCCGTGGCGCGCGAGGGGCGCGGCGCGACAGTAGCCCGGCACACGGCGGGCCTCGAGACCGCTCGCGGCTGGCGGGGCCGCGGTGGCGGCGAGCGCTCGGCCCCCGCGTCCCGGAACTTTGCGCCGTGGAGCTGCCCCTCGGCCGGCGGGCTTTCTGGGTGCACGCCGGCTTCCAGCACGGCCCGGGGGGAAAGTGGTTACGGCGAGGACCCGGCAGAGGGCCGCGCAGGGGCTCGAGCTGCTCGTGCCGCTTGTCACCTCGTGTTCTCCCCGGGGCTGGACCTCCGCGAGCGGAGAAGCGCGAACTTCTGTGAAATGCCGAGGAGGAAAGTGCCCCTGAGATGAGCGCGACCGGAGGTGGCGGGCTGTGGTGACTGGTCTTCCTGCAGCGCGGTGGCGGGGACCACGATGGGAGGTCCTTCCCTGCCGCCGACTGCAGAGTGAGAAGCCGGCGGCCGGCCGAGGGCTTTGGCGCGCCATGGACCCCCGTGAAGGCCTGGGAGCGCCCGGCGGCGACGCTCGCGAGTCCAGGGGCGCGGGGCGCGGAGGGACGCGGGGCCCGGGGGGCCGGCGGCAGGGAACGCGCGCCGAGAGCGGCCACAGGTGACGCCCCACCCGTGCGCACCCCTGCCGTCTGCTGTCCCTCTGGAGCAGGGACTGGGAGGGCAGGACTCGGGCCCTTTTGATCTTGAGTTCTTAACCCCGGGAGAAAGTGCGGGGAGAGATCAGGGCGAAGGGATCTGGGATGCCGCAGGCGGTGACTAGAGTACAGCAGAGCTGCAGAGTGTCCCAGAGGTCCCCTGAGGTCGGGCCAGGTGGGAAATAGGAGTGGAGAGTGACGTCTTCTGTCTCTTTGCCCGCAATCCCAGCATCTCGGGAGGTTGAGGCAGGATGGCGAGTTTGAGGCCAGCCCTGGAAACTCAGACCCTGTCTCAGAGAGGACTGGGTATGTGCTCCAGGGCGAAGCGTGCCTGGGTTCAATCCCCAGTGCCAAAAGGAAAAGAAAAAAAAAAAAAAAGCATAAACAAATGAAAGAGTCGCTGTTCACAGTGACCCTGGAAAGTAATTTGTTGTCCCTGCATGTACAACATTGTTATTTCTCATTTTTTTAATATCTATTTTTTTAGTTGTAGTTGGACACAATACCTTTATTTTATTTATTTTTATGTGGTGCTGAGGATCGAGCCCAGGGCCTCGCACGTGCTAGGCGAATGCTCTACCGCTGAGCCACAACCCCAGCCCCTATTTCTCATTTTTTATCTTCCAGGGAACAAGATCGAAACAGAGTTTCAGAAGAACTTCTAATGGTTGTCCAAGAAATGAAAAAATACTTCCCAGCGGAGAGACGCAGTAAACCAAGCACCCTAGACGCCCTCAACTATGCGCTTCGCTGCGTGCGCAGTGTGCAAGGTAAACCGCTGCGGAGGATGTGCAGGCGCAGGTGTACCTTGGCCGTGAACAGGAGTCTTAGCTTTCTGTGTAAAATGTCTTGAGCACATCTAAGACTGATTTCATTAGTGTCTTAACTTTTCAAATTTGAAAGACCAGGAGAACTTATTTGGCTAACAGTTTAGTAGTATTATGCAATACTTTGCTGATCTGTTGCAAGAGAGAATTTAGGATAAGTACATTTTGAAAACTAACTTTTTAAACGTTGTCTCCTGTGGAGGTCACATGAGAAAACACATTTGACTAAATACAATTTACCTTTTCCCGTCCTACCCATGCTTTGAAAATGCAGTCATGATATGCTAAGAATTTGCCAAATTAAAAACGAACAATTTTAAACACTTTTTCCTTTTTCTTTCTGACTTTTCTCCTCAGGGGATTTCATACAATCATATTCTCTTCAGCACAAAACTCTGTGCTTCATCTATAACCTGTAGCTTCAGAATGCTGAAGTAATGTTCTCACCATAAAAATTGCCTGTGTCTGAAGCTTTTTTAACTTGTTTTAGTATATTAAATGTATCTTGCTTCTTATGACCTAGAACAGGCGGAGTCATAAAATTCACAATTGTAAGTTTGCATAATTGTGAATATTTTAGATATAAGCAGAATGCGACTTGATTTGAGGGAAATGCTCTTAAGGTGTTCTTTTCCTAATAAGCCTGCTTAGTAATGCTAAATGTGATTTCCTGAAGATACCATTGTCACTGGACTGTTTATTTCCCTGTGTTTCTTAGCAAACAGTGAATTTTTCCAGATTCACAATCTAAACAGAGCATCTGAGAGGGAAGTGACTGTGTACAGTCTGAAGGAGCTGGCCACTGTTGCTTCTGAACACACTTCTAAGAACACAGTAAGAATTTATGAATGTTCCCACGTCAACCTGGGTGACTTCTCCTAAGAAGCTTCTGTAGTTGTATATTTTTAAAAATATTGAGTGAAAGTTTCAAGAACCACAGTTTGAGGTAAACAGAGGAGAAACTGCTCAAAAGGCATGTGTGGCTTCTCTTGCCAGAGAACATCCAAAAACCGAAGCAGTGTGTTGTGTACTGGGCAGTAGTTTCATTTGTTCACCAGCTGCTTCTATCCCCTTAGCATGCCTGAGTTTTCTTAAATTAAGAGGAAAAATGGAAGCTAATCCAAAATAAGGGCAAGGGTTAAAAAAAGGAGAATAGAAGAAATCAGTGGAGTAGACAAAGGGGAATGAAGTGACGGCACAGGGAAGGGGTAGGGAAAGACAGCGGAATGAAACTGACCTAACTTTCCTAGGTACAAATATGAACATACCACCATCATGTACATCCATAAGACACTAACTTAAAAAAAAAAAAATAGCCAGATGCGGTGGCACACGCCTGTAATACCAACAACTCAGGAGACTGAGGCAGGAGGATGGCAAGTTCAAAGCCAGCCTCAGCAATGGTGAGGCCCTAAGCAACTCAGTGAGACTGTCTCTAAATACAATACAAAAAAGGGCTGGGGATGTAGCCCAGTGGTCAAGTGCTCCTGAGTTCAATCCCCAGTATAGATCAGTAAAGGGGAAGGAAGAGAGGAGGGGAAAGGGGAAGTACTAGGGAATTAAGTAGAACAAATTATATTCCAGGTTTTTATAATTATGTCAAAATGAATCCTATAGACTACAAAGAACCAATGAAAAAAGTCATACAGAGAGAACGCTTTTTAAAAAAGAGGAAAAATAATAATGCCGCAGAGTAACTTCCTACTTTTTATTCTCATCTCCAGATTATTAATTTCTATTTGTATCATTCTTAGGTTCAATATCTACTACTTCAGGTTATTACATTGGGTTTTATAGAACAGATGAGTTGAGATGCTCTCATTTTTTGTGAAATTTTGGAAGATAATTTTTTTTTTTGTCTTATTGACAGGGAAATAGGCCTCACATTTTGTTGATAGAATGATTACTTAATTTTATATTTAGACTTCAACATACTTGTAACTTAACGATTTTGTAACATTGTAAAATAAGCTCATATAAAAATAATTAAAAAGCTACTTTTTTGTAATAGAGCTTATTTTACCAACTAGTATGTGCATAATACTGTAGCAGGATATGTGAAGCTTTAAAAAAAAAAAAAGTTTAAGAAAACATTTTCCCTCTAAGATCTTTAAAATAAAGCTAAAGAGGAAAACATGATACTACAAATGGTGGCTGATCATAAACAAATCCTAATTGTGTCTAATGGATAATCAGAGCAGAGGTGCTGGGTGAGGCGTCTTCAGGGATACTTCCTGGGGGAGGCACAGAACTTGCTGAGAAGGCAGCAAATTCCCTGGGTGTGAGGCATGGTTTCTGAAGAAGGACTCAGAAGCTTTTGTGCCACATGTATTTTGAGTCTGTGTAGAAGGAGCCAGTGTATTTTTTGGCATAGAAATCAAACCTTCAGCAGGTGAATTGCAGATTTTGTGATATTTTCTAAGAGGAATGCTGAAAGAAACTATTTTTAGCATTGTCTTGCCTTTTCAGGATTTGTATATGTTTTAGGTTATTGATTATAGTAGAAATCTAGAAGAAACTTTCCTTTCTGGGGGTATTTCCCATAAGTATCATAACATTTGCGTTTGTCTTAAATGGTTTCTCATAGGATACCTTTGTGGCCGTGTTTTCGTTTCTTTCTGGAAGGTTACTGCACATATCTGAGCAGGCTGCTTTGATCCTGAATTGTAAGAAAGATTTCTTGAAGTCCTCTCACTTTGTTGACCTGCTTGCCCCTCAAGACGTGAGGGTGTTTTACACACACACTGCCCGAGGTCAGCTTCCTTTCTGGAGCAGCTGGACCCAAAGAGGTAATGGGACCAATGTTGGGATGTGTATCATGCCCCAAGATCAGTTTCATTTTTACAAAAATAGTGCAGAAATTAATGCATTACTTAGAATATGTGAACTATATAGTTTGTCTTATTTCTTTTCTTAAAATGTCAAAATATGATGAAACAGCTTTTGGGGGGTGGGGCACGTATCGGGAATTGAACTCGGGGACACTCAACCACTGAGCACATCACCAGCCTTGTTTTCTTTAGAAACAGGGTCTACACTGAGTTGTCTAGCGCTTTGCTTTTTGCTGAGGCTGGCTTTCAACTTGCGATCCTCTTGTCTCAGCCTCCTGAGCCACTGAGATTACAAGCTGAAACAGCATTTTAAATGTTTCTAATAACACAAAGACCCAAGAAGTTGGTTTTCATTTAGTCAAGTTAGTTTCATAGATTATATATATATATATTTTTTTTTTAAACAGGTTTTTTTAAAGAAAGAGAGAGAATTTTTTAATATTTATTATTTAGTTTTTGGTGGACACAACATCTTTGTATGTGGTGGTGCTGAGGATCGAACCCGGGCCGCACGCATGCCAGGCGAGCGCGCTACCGCTTGAGCCACATCCCCAGCCCCATAGATTATATATTAAAATATGATTTGATTACCAGCATACTATACAACAGTTTAGTTGCTACAAAACCTGTTTCCTTTAATAAAATTAAATGTTTTTCCTCTATGTTGATTTCATGATTTCCTTATCTAATGGATTTTACTTTAGAGATAAAACTGATAGCTCCCTTTTCCAGTTTTTCTTGCTTCCTCCTAAAAGTTTATGAATCTCATTACTTTCTTTTTTGAAATGCTTGTCTATCTGAACCGGGGATGTGTAGTCAGTTTTCCTTGTGACATTCAGTCCTGTGTGATCTTTAAATAATTCCTTTATTTTTTAAATCACTCTTTATAATATTTCATTTCTTTGTGAAGTGTCTCGAAGAGCTTACTCTCTGATTCCAAACCCTTTAATTATTAAAAAAAAATTAAATTTTAAAAATTGTGATTAAAAAATGTATAGCAGCTAGGTGTGATGGTTTATGCCTGTAATTCTAGCTGCTTGGGAGGCTGACACAGGTGAGTTAAACGCCAGCTTTAGCAACTTGGGCGCTAAGTTACTTAGCAAGACCCTGTCTCTAAATAAAATATTTTTTTTAAAAAAAAGTCTGGGGATGTGGTTCAGTGGCTAAGTGTCCCTGGGTTCAAGGTTCAAACCCCAGTACCAAAAAGAAAATAGAAAGAAAAAAAAAAAAAAAAACCAACAAAACTATAGCATTAAATTTGCCTTCTTAAATCAATTTTAAGTGTATAGACCAGTAATGTGAAATATATTTGCACTGTGTGAAACAGAACTATTTCATCTTTGTCAGTTAATATATATCTTTTCTGATTTTTTTAATCCAGTTCTTGGCCCAACGAAGAAAGGCCTTGCTTCTTTTTCCAGTTGTCACCTTTCTGCCATTTTTTTTTAAGTTGGACACTATGCTTTTATTTTACTTTATTTTTATGTGGTGCTGAGGATCGAACTCAGGGCCTTGCACATGCTAGGCGAGTGCTCTACCGCTGAGCCACAGCCTCAGCCCCTCTGCCATCTTTTTTGAATATTTCTTCATAAGCTCTAGAAAACATGCCTAGCAGTCTTGCCTCCTAGCTCCATCATTTCTCCTTTTTGCATCTTTCAAAAGCATTGATTGCCTTTCTCTTCCTCATTCCTAATACACATTTTCATCTTTAAATATCCGTGTTTGTTTCTTTCCCCTCATTAGTCATTTTTTCATAAACATCTATTCAGCAGTCACTGTGGACCAGGGACAATTCTAGATGCTGGGGTCCAGCTAGGAACAGGACAGACACTCCAGAGTATTCTCTAGCTCCTGCACATTTTCCCTTCAGCACTGACGTGTGGTCCCTGTCCTGTCTTTTCAGCCTGATCATCTTTGTTGATTGAGACACGCTTCTTCCATGTAAAAAACAGTGTCTCCTGCAATTTTTGTCTTTGGTACCTCAAATTGACTTGTGCCATCATGATCTTATGCACATTATATTTCTTCCTGTGAATCTCAAGGATTCAAACTCATACTGAGAACAGTTGCTGAGCCCTACAACTGGATGGGCCCATGTTACCGCCTTCAGAACATAAGAGGACATAGGAAGTGATGTAGCCAGCTGTGGGCAGCCTTTGGTTTTGCATCAGAACATGTTTCTTCTTAAAACTCGTTCTGTATACCTCTCAGAAGGATCTGATTGCTATTTACTGCGAACACACTTCCAGAAACAAGAATTCACACTTGTAGCCTGGGTGTCTAATGCTTCATGGGCTCTGCCCACTGAGATTGCATATTCTGGCTCCCAGGATTCTGGAACTTGAGGTGAACACAGTTGGGTTCAGGAGCCTCGTGCAGTGTGTGATTGGTGAGCAAGTTCACATCACAGTAGAGGCTGATCCCCGATTCTCCTACAGTCCTCTCCGTGGAAGCAGAGATCAGCCTGATTCAGTATTTTGGTTCTTTGGGTTGTCACCATTTATGCTACCATCAGTTGTTTTATTTTGTTGGTTTTGTTTTTTAACTTCTCAAAGCTTTCCATGTTTTACTGCAGTGCACAAATGCCCCAAAAATATTTCCAGGGAGTTCTACCAGAGGAAATACAAATAGCAAACATTTGGGTAAAGGTTCAACCCCCTCATTTGACCCTAAGATAAGCAAATTTGTTTCCAAATTGTAACCTTGTAAGTTAGTAGTCACTAAATTGACACAAACTGTTGGCATGAAGATCATGAGAAAGTATTACTGAGAGAAAGCATTAGTGACACTGTAAATCCATATAGTCTCTAGAAATTAATTTCAGAATACATGAGATGGCGCTGGGATTGTAGCTCAGTGGTAGAGCACTTGGCTAGCATTTGTGAGGCACTGAGTTCAATCCACAGCCCCACATAAAAATAAATAAATAAAGTAAAGGTATTGTGTCCATCTACAACTAAAAAATATGTATTTTTTTAAAAAGAGTACCTGAGAGTTGTGAAATGAACACATCATTTAACCTAGAACACAACTTTCAGAAACTTATCCAAGGAAAGAATTTAAAGTGAAGGGGGAAAAGTCAAAGAAATGTATATTTCATAGAGCTAAATGCTGAAACTGTTCTAAATTTCCAAGTATTGAGAACTGTCCAGACTATTACCACCAAAATAATGGTGTCAAAGGACGACTGTGGTGGCATTTGAAGTAGCGAATGTGGGCAGGCATGCAGCAATCACTAAGTCAGGTGCCCCCACTTGTCTGCCTGAGGGTTGCTGGGATAATACAAGGCCCTTCAGCCCAGGGAAAAGAGCCCTCTCTCAGTCAAAAGCTCATCTCTTTTTAAAAATAATCCTCAGTTGTTGGCTGGCAATAGTGTGAGACTGCTCATCTGAGGAGTGTGGCCCTTGGGATGAGAAACTGACGCTTTATCTCTGTTTCCAGCATCGCAGTACGAATATGCTCCAGTGAAGCCCTTCTTCTGCAGGATCCGGTAAGTGGACAGGCTGGGGAGGCCAGAATGCACCTGATGCTCTGGTTTGTATTTAGCACTTATTTTGGTTCTTTTATATTAAGCCAGATTCTGTTGTAGATTAAAAAAAAAAATAGATGTGGTTGCCATGAGGAATTTGCATTTGTATTAAAAAGAGACATGCTCAGGAATAAACAAGACAGTAATGCAGTGGGCAAAGTCAGAAAGCTAACTATCCACCCCAGTGGCATGTGGGGGTCAGTGGGTAGGAAGAACATTTTTTGTTTTTTAAATATTTATTTTTCAGTTGTAGTTGGACACAGTACCTTTATTATATTTATTTATTTATGCTTATGTGGTGCTGAGGATCGAACCCAGAGCCTCACACCTGCTAGGTGAGCGCTCCTCCCCTGAGCCACAACCCCAGCCACAGGAAGAACGTTTTGAAATGACCATTATTTAGTGCACTTTTTGGTCTGCTTTTTATCTTTTAGTCACATTTAAAAATTTTTTTCTCTACTCAGCTGTACTTGAATTTTTAAATTTTTGAAGTTTTTTCTCCATCCCCCTCCCCCATGGGGCTAGGGATTGAACCTAGGGACACTCTACCATTGAATACATCCTCAACCCTTTTTATTTTTTGAGATAGGAGCTCACTAAGTTGCAGAGGCTGGCCTCAAACTTACAATTCTCCTGTCTCAGCCTCCCAAGTCTCTGCTGCACCACTATACCCCATTTAAATAGCTTTAAGAAAGCAAGGTATTTATACTTGTGAGAAGGATTTAAAAAATCCAGAGATGGTGAACTAGAAGAAAATAGACCATAAGATTAATGGTAGTTTATTTCTTACAGACTTTACTTTCATAATAAAAAGGGAAAATATTTTAAGATGGCATCGTGATTAAAGCTATAACTGCTGTAGATAGTTAGAGAGAAACCCATGTAATTGGTTAATGATATCACCCATGGATTTGGGGGCCTGCGCTGGTAGGATCTGAATGCAAGGAGGGGTGAGCCTAGGAAGGGCAAGCAGGGAGGCCTATGCTGCTGCCCACCAACAGCCCAGGCCCCCAGGAAATACCCTGTGGGTTCATCAGCTTAATGACTGTGTTTAGGTTCAACTTCTGAGCAGGCATGATTATAGTACTGGGGTCAAAACGCTTGCCCTTGTGTACTTGAGTTCTGTAGTGGGGACCAATAACATGTAAATGTGTGTGTCCCTGGCAGTAAATTCTTTATAGAGACTAACTCAGCAGAAGGGAGTTCTGGGAAGTGAAGAGATTGCCCTTGTATTTCAGGCTTCCTTGGTCCATTTTCTGTTGCTATTTAGAGTACCTGAGGCTGGAAAATTTATAAAGGAGAAAGGTTTATTTGTGTCCAAGTTCTGAAGTCCAGAGCATGACACCAGCATCTGCTGGGCCTCTGGTAAGGGCCTCATGATGCAGGCAGGCTGGCATGTGCCAAGAGAAGGGGCCAGGGAACCAGATGGCAGATCAACCCACTCTCACTGAAACTGCCCACTCCCACAGGAACGACACCGACCCTTCCTGGGGGTGGTCCCATGACCCTAAACCCCTTGAAGCCCCGCTACCTCTCAGTACCTTGCACTGGCATTTAGCACTTTGGTGGTGACAAGCCATACCCAGACGGTGGCAAGAGTAATCAAGGAACTCTCCTTTTAAGAAGCCTGATTGCAGCCAGAGACCGGAGGAGGTGAGGTAGTGAGCCATACGGGAATGGAGGGCCGAGAAGTGTCTGAGGAAGCTGTTCCTGGCAGAGGGTGCAGCCTGGCACCGCCTTGGCGGGGGGCGGGCAGCAGGGAATCTGCCTGGCTGAGGCCAAGGAAGGACCAAGATGCGGGGAGCAGCTTTTGAATGGAGTAAGTTTTGTTCAGGGTCATCACTTATTTCAAAAACCTTTTACTTTGGGAGTTTTCTAACATAACAGAAAAGTAGAGAATCAATATATAATCACCCAACTTTAATAACCTTAACCCGTGACCAGTGTACTATCACCAATTCCTCGGCTCCTCTTCCCCAAGTTATTTTGGAGCAAATCTCAGCTATCGTGTTATTTCCTCAAAGGTTTTTTCAGAATGTTTGTTCCCGTTCATCTTTGTGATGCTCAAATTGCCCATTTCAGCAGTAGGAAACCCTTCAGGGTGGTTCCTGTGCCCTTGAGAGGGTGCCCGTGAGGTCACCCTCCTTTCTTTCAGGCATGTGATGTCCCAGAGTTGCAGTCAGTCATTTCCCTGGGAATCCCCAGTTCCTGTGGGAAGTGGCATGAAAGCTCTGGAGACTGGCTCTGGGTAGTAGGCATGGCTGCTACAGGGTTTTCACTGCTCCAGGAATTTCAGTGCACAGAGCCAGACAGCTTTGGGTTTTGGAAAGGAAGCATAATTTACATTACCAAGGGTTGTGTTGGCTGCTGTGTTGGCGGTACTGTGAAGGGGCAGAGGCAGGGAGAGTGGTGCAAGGCTGCCTGTCCGTAGTGCCAGGCCAGCATGGCAGTGCACAGCAGCCTTCGTGTGGGATTATTGCCAGGATTTACAAAAGGATTCAATTTGGGGTGTGAGGTGAAAAGGGGGCAAGGATGACAGCAGAGTTTTCAGCTGGAGTTACTTACTGAGGTGGAGGAAGTTGTAGGAGAATCAGCTTCCTGGAGAGAGGCAGGAAGGCAAGTTAAGTTTGAGATCTGAGCTGAGACATGAGTCTAGTTCAAGGGAAGTGTCCAGCCCAGAGGTGGGTCCTAGGTCATCAGCATGTCAGTGGCATGAGAACCCTTGGGCTGAGGAGCCTGGGAAGCCCATCGTGGAACGGAGGGAAGAGTAGGAGGGAATCCAGGAACCCCTGTGTGGCCACCTGCTGCAGGGCAGGAGGAGGAGGAGGAGCAGGGGTCCTAGGAACAGGGAAGAGAGGGGAGAGCCAGTGGGGAGTGTGTGTTGGGCTCATGTCTGGCAGCACTGAGACCGGCTTGGGATTAGTGTCAGGACCGGGATGGTGTGGAGTAGAGGTGTGGTTAGTACAGTGGAGTGTGGGAGTCGGACCTCGGTCATATGGACTCTTAAGGGATGGTGGCACATCCTAGTGAAAATGTCCCCTGGGCAGCTGGGGTGAAATCCTTGTACTGGTCACTCAGAGCCAGACACCACCCCTATCCCAGATCTTCGTGAGAATCAGGAGGAGGCACATGCTCAAGGCCAGGGCTGGGCAGGGGCTGGATTTCAGACCCGACTTCTCCTTTCCTCCTCAGGCAGCATCTTGAAGGACTAGAGTGCCCGACTGTCCAGCTGAAGCTGTGAGACTAAATTAGTTCTTGGAAAGAAGAAGTGGCAAGGGACAACTGAGAGTTGGCTTTGGGACATGACCACAGAGAACCAGTTCTCTGTTTGGTGGCACTTGAGGTAGACCCATAAGATAGGCCTCCTTATGGCAGAAGTGGAAGAGTCAGCCTGGGCATTTGGGGCACAGAGGTCAGGAGAAAATCATGCAGTGTCTGTTCTGCTTTTAGTCTCATGGTGATATAAGCAGTTCTCCATAAAACCTTTTATTCAATGAATAGTGGACGAGTAGTATTGCCTGGATATTGAAATTTCAAACTAACCTTGCCCTGCTATGGAAAACAAGCTGTTTAAACATCTTAGATTTGATCGTGTCTGTCTGGGAATTCCCCATGGGGCCATTCCCAGAGGGCACCAGGGCCAGCACTAACCACCTTCCATCTCTTCAGTGGAGGTGGAGGCAGAGAGCACGAGAAGCATTACTCCCCGTTCCGGATCATCCCCTATTTGGTTCATGTACATAGCTCTACCCAACCAGAATCAGAACCTTGCTGTCTAACGCTGGTTGAGAAGATTCACTCTGGTTATGAAGGTAAGTCAGGAGGACCTGCCTTTAGATGAGATGCAGAAATGCCAGCAATCAGATAGGAACACAGCGAAGCCTGTTCACTGCAGCCCTAGGGCAGAAAGATGCTTTTTTTTAGGAGTTGGGCTCCTGGACTCTGAGCATACTTGTCAGCTTTTACTGACCTTGACTTCCGGAGCAGCCATCTTCACTGACTGCCTGGCCTCACAATCTTAGCTTGGGACTTCAGACAGATCCATGGTCCTCCAGTCCCTTCTCTGCTGGTGACCCATTCTGTAGGGCTTTTTGATTCTGTCTGTGTGGAATTTGAGCACTGAAACTGATGCATAGAGAGGCCACAGGAGTGAATGCATTTTTTTTTTTTTTTTTTTGTGAGGGGTTGCTGGGGATTGAATCCAGGGCCTTATACTTGCGGGACAAGCACTCTACCAACTGAGCTATACCCCCAGCCCCTGGAATGTATGTTTTTAAAAAACTGTTTTGAAACTTGAGCAAGCAGAGCCATGTTTCTAAACTCACGTGCCAGTGCTCAGGCAGCTCTGGGTGCTGTGGCAGTCACTGCCATTCTGATGTAGCATGCTTGCCTGCACGAACTCACAAACCTGCAGAGCTGTGGTGACAGTAGGGTCAGCCCAAAACTTATTCACACTTGAAAAATAAGACAGGATTCTAATAAAAATAAAAGCTCATTTTACACATTCATGCTTTTTTTTAAAAAATTTTTTTAGTTGTAGATGGACACAATACCTTCATTTTACTTGTTTATTTTTATGTGGTGCCAGGGATCGAACTCAGTGCCTCATGCATACTAGGCAAGTGCTCTGCCACTGAGCCACAACTCCAGCCCCATCATGCTTAAGAGATACTAAACACTGCAGTACGCCTGGCAGACAACACAGGAAGAACCCAGCTAGCAGGATGATGATGGAGTGGTGCATGTTTTAGTGTCTTCAGTGGCTCCAACTTCTGCCTCCATGTTAGGTTTCTTGCAAAAGAAATCGCACCTGAGCAAATGTGGTGCTATAGATGCTCAGATTGTTCCCTAGTGTATCATCTCTTTGTTTTTTAAATCACATGTTGGAGCAAAACTGACAGTAGTGATTTTTTTTTTTTAATATTTATTTAGTTAGTTGTAGTTGGACACAATACCTTTATTTGGGCCTCGGATGTGCTAGGCGAGCACTCTACCACTGAGCCATACCCCAGCCCGACAGTACTGATTTTATTATGCAAAGACCGTCCATGTACTAAGTAAATTTCAGATACTTTTGTTGTTGAGTTGTCTGCAACCACTAACTATCACTAAACTTTTCATTTACTTCTGCTTTAACCACTAGATTATTTGTGATGAAAACAGGCTATTGAGTGGGCACAGAATTTTTCTTCAAAGTTATCCTTAGTGAATGTCACACTTGGTTTGATTAAGATGTAGTTAATGAAAATTCTTATCATTTGTCTGTAGCTTTGGCTGCTGGAAGGCCTGGACCCCAAGGGAGATTTCCACTATTTCATATAGTGATGTTAGTTCCTTTTTTTTTTTTTTTTAATTTTATTATTAGTTGTTCAAAACATTACATAGTTCTTGACATATCATATTTCATACATATTTCAAATATGTTGGTTCCTTTTTAATATGTTAAGCAGTAGTTAAGTGGATTTAATTAGCCATTGCCTTTAAATGGGTCTTTCTGTTTTCTCCTAGCTCCTCGAATCCCAGTGGATAAAAGAATTTTTACCACAACACACACCCCAGGGTGTGTGTTTCTTGAAATAGATGAAAGGTAAGAATTTCTTTAAATCTATAAGAAATTTGTTCCTGAAAATGTATTAAATATGAGAAAAAGTTTACATCAGGTTTGCATGCTCTTCTACATTGTGAAGCTGCAGTCCATCCCTTTGCCCACAAGATTGTTGTTAGTTAGGTTGGAATTTATTTGTGTTGTCTGATTTTTAACATAAACACTTGATATATTTCTAAAAGTGATTTACAAGAGACCATATTAGATTTCATGATGCTTTAGGTGGCCGGTCAGTCCTTCTTCGCAGAAGCACACAGTGAACCTGGGAGCCAGTTTACCAGTAATACCCATGATGTTGGACACTCAAACTGGTCACTGGCTTCTCTAATCCCAGGCATTCCCAGTGGACAAGTGTTCCTCAAATCAGTTTATGAAGTGGGGGAAAAGTTGTTTTTTTTTTTTTTTTTTTTTTTTTTTTAAGAGAATTTATTTAAAGAATTTTTCTTTATTTTGAATTTAAGTCATTCCTTCTTTCTTTGAGGAGGGTGTTTAGATAGTTTTTGTTATTTAAAGAATAGTAATGGTAGATATTAATAATTGCTTATCACTGATTTTCAATATCTTTATTTGGAAGTATTAAAGATTGATATTATATTTGTAACTGCCATTTTCCCTCACATTTATTTTTGAATTTTAATTATTAAAGAAATTTGAAAATCTGGGAATCCATGCTGTTCCACACATAGTGTAAAGTAAAAATGACAAAAACTTGGGCATAATAATGATAAGTATTAATTTTGATTTTTAAAAAGCTTAACATTTTTTTTTTTTTAAAGAGAGAGAGAATTTTAATATTTATTTTTTAGTTTTCGGCGGACACAACATCTTTGTTTGTATGTGGTGCTAAGGATCGAACCCGGGCCACACAAATGCCAGGCGAGCGCGCTACCGCTTGAGCCTCATCCCCAGCCCCCCCCCCCCCAAAAAAGCTTAACATTTGAAAATGGGTTTATTAATTATAGTTACCCTGAAACCAAACAGTAATTAATGAAATACTTTGTATAATATATTCTGTGTAAAGTTAGAAAATCGAAGGCTAATTCTGTAAATAGCTTGAATTTATTGCATTAGAAAATGTTTTTGGAAATAGTCATGAAGTCAGCTTTTTCTAGGGCAGTTTTACTCTTATCATAACAGTTTTCCCATGAATGTGTTAAGTGTCCTAAAAGTGTTTCTGTGTCTACTTCATATCATCTTTTGTATTTAAGTATTCTTAAGCATGCTATGTTAATCAGCTTTCTGTTACTGTGACAAAATATTCGAGATAATCAACTTGTAAGGAGGAAAGTTTTATTTGGCTCACAGTTTCAGAAGTTTCAGTCCATGGCTGGTTGGCTTCATTGCCTTTGCATCTGTGGCCAGACAGAACATCCCTGCAGGAGCATGGGGTGGAGCAAAGCTGTGGCCAGGAAGCAGAAAGAGAAAGCGCAAGGGGCCAGGGTCCCCAGTAACCTGACTTCCTTCCACTAGACCCTCCACACTGAAGGTCTCAACATGTGCATGGGCCAGGGGCCAAGCCTTTAATGTGGGCTTTTGGAAACATTCAAGATCTAAATTATAACAACACTGTATAAATTTGTAACCTGCTTTATTCATTTAAAATTATCAGCATCTATGTTATGATTTTTTTTTTTTTTTTTTAATGGAAACATAATGGGCATCAGACTCTTTCTGAAGAACTTGCTGGAAACAGATGCCTGGTCTTACCAGGTCTGTCTTCTGGCTCATTCTATGTGTGTTTGTGATGCAGCTTCTCTATTGACACCAACATTTACTGGATCATAAGACCATTTCCCCTCAGTGCAGCCACTTACTTTGTTGCTTTTATAAATCGTTTCATGAGCTTGGCGCAGCGGCGCGCCCGGCGGGTGGGTTGCTGAGGCGGTGGCCCCAGTGCAAGGGGCGCCCCCCATGTGCGCCCGCCATCCCGGAGGTGGGGGTAGCTTGGTGGCTGCGGTGGACCGAGAGGGCCAGCGCGAAAGCTCACTACCCATATAATGGATTTTATAGTTCAGATTGTTTTATTCTGGATTTCATGGTAACAAAACAGGAAGTATACTTAATTTCTCATTTCTACAAGTAGTCATGACTACTGAGAAAACAATTTTTTTAAACTACAGCAGAATTCATCTTGGTACCTTTTATGGAAATCCTGATTTTGTTTTTGATTTTGATAACCTTTTGCTAAAGGTATGAAGAAGCAACTTATCTTGTTAGGCAAATACACATTTATAAGAATGTCTAGATGAGGATCAATCCTTCACACCCGGACCCACTGGCTACTGTTAGGACTGGCTTTGCTCTGTAGTTTGGTATTATTTATGTACCTTCTGGAGTGTGCCCCTCAGACTGATGGAAATGCATCTCTTCCTGCTGTTGTCGGAGAAAATTATGGTAAAGAGTACTATCAAGCCCTCCTACAGGAGCAAGAAGAACATTATCAAACCAGGGCAACCAGTCTGAAACGCCAAATCGCCCAACTAAAACAAGAATTACAAGAAATGAGTGAGAAGATGAAATCATTACAAGAGAGAAAGAATATAGGGGCTAATGGCATAGGCTATCAAGGCAACAAAGAACAAGCACCTAGTGATCTTTTAGAATTTCTTCATTCCCAGATTGACAAAGCTGAAGTTAGCACAGGAGCCAAACTACCCAGTGAGTATGGGGTGATTCCTTTTGAAAGTTTTACTTTAATGAAAGTATTTTAGTTGGAAATGGGTCTCACTCGACATCTTGAAGAAAAGCCGCTTAGAAAAGACAAATGAGATGAATTGACAGACGTTATTGAAGCTGGCTTGGAGGTCATTAATAATCCTGATGAAGATGATGAACAGGAAGATGAGGCGGGTCCCCTGGGATAGAAACTTATATTTAATGAAAATGACTTCATAGAAGGTTATTGTCGCACTGAGAAAGATAAGGGAACACAGTATGAACTCTTTTTTAAGAAAGCAGACCTTATGGAATATAGACGTGTGACCCTCTTCCGCCCTTTTGGACCTCTCATGAAAGTGAAGAGTGAGATGATTGACATTACTAGATCAATTATTAATATCATTGTGCCACTTGCTGAAAGAACTGAAGCATTTGCACAGTTTATGCAGAACTTCAGGGATGTTTGTATTCATCAGGACAAGAGGATTCATCTCACAGTGGTGTATTTTGGTAAAGAAGGTCTCTCTAAAGTCAAGTCTATCCTAGAATCTGTCGCAAGATTGGCTTCTTCCACATGGTGAGGGATATGGCTGTTGGCGGCTCTGGGCTCACATCTTCTCAGCTTTGCCATCAGAGAGGAAAGAGCTTTCTCCCAGCTCTCGTTGAGGAAATCCCAGGAAAGGACATTTTGCCCACTCTTGAGCCAATCACATTGGCCAGGTGGGGTGGGGGTTTTGTGATTGACCCCACTTGAGCCTGGTCCCCACTCCTAGGACATTATGTGGTTGGGCCGGGTAGAGTGAAGGGTATTCTGTGATCAGTGTTTTACTTGGTACTAGGCATGTGGGGTGGCAATGGACAGTTTCCACAAAAGAAGGGAAAGATTTATATGACATAAGATAAGGAGAAGAATATGGACACCCAGAACACTTAGAGTCCAATCCATGCATTATTTGAGCTTTTACTTCCATCTCTCCATTACCCAAGCTATACTGTTGTAGGAGTAATCTTCCTCACATGTTCCTGTTTTTGATTCAACTGTATCCCTAGTGCAGTGGTTCTCTAGCTTTAGTGTCAGAGGCACCTGGAGGGCTTACTGAAACTCAGAGACTTGGTTCCACCCTTGGCCTCTGAGTCAGTGTCTGAGGTGGAACCTGAAAATTTGCATCTAATATGGTGCTAGGGAGTGCTTTGCTGTGGGTTTGAGGGCCTCGGGGTGAGAACCACTGTCCTAGCAGAAAACCTTGCTGACTCCCCCCTTGTTTAGGATACTGACCAAGTTCTTTAACTTTGCATGATAGGTGTACCTCAATCTGAGCCTCCTCTCATTGTTCCCATGTTAGGGTCCCTTTGTTCCCATCTGATTTGTCTGACCTCCAAATGCTTTCTTTCTTACCTCTTTCACTTTTGAGAACAATTATTTGGAATGACCTGTACACTTACCAGTGACTTCAGGATTTTAACCCAGGCATAACTCAAGTTCTGCTTCTAATATCTTCTCTAAGTACTCCATACATAAGCAATCTCTTCCCAGACCTGCTATTCATTTATTCATTCATTCATTTAGCAAATGCATATTGAACTCCTACTCTGTGAGGAGCACTGTGTGCATGGTAATGAACAAAACAAAATCCCTACTCTCATGGAGTCGGGAAGACACTCACACAAACATGTCTGGTGATACTAAGGAAAACAGCCAGGGAAGAGGATGGAAATTAAAGAGTGGGAGATTGGACTACTTCTGAAATGGTATCTGGAAATATCCCCCTGATAAGGAGGCATTTATGCAGAGACCTAAAAGATATCAGAAAAGCTCTCTTTGTGTGTATCATCTATGCCCAGAATTTATTATTATTATTATCATCATCATCATCATCATCATCATATTATCATTATCATCATCATATCATCATATTTTTCCGTGTGTGTATTTCTTATCTCCCCAGTAGGTTTTTAAGATTTTAAGGGTCTGTGGCCACTTGGTAACTGGAAATCTCATACCATACCACCATCATATTTCCTCATATGTGGGAAATTAGTGAATATCTGTCCCTGATGATGGGAAGCTGATGATTTCCTTTCCCTTGTGTGAATATAAAACCAACATAATAAAATATTTGAAGTATAAAAATAAATAAATAAATAAATAAATCGTTTCACGAACATATTTTGCATAAGTTTTTTTCCTATTTAGAACTTAGTAAGGAAGTGTTTTCAGGGACATTTTTGGTGGCTTTGTTGTTGTTGGGTTTTGCTTCTCAGAACTGGGGATGAAACCCAAGGCCTCTCATGCAGGGCAAGCACTCTACCACTGAGCTGCACCCCCAGCTGAGAAGCATTTTTAAAAGTGTGTGAAGTGTACAGTTACTCAATGAGTGTAACCTGCTGCCTTTGTTGTGTCCTCGGTCCAGAGCAGTGCCTTTGCTGGGCTACCTCCCTCAGGATCTGACTGGAACCTCTGTGTTAGCATGCCTGCACCCTGAAGACCGGCCTCTGATGGTCACCATGCACCAGAAAGGTAGGACCTGTTCCTCTGCAGGGGGAGTTTTAACCACTGATTCGTCCAACTTTTCACTTCGTTTCTCTTTGGCCAGTAGCCTTTAACTAGATCGGCAGCAGGTTGAGACCCTAAAGCAATTGTTCTCTATTTCAACACTTGAAAAAATTGACAGATGAACAACTTGAAAAGAGCACTTGTAATCAGTGTCTCTAAAGTCACTTTTGTCTTCTCATTTCACGTAGTCTTGAAGTATGCAGGCCATCCTCCCTTTGAACACTCACCCATTAGATTCTGTACTCAAAATGGAGATTACGTCATACTGGATTCCAGCTGGTCCAGCTTTGTGAACCCCTGGAGCCGGAAGGTTTCCTTCATCATTGGTCGGCATAAAGTTCGGACGTAAGTCAATCGGCTTTAATATTTTCTAAACATCTTTTTTACTAAATAATATTCTTTAGCCCACTGACTGCCCCTTGAAGCAGTTGGCACCTGAAGTAAATAATGTCAGACTTAGAGTGTCTTAAATGTCCATTGTTAAGTAAACTCTGGAATATTTGCTTGATGTATTATTATATTGGTCAATAAAAATTTTTGCAGAAATTACCTAACATGATACCTAGAATGTTTGACATGTTAGATGTAAAATGCAGCATACAAAGTTATCTACACCTGTCCTTCTAATTGTGTTTCCGACATACAAACTGAAATAGGGAAAAGAAGATCAGAGGAAATAAAAAATTAATATGGGTTAGGTATGAGTAGAGGAACTAAGGATTTTTTCCCTCTATTTGCTTCTTCTATATTTTAAAGATCTCCATAGCGTGTACAACTTCTTATGTCAGCCTTCTGTTGTCAAATTTTACCTTGTAGTATGTTTTTTGTTTCTGTTTTTAATTTCTTATTCTGGTTTGTTGTATATGACAGAATGTATTACAATTCATATCACACATAGAGCACAATATTTCATATCTCTCGTTGTATACAAATTATATTCACACCATTCGTGTCTTCATGTACTTAAGGTAATGATGTCCATCTTAGTCCACTGTCTTTGGTATCTGTTTTATTAAATCTTGATTTTTAAAAAATCGGATTCTTCACTCTTTCATTTCCTGCCAGCATGACTGACTCCTGTTCCTTGTCCATGCAATGACATCATGTGAATGGATCTGGAGCAACCTGGCTGCCTTTGTCCCTTGAATTTTTTAGTTGACCTGTAGGGTTTTTTGACCTGGCCATCAGTTTCTTTTTGATAGCATAGCTGGAGGTTTTGGGTGGTGGTAGTGGTGGGTGGTGTTTGCTTTTTTAAGGATAGAAAGCATATTTACCTCTGCTTGACATGCTGAAATCAAGAAGTTATGTTTTGTACTTTGGTATACAACTTTGTGTACGTAAGTGTAAAACTAGAATAGCTGGGTGCACGCGTGTAATCCCAGTGGCTTGGGAGGTTGAGGCAGGAGTATTTTAAATTCAACACCAGACTCAGTAACTTAGCAAGGCCCTAGGTAGCTTAGCAAGATCCTGTCTCAAAATAAAAAAATAAAAAAGCACCCCTGGGCTCAATCCCTGGTACCAAAAAAACCAACCAGACCAAAACAAAAACCTGAGAACAGTAGATCTACCAATAAAATGTATTTTATCAGATTTTTTATATGGCAGTGGAGATGGTTCGTATTCCCTTCATGATGAGAAATGTCTTGAGGTTTCCCTTACTGCTTTGTACTCTAGGGTTTGGCCTCTGCAGAGCAGGTTTAGAACCTCAATGGGAGGAATGGGTTCCTTGCTACTCTGAGATTGATTTGTGTTTAAAAATAATTTAAAAGTTTAAATAGGAAATAGAACTACCAAGTGAGTACTGTTTGTGCCAGTGAGAGGGAGACTTTTCTTCTCTCAGTAGGAAACCTATTGGGAAATGAAAATAAAATCAGGTAACTTCTCAGGGCAAATGTGGCGGAAACCCAGAGCAAATAAAATTTTTTTCCTAAAACATCCATCCAGGGGTTGTTGATGGGTCTGTGTCCCCTGCCCCCAGGCAGTGCCTGAGAGAAATCCTAGATTTTTTAGGTCACCCTTTGAGTTTTTTGATAGAATATGTGTGGAATTACCTGATACATAATCAATCCTCAGACTGTTGTCAGCATTTTTAAAAAATACGCCACTGCTTACATCTCAAGACCCAAGATTATATGATGAAAAGAATGTAGAGTCTACAGGTATTAATTTTTCATAAAATAGAGTTGTTCATCATATTTACAAAACTATTTTCAATGCAGTATTCTTTCAAGTATTTAGGGCTTGCCTGCCCTGGTGAGGCACTATGCTAGACCCTGAGAGTGAGAAGGTAAACAAAATATTCTCTCGCCTTCATGGAACCCACATGTGTGTAAGGGGAGAGACAGTAAATAAAAATGGTGTTGTCAGTCCAGGCGCAGTGGCATGCACACTCTAATACCAGCTGATCAGGAGGCTGAGGTAGGAGGATCACAAGTGAAAGCCAGCCTGGGAAACTTGGTGAGACCCTGTGTCAGAAAAAAAAAAAAAAAACAAAGGCTCTGCCATACAGGTAGAATTTAAGGAAGTGTGACCATTGAAATGGGCAGGGGGCTGTGTTTTACAAGAGACCCACCCACATCTCTCTGGGCCCTTCCTGGAAGCTCTGTGGGCAGGGAACTTAGGTCCTGAGACTTCTTATTTTACAGAAAAAACTCATATTCAGCACAATTTTCCTAGAGATTGTAACCAAAAGCTGGGTCCTTGTCCCCATGCCAATTCAATAACTAGGACATGGTTTTAGGAAAAAGAAGTTTTATTGCTTTGCTAGCAAAGGAGGAACACAGGGGACTCCTGTCCCAGAGGCCATGGTTCTCTCCATCAGGAGGAGCGCAGGGATTTTAAAGGAACTCCTCAAGGGTTACATTCCAGGAGTGCTCTGGTAGGGGTCCCAGGTGCCCACCCTGAAGGCATGTTAGGATTCACTTGTTAATTTGGAGATAGATATTCACTTCCTAGATCCTCCACTGGCTTCTTCTTCCTGTAGTGGATGTATTCCAGGACAGTTAACTAGAGGAAGAAAACACTGTCTCCCTAATCTTGTTTAAAAAAAAAAAATTCTTTAAAAAAAAATAAGCCTCAGGGGCTGGGATTGTGGCTCAGCGGTAGATCACTCAAGCGCTCCCCTAGCATGGGCAGGACCCGGTTCGATCCTCGGCACCACATAAAAATAAAGGCATTGTGTTGTGTCCATCTACACCTAAAAAAAAAAATTAAAAAAAAAAAAGCCTCAGAGCATATATTCAGATTATATTAAGAATATAATCATATATTCAGATTTTCAAGCTCATAGTGCACAGAAAGATGGAACATGTTTTGAGTCATGTAAACTTTTTTTTCTAGATAACTAATCATTTATATTAATTCTTGCAAAAGGTGAAGTGGCCACTGTTGTGAGGTCACTTAGAGAAGAAGCAGAAAGTGGAGAGTGAGGCCTGGCCCGCTTTCTTCCTGCTCACTCCCCTGCACACATCCGCCTGGTACTGCTCAGCCGCTTGGCCACCACCTGCAAGTTAATCAGCTGGATTGAAAATAGTCTTGTAGAAATTTTCACAACTAAGAATATTTAAATCTCAGAGTATAAAATAGTCTATATTCTGTTTCCATTTCAGAAATTTACCCAAAAAACAAAATCTAAATACATGTGAAAGATTTTCAAGCTCATAGTGCACAGAAAGATGGAACATGTTTTGAGTCAGATGAACTTTTTTTCCAGATTACTAATCATTCATTTTAATTAATTCATTCTTGTAACACATGTTTTGTGGGCGTCTGCTGTGCACCAGAAACTGTTTTTGGTACAGAAGGTACAGGAGTGAAGAAAGACAAAACCTGGCCCCATGGAGCTTACATGGCAGTGGGAACAGACAGGGAACAGACTGGAGAGCAGTTAATTAGGTGAGGTGCAGCCTGTTGGGTTGTGAAGCAGGGCACAGCACACTGTGCTGTGCTGAGAGGTGTTGATGAGTCGCTGTTTATCATCTAGGTGCTACTGGACACAGAGATGACTAGGGCTGTGCATGATGAGTGAATGGTCCCCAAATGTAGATTTATTGCTGACTACTCTTATGACACTGCTGATATCCTATGATTGTCTGATAATGAAAATAATGATTATTTTCAGTGCAGTATTCTTTCAAGTATTTAGGGCTTGCCTGCCCTGGTGAGGCACTATGCTAGACCCTGAGAGTGAGAAGGTAAACAAAATGCCGATATCCTATGATTGTCTGATAATAATTTCTGCCTTTGTGAGAGTGTTTTAGAGTTTTAGGTAACTAAACTTTATGTACAAGTGGTAAGAAATAGCAGACTGGTGTCCTAGGAAAACAAACACTGGCTCTGAGGTCAGACATGGATTCAGACCCTGGCTTTGCTGCTTCTTGGTTACGTAAATTGGGCATGTTCCCTGGACACTCAATTCCTCCCACTGTATGTGTGCATGCATGGGATGCTGGGAGCAGACCCAGGGCCTCACACACGCTGGGCAAGCTGAAGCTGTCTGCCTCTGATCTACAGCCCCTGACTCTCATCTCACTTTTAAAAGTCAGGAATACCTCCTGCTTCATGGGATGCAGTGAATTAGTGTATTTAATTGGGTAGACCTCATTAGTCCTTGCTTTGCTGAGGTCCCAGGAGGTAGAGCCAGCCATACACGGTGGCAAAGGCATGGACCTTGGGGCTTAGACTCCAGTCCCATCACCCATCCTTGCTTGCCCCTTACCAACTAGGTCACCTGGGAAGGTTGTAATTCCAGTGAATAATATTTACACTCGGAATAGTTCCTGGTACATCATAAGTGTTTTGAGATGGTGATTCTTCTTATTGTATATTATAAAAACTAGTACAATTCTTGTCACAAAGCAGATCCTAAATGTGTTCATTTCGCCTCCTTTTTGTTATCTTTGTTGGCATGTCTGTTGTTCACTATACTCAGTAGTAGATTTTAAATCTGTAGAATTTGAGTATACACGGGCCTGAAAGTAATTTGGTGACAGCCACACCTTCACCATGACTGTGAGTTAGACTCCTGTTAATAGATAGGTTAAGTGATTAGGGGCATCAAACATTAGTTGTTGTTTGGCAAACTTGGGTGTTAAAACTCCTAGAGGAACTTGCTGAGTTAATGTCAAATTTTGAAGCCAGACATTATTGAAGATGTTTTAGAAGCTAAGGAGGCTACTTGTCCAGAGCAGCAAATAAATTATTGCTTTGAACTCCATAGCCTTGGACAGCTTGACTGCATCTGGGAGTCTTTCCATGAGAAGGCGTAGAAAGACACACCCATTTGCAGGCAGCAGCTGTTAATGGGGCCAATTCCATGCCTGGCATGTAATTTTAGATGCCTGCCAGCCTGTACACCTGCTAGCCTGTACGTCTAGTGCACTAGACACCAGTGAGCCTGAACAGCCTAGAGGCGCCAGCTACCTGCAGGAGGGAGACTCACTGTGTAAGTGATAAGGCCCCTACTGTGCCAGTTTCCCTCTTCAAGAACCCTTCCTAAGAATGCATTCTTTTCCCCTATAAAATAAAGGTTGGTGGGCTTTCTCCCTTTGTTAGGCTCAGACCCATCAGGTACTCCTGACTTTTAAAAGTGAGATGAGAGTCAGGGGCTGTAGATCAGAGGCAGACACCTGTCAAGCCCCTGCTTTCATATATTTCTTGTCTCTTTTGTCTTTATTTCTTAATATTATGTTTTCAGCCTTTTATTTCCAGGCAGCCCACACCTCCGTACGGTTACTGATTTCCCTCCCCATGCAGGATGCGGTGGGAGCTACTCGTCACTGATTTTATTTATACATATGGCTGTGATTACAGAAAGATTAGTGCCTCAGAGAAACTTACGAAGCCTGTCAGTGCCTCATTTGTTTCTTGTATTTACTATACCTCTATGAAGAGAATTTTAGCTTCATATTTCCTGTATTTGGAGTCAAGAGTCAAGAGTTGCTTTATAAAAGCACAAACTTATTTTCGAGTAAAATTGTTAAAAATCACTCTGGACTTCATTGTAAATGGATTTAAAATTGCTTGATTCACCCTTTACTTGGCATTTTATAGGAGTCCACTAAATGAGGATGTTTTTGCTACAAGAATAAAAAAGATGAACAGTAATGAAAAAGACATAACAGAATTACAAGAACAAATTCATAAACTTCTGTTGCAGGTAAAGTGAAAAATATTAAAAACCAAACACAAAATTACATAATTGGGTTTCATGTTAGCATTCAATATTAATAAACTCACTTCCTGAACTGTAAGCAAAGAGAAATTTTTACCTCTACATAAATTTTTGTCTTTAGATTAAATTATGCTAACTTTTTTGCTCCTTATTTCATGTGAAATATAGGGAATCCTTTTGGAAAAACGCATTGTAAAACAGCCTACCGAGTCACAGCAGTTGGGCAACAACCTTTCTACCCGAGAGGCACCACCAGCATGTTCAACCTCTCGGTTTTGGCGTATTTTTTTTTTTTTTTTAAATAATCCCAACTTTAAAGGTGAAGGAAAGGGACAGTAAGTTTCAGTATCTGTAGTTATTAGAAGGTAAAAGCAGGAGAAATTGCCTGTTGAAAAGAAATACCAAAGATGGTTTCTACTAGTAAATAAAAATGAGTGTCACATAGATTAGCCCAGTGGTTTTCAAAATGTCTTTGATAAAATCTCTAGGATTTGTGAAGTGTCTGTGAAGTTCTCCAAAAAATGGTGTATATTTAGTTTGTTCTGTTTATACTAAACTCAGCATAAATAAATAGAATTTATTTTCATGTTTTAAAAATTATTTATACTATGCATTTAAAACAATTGCTGTTCCAGAAATATCCACTTAGACTGGGAATCAAGACTTTGCCCTTGACAGTAAATGACAAAGGAGTGTCTTTCTTATCAGCATCCAGGTTAAAAACATCAGCCCCAAAATATCTAATTTAGGATGGGGGATTTCTGAAGTTAATTTTCTGATGATTTTAGAGAAACTCTCAGGTGCTTAATGCTACCATTTGCCATTTATATAGCCAGAGACTCTGAAATTAGGCTTCTTCTCTCTCAGCCTATTCACATGAATACTTCCAGTGGCTATGGGAGCCTGGGAAGCAGTGGTTCGCAGGAGCACCAGGTCAGCGTGGACTCTTCCAGCGAGTCGAGTGGGCATTGCATGGAGGAAGTGCAGAAGGAGCCGGTGCGTGCAGATATGTTCCTGTGCAGGCGCTGGGTGGTCTGTCAGTACTGGGCCTGCACTTGATGACATCTTCGCCCTCAATTGATAAGAGACATTTCAATCCATTTTGATTTGAAAACCTGTAAAAAAAAAAAAACAAAAAAACCAACTTTGGAAGATGATATTTGGATTAATTGTATGCTTTCTAAAAATTAGCATGCTGTAAACTGATGCATTTAAAGTCACATTGGCACCATGTACCATGGCCCATGGGCAGTTGAGTTCAAGCCATGGCTTTTCTTGTTGTGTCTTCAGAGAACCAGAAGTGAACAGTGTTTTGTTTATGTATATTTTCATGTACATATTTATAATATTTGAAACCTGTCTTATCATTCTTTTCCTAAGATGACCTTGAAGCAGGTCTACGCCAGTGTGAACAAAATTAAGAATCTGGGTCAGCAGCTCTACATCGACTCAATGGCCAGGTCGTCAGTCAAGCCAGTGATGGGGACATGCCCAGAGCCCTCTGGTGGTGGTGAGTCAGAGTTCCTGAGGCCTCCCCGAGGGACTGAGCTCTCCTGCAGAGTGTTGCACGGGAGCCTGGAGTATGAAGCCCTGAGCCATGTGGCTGCTTTTCAGCTTTCTTAATTTGCCCAAATGACATTAGTAAAACAGCAATAATGGTGGCAACAGATACTATTCTGAAAGCTAAATGGTATTAAAATGTGGCTCTGATGTATTTTTATTGAAGAATTAACTTTTATGATAATACCTGCAAATTCAAGATTTTCCTATTTCCGTATAAACCAAGAGTTGATTTTTGAATGAAAAACATTGTTTTTTTTCCTTAATACATGCTTACTTTTCTCAAGCATGAGGTAAGGACTACTTCAAAAGAATTGATCAATTGTATTAGTGGCATTATTTTGAAAAGTTAACCTAGTTACATTATATAGCAGAGGAAAGTACTCTGATATAGAAATCACGTCAGATTGACTTTTTAACTTAGCTAACTTTCCCTTCATTTTTTTCCCTGAATGTTAATGTAATTTTGGCAGTCATGATAGATTTTAGTCACCTCAGTGGTATAAATGGTCTCTATCATTGTCAGCTGTAGGCATTTTACATGGTGGGGGTGATACTCAGTCTTCCTAAAGCCAGTAATGAATGACAGTCCAATAGCTGTTTCTCAGGACCTGACAGCATGTATGCCATAAAAAAATCGCAGTGCTCTTCCTCATGTAAAGTCACGGTAGCCTGCCTTAGTTGTTTTGTGCTGCTGTGTGAGGATCTGAGACTGTGTTGGAGGTCAGGAAGGCTAGGAGCAAGGCGTGGCAAGCTCAGAGTCTAGTAAGAGCCCTGTCTCTGCTTTCAAGATGGATCCTTGAAGCCGCGTGCAGTGGCACACACCTGTAATCCCAGTGGCTCAGGAGGCTGAGACAGGAGGATCACAAGTTCAAAGCCAGCCTCAGCAACTCAGTGAGGTGCTGAGCAACTCAGATTCTGTATCTAAATAAAATACAAAATAGGGCTGGGGATGAGAGTCAGTGGTCAAGTGCCCTGAGTTCAATCCCAAGTACCAAGAAAAAAAGAAAAAGATGGGTTCTGGAGTGCTGAGTCCTTCAGAGGGAGGAGCACTGTGTTCTACAGGGACTGAGCTGGCTCCCTCCAGCAGATCTCACAGCGTTGCCCAGGTGGCCTCAAACTCCCAGGCTCAATGATTGTCCTGCCTGAGCCTCCCAAGTTCTCGGACTCTGGGAGCAGAGCACACCGCGTCTAGCCCCTGTGTAGTCATTAATGACAGTCCTAGAGCCCTCGTGATTTAATTGCACCAAAGCCCCACCTCTGATAGTACCACATTGGGGTTTGAATGCCAACCTACAAATCCCGAAGGGTCACTTGCCTTCAGACCATGAAGAGCTCACAGGGTTCTCCCCAGACCTAACAAGGCCTGCCTGTCAGTTTCCCTTCTCACCTTGGCGGAAAGCATAAGAAATGAATAGCAACTTTTTTTTTTTTTTTTTTGTCTTTAGAAAGCACCAGATTCCCTTTCACACTCCTATTTAAGATAAACCAGGATTTAAACTTAAGAAGAAGAAAAAAGAATTTATCTTAAGTTTCATTCTTGCTATATATCATTTCATGTGTCTTTAAGACCTTTGGGGACGTCTTAAAGTTAACATTTCTAAACGTTTTCTTCATTGTCTGGTCCAGTCTGTCCTGCTCCCTGCTGCCTTGACCTAGGATCTCATTATTAGTGTCACAGTTTTGTATCCTGACTTCTGTATTTCATCTCATTTCCAAGCAGCTTCCTGTCTCACCTCCCGCACTGTCCAGTTTCTTATTACTGTATTGGTCTGGTGACCCCATCAGAACTCTCAAACACTGTAGACAGGCAGACCACAGCTTTTCATCATTTACATGCCATCACATAAGTGACAGGCAGTCTCTCTGCTCACCTGCCGCTTTGGAAACAAATGTTGCTGCTCTTAGACGTTTCACTGACAGCACATGCAGATGTGACTATGGGGGAGGGCGGCCTGTCCCCATTTGGTGTAGCTTTGGAGAACAAATGCCTTTTAAGGATCCTGGCTTTTATTAACATTCTAAGATCCACTGGTTTAAAGAGCTGTAAAAACCTTTCATGGGGCTGGTGTTGTGGCTCAGCGGTAGAGTACTTGCCTAGCACGTGTGAGGGCCTCAGCACCACATACAAATAAAGATGTTGTGTCTGCAGAAAACCAAAAAATAAATATTAAAAAAAAATTCTCTCTTTAAAAAAAACAAAAACAAAAACCTTTCATTGCTGTTTATTTGAGAGATACCAGGATGTGATTCAAGAATGTTGCAATTTAAATGTTAGAACTTGAATAGAGGACTACACCAACAAGAAGGAAGGTGTGCAGTGACCCTGGTACATGTTCTCTATAGTGTGCCAGAACCAAAAAGAACTCAAGTTTTGAGTTTATACTTTTATGTTTCTTACAAGGGCAAATAATGCTTTAAAATAGAATGAGAAATGAGATTTTAAAAGTCCAAATGGGGGAGGGGGGCAACTTTGTCAGCCACGCACACAGATGTCAACTGCCAGAGGCCTGATTGGTTCTGCGTGTCTGACTTGGAGCAGTGCCTGAGTGAGAGCAGGGGGCCCACAGGTGAAGCTGCCTAGGAGGGGCTTCCAGGCTCTGCTCAGGGTTGTGGGAACAGATTCAGCACTCCAAACTCACTATGGAAGACAGACAGCAAGTTCATGACCTTTCTTGACCCCATCAGAGTGCTGGTGTGCCAAGGTTACAGGACAGTCAGCATACCTAAAATCTAAGGCGAGACTTGTGCTTTCAGGGAGGAGTGAGGTGCAGGTGCTAGATTGGGTGCACTGGCTTCCAGCAGCTTGCTGGAGGTGGACCTTCCTGAGTCATGAGCAAAGGGAAGACCAAAAGCTGGAAGTGGAACACATGTAGAAAAAACAAAGCAAAGCAAAAACCTTGCAAACCAGCTGTCCCTGGAAGCATAAAGTGTAGTTAGCATGATCTGAATATGGATTTATATCCATAAAACCATAACAACAACAAACACGAATCTAGTCTAAAATTTAATAGGGTTAATTCAGAGATAGGACTTTCAGAAGGAAAGGCCCAGTCTATACTGTCCTATACAGGTAGTCAGTGTTCAGCAAAAATGTATGAAGCTGTTGAAAAGCAAGAATAAAAAAATCCTCCCAAGAGATAAAGCAGTCACCAGAACAAGGCTCAGCCTGTGGCTCTGAAGTGCACCTGACAGGTCATAAAATAATCCCAGCACTAACCCAAGGCTGGAGGCCACAGGGGCCAGTGTGCAAGCCCAGCATCAGGGTGGGACGGACATCAGGACCACCTGAGACACTGCACACCCTAGTGCCTGTTTTCCTACTGGCTTGTCCCACAACTTAAAAAATATCAAGTAAAGTGACTGAGTTAAAAGGGAATGAAGTTAAGTTTTGCATACTTTGGGGAAGAGTGCCAGAGATGAAGAAGGCCTTTCACCCGCACATCAGGGGAAGAATCAATAAACTCCAAGACAGCTGACTTCAGAAGTTACTTAAACTGACACAGAAACAGAAAACAGCATCCTAAGGATCTGGGAACAATGTCAAACTAACATATGTTCAGTTGGAATTTCAGAAGAAAAAATGGTCAAGAATTTTCCATGGATACAAAATATACTAAGTAAGATAAAATTAAAAAAAAAAAAATTAACCTGGGCATTTTATAGTGAGACTGCTAAGAATAAAACTAAAGAGTACGTATTGAAAATAGCCAGAATAAAAAGAATGAAAATCACATATAGACCCAAAGAAAAGAATCACAGTAGACATTCCTCCAGAAACCAAGCACACTAGAAAGACAATAGAGTGACATCTTCAAAGGAAAAAGCTGCCCACACAGAATTCTATATGGAGTGAAAAATCTCTTCCAGCTATGAAAACAACATAATGATCTTCTCAAACAATAATTGTAGGAATTTATGTGCTAGCAGACTCATTCTGTAGGAAATGCTAAAGGAATTTCTTAAGGTAGAAGGAATAGGATACAAGACCCCCACCCCAAAACATACAACAACAAACTTGGGTCTACACCAAGAAGTGAAGGGCACTGAAAACAGAATAAAAGAAGACAAACTTTATTTTTAATTGCACTAAAAGATAACTGACTAAAGCAAAAATCATTCTGCACTTACAGCATATATAAAAGTGACATATATGACAGTAATACCACAAAGATGGGGAGGGTTAGGACAACACTGTTGCAGGATTTGTATACCTGAAATAGTATTGTTTGAAGATAGATATTGGGTATTTAAGGATTGATATATTAGAAACTTTGTGATAACAATTTAAAATATTTTTAAGCAAATATAAATAATAAGTCAGGGGCTGGGGTTGTGGCTCAGTGATAGAGTGCTCGCCTAGTACATGTGAGGCCCTAAGTTCAATCCTCAGCACCACATAAAAATAAGTAAAGATATTGTGTCCAACTACAACTAAAAAATGTATATGAAAAAAATAAATCAATAGAAGAAATAAAATGAAATTTAAGAAGCAACCCAAAATGAGGGGCTAGGGTGGTGGCTCAGTGGTAGAGTGCTCGCCTCGCACGTATGAGACCCTGGGTTCGATCCTCAGCACCACATACAAAAGTAAACAAGTGAAATAAAGTTGTGTCCAACTACAACTAAAAAATAAAAAAAGAAACAACCTAAAATGAGACAAAAAAAAAGGAGGAAAGAAACAAAACCCAGCAGAATACATAGAAAACATGAGCAAGATGGTACACTTTAACCCAACAACTTCAGTAGTCACATTCAATATGATCTCAGAATACCAGTTAAAAGTCCTATCAGGTAAAAGGATCTTGTTGCATGTTACCTGTTGGAACGCACTTGAAAGCTGGGTGCAGTGATGCGTGCCTGTAATCTGGGCAACTCTGGAGGCTGAGGCAGTAGGATCACAAGTCTGAGTCCAGGCTGGGCAACTTACTGAGACCTTGTCTCAAAATAGAAAGGCCTGGGAATGTGGCTCAGTGGTAGAGCATCCCTAAGAAAGAACCCATGTTGAAAATAAAAATATAAGGTAAAAACAAAAGGTTAGAAAAGACGTCATGCTAATGTAAAAAGAGAAAAAAAGAAAAACAGTTTGGAAAGCTACATAAATATCATACAAAGTAAAGGTGGGAGAAAAATTTTTTTTCCAGGGTTACAGAAAGAGATTGCATGACGATAAAGGGTTTATTGTCCAAGAATGCGGAATAGTCCATATGCACATGTTTACACACCTAATGAGAGAACTGCAAGACACATGAAGCAAAACCAGTGATAGCTGGGGGCTTGAACACCCTGCTCTGAGATAGAGGAGGAAGACAGAAAACAGGTGAAGACGTTAAGGATCTGAGTGACACCTCAGGACTGAACTAATTCACTGTGCAGCAGCAACATAAATCGTTTATTTTTCTCAAGGATATGTGGAACATTCATCAAGATAAACCATATTCTGGGTCCTAATAAAAACTTAACAATTTTTAAAAAACAGAAATTGGGCTGGGGTGGTGGCTCAGCAGTAGAGCGCTCACCTAGCATGTGCAAGGCCCTGGGTTCAATCCTCAGCACCACATAAAAATAAATAAAATAAAGGTATTGTGTCCAACTACAACTTTTAAAAAAATTTTAAAAAACCCAGAAATAATCCTAAGTATGTTCTCTGACCATCATGGATTAAACTAGAAATCAGTAATGAAGATACCTAGAAAATCCCCCAAAAGTTAGAAATTAAGTAATAGACTTCTCACTGACCCAAAGACAACATAAAATATGTGGGATCTACTTAAACCAATGCTTAATGGATATTTACAGCATTAAATGTTTATATGGAGAAAAGAAGAATGATCTCAACTCAGTAACCAACCTTCTCCTTAAGAAATGAGAAAAAGAACAAATTAAATCCAAAATAAGAAAGAAGGAAAGAAATAAAGACCATCTAGATATCAGTGGAATTGGAAACAGAAAAAGAGAAAAAAAAAAAAGCAAATGAAAGTAGTAAATTTTTAGCTTAAAGAATGAAAGAAGGGAAGTCCATACACATTGGGTTTTATCAGAATTGAGAACTCATTTTTTGAAAGATACTGATAAGAAAATGAAGAGATAAAATATTTTCAAATTATACATACAATATAGGACTAGTATCTGGAATACATAAATAACTCTTAAAACTCAACAACAATAAAAAGATGAACAACAATTTAAAAATAGTAAAGAGCCAAGCGAGATGGTCCACGCCTGTAAATCCAGTGGCTCAGGAGGCTGAGGCAGGAAAACTGCAAGTTCAAAGCCAGCCTCAGCAACTTAGGCCTAAAGCAACTTAGCAAGACCCTGTCTCAAAAAATAAAACGGGCAGGGGATGTCTCCGTGGTTAAGTGCCCATTGGTTCAATTCCCAGTACCCCCACCATCACCAAAAAAAAAAAATAGTCAAGAGATCTGAACAGTTTTCCAAAACACATAGACAGCAAATTGCATATGAAGAATTCACAACCTCATTAGTCATTAGACAAAAAGAAAATAAAACTATGTGAGCTCCTACCACAAACCTATTAGAATGGATCAATTAAAATGAGAAAATCTGACAGTGTTAAGTGTTGGCAAGGATGCAGAATAATCAGAACACATATGACTGGGCAAAATGCAAAATTATACAGCCACTTGGAAGAAGTTTGACACTTTTCTATGAAATTAAGCATGTTCTTACCATATAACCTGGCAATTCCATTTTAATTCTTGACCCAAATGAAGTAACCTAAGTTCACACAAAAAACCTGTACAGGGATATTTACCACACTGGACGCAACCCACTTGTCATTCAATAAATGAATGAATGACTAGTACATCCACATGATGGAATATTACTCAGCAGTGAAGAGGAATGGACCTGATGTAGGCAGAAGTGTAGATGAATCCTGACTACATTTTGCTGAGTAAAAGAAGGCAGAGCCAAAAGGTTATATATTGTGCAGTTCTTTTCTGGAATGCTCTAGTTATTTGCATAGGGAGTATGTTCCAAGACTCCTGGTGGATGTCGGAAACCACTGATTGGTACTGACCCCATGTAGTATACACTATGTTTTCCCCATATGTGCGTACTTATAAGTTTAATTTATAAATTGGGCAGAGTAAGAGATTAACAACAATAATTAAATATGTATAATATGTTAGAATAAAAATTATATGAGTGTCCTTTCTTGTGATGATGTGCGATGATAGTGTCTAAGTGAGCAGATGAAGTGAGGTGAATGACGTAGGCATTGTGACATAGTGTCAGTCTACTACTTACCTTCCCAATAGAACTCAGAAAGAGGATCATCTGCTTCTGGTGTCCTGGATCTCTGAGCCCTGACGATGTCAAATGGGTAGCATATTCAGTGTGGATATACCAGACAAAGTTGTAAATCACATCCCAGGTGGAATGGAGCATCACGATCCTCAGAATAGTGCACAATTCACTGCTTGAGAATCATTTATTTCTGGAACTTTCTCAGTTCCTGGAAACTGCGGTTGACTTTGGGAACTGAGATCACAGAAATTGAGACTGCAGATGAGGGCGGATACGTACTAAGGTTGGGTGGGGAAGGATTTGGCTCCAAAGGGGCAGCTAGGAGAGTTCTAAATGATAGGAGTATTCTGTTGGTTACTGTAGCAACTGAGGCACGGCTCCATATCAGTTGGTGAAGACCCATTGAGGCCCCACCCCAGAATGTAGGGAGAACCTAACCTGGTAGGCCAGCTGTGACAAACGAATCGGTGTTTCAATTGAATGGTGTAAGCATGCAGAAGGAGATAGGGAAGAAAGGAGCTGGGTAGCTTTTGAAAACAACATTTTCAGTGGATACTCTAGAGCTAAACACAAAATGCTAACATGCACCAACACTGGACTCCAAATGGTTTATTTCTTTCTCATTAGAGCAATTCTTTTTTGGAGGGAGAGGTATTGGGGATTGAACTCATTCACCACTGAGCCACATCCTCATCCCTATTTATATTTTTTTACTTTGAGAAAGGGCCTCACTAAGTGCTTTAGGGTCTCGCTAAGTTGCTGAGGCTGGCTTTGGACTTGAAATCCTCTTGCCTCAGTATCCTGAGCTGCTAGGATTATAGGTGTGTGCCACTGTGCTTGGCTACCAGTGCAATTCTGAAGCTGATTTATATGTAAACTGGGGTTGAACAAATTGGTGAATGTGATACAAATAAGGATAACGATACTCCTCACTATCATAGAAGTTTCAGATAATTGGAAAAGGAGTGCTAGAATGAACTCTGTGATCATGTTGGCTTAGAGATAAAGACATTAGGAGGAACTTGGGCATTTTTGTCTAATGGATGGATGGACATACATACAGATGGACAGACAAGGGTCGGTATACGAACATACTTACCAGTTCTGATTGTCGAGGATCCACAAGCAAGGACACATGTGGCCAGATCTTGGTTTCCAATGTTTTTCTAACAAAAAGAACCAAGGCCGGAAAGTAAGGAAATGTTCAAAATAAAATAGAGGGATGTGTCAGAAGGTCACAGAAGACAATTTGAAAGAGCTGCCAGTTTGGCCCAAACTGTAATAATTGGAGCAAAAAATACATAATGATAGTGTCGGATCCTAATCCAGCAAACAAAATAGAAGCCAAGAGTCTATAGTGATCAACGACTGGATGAATAAATGAAGACTAAAGAACTGTCACAGAATGCAGTAGATGGAGAGGTGACCATGACATTAAGTGTGAAGACCTAAACAGAAAAATTAAACTTATCAGTGTAAACTGGTAAAAATGCAGATGAACTCTGTATGACAGTTGACCACTGTTTCATTGTGCCTTCTGTGTTTTGGTCATTTGATGATGGTGTACCTAAGGTAGGACAGTTAGTGGAAGCTGGGTCAGAGGTATGTGGGAACTCTGTACTGGTTTTGCAGCTCTTAAGTCTAAAATTTCAAAGTTAAAAAGAAGAAGTTACACAGGTGGTCATTTTTCCAGAATGGCGCTGAGGACAGGGAAGCTCTCCAGGCCAGTGAACATGGCCTTTGCTAGTGGAAGCAGCATTGACATGGCCTCCCTGCAGACAGTGTCTGACACAGGCTGTCTGCTCCTCCTGGAACCCACTCCCGTTCTTGGTTCCCATGACCCCCTGCTGGGCAGGTGTCTCCTCTCTCTGGCTGTTTCTCAGTCACCTTTCTGGCTCATTCCCCTCTACAGCAAGTTGAAGTTCCTAGAGCTCAGGCCTAGGGCCTCTTTTCTCTCTACACCTGCGCTATGCCGCATGGTAGCCACCAGCCACATTGGATAAATACAATGAAAATTTGGTTTCCATCAGTTGCTCTAGCCATATTTCAGGTGACAGTTTGGTGACTCCCATATTGGGCACACGGACAAGAGTCTACTCGTCATTGCAGAGGCTCTGTTGGACATGGGTCCACAGGCAGCACTGTGTACTTCACACTGCAGCCCATGAGAAACGCAGTGATCAGCCGTCCCCCTCAGCCCTGCCACGACCAGCAGCCGTGCCTGTGTGCAGTGGCCTGCCCTCGCAGGGCAGCGTCTGACCCGCGGCACAGTGTTGTCAGCTTGGCATCGCGCAGCTCCCATCAGCCTTTCACCTCCCAGTTCATTGATAATTCTTGTCTGAAACATGTTTCACTCCTCATTTTTAAAAATAGCAATATTATCATTCTGTTGTAATGTGCTGTGCACCTTATTGTATTCGCATTGTTATGTAGCATGAATATCTTTTTGTCAGGGCGTTAAGATCTGAGCTCATTTTAATAGCTGCATAGTATTATAGGTGCATAATAATGTATGTCATAAAAGTACTATGATTTAATTTTGCTGATTTTCTTAACTGCATGCTCAGTATTTTATCTGCACATACATTCTTTCATTCTCTTCCAGATGAACAGAAGACCTCTTCTTCCTCCCCGACACTGAAAAATAAATGCATGTGCACTGAGTTTTGTGAGGATTTGAGGAAAGACCAGCACAGCTCATCATATCAACAGATGAACTGTATTGACAGTGTCATCAGGTGGGAGACACACGCTCTAATGGCACGTTGGCTTTTTCCAAATACATACGTTGTCCCTGCGGAATCCTTGTTAGATTTCTGACAGCTGTCCTGTCTTGATTTCATATTAGAAATTAGTAGATATTTATGGGGTGCTTACTGCACGCAGTCCACAGTACACTGAATATCACAGAGTATGCAATTAGATGACGTCCCTCCCCTGAAGGAGCATGGGGCAGCTGGAAGACGAGATCTGAGCTTCTCAGAGTTGGGTGGGTTAGGATGTGGAGTCAGTCCAAGTCCATGGTAGATGAGCAGTCCCAACCCAGCAGTCCAGGCCAGGGCACATGGGGAGACTCCAAAGAGGAAAGGACAAAGTATCCCAAACAAGTGGCACAGGAGAAGCAGAGGTGGGAAGGCTCAGCAAGGGGACAGGCAGAAGCTGTGGCCTGCTCCTGTTGTTGCAGGTACCTAAAGAGCTACCAAATCCCAGCTCTGAAAAGAAAGTGTGTGTCCTCCACAAACACCATGGCTTCGTCATCAGAAGAGGAGAAGCTGAGCCACCAGGCAGACGACACCCAAGCAGTGCAAGGTGACGGGGCTTCCGTGTCTGCACTGAGGGAGCCGTCCCGAGCTGCCTGTCGCGTCTCTGCCTTCTTGCCTTTCGCTCTTTCACTGTAATCATGAGACCCTCGTTTCAGGTCTCTTCTTTATGGCCAGGAGGCTTTAATTCGTCAGTTACCAACTTTGTAAGCTGTTTGTCTTTAGCATAAGCTTCCCACTGGGAGTCTTCCTTTCACTGTTGGTTTCTCGTGTCTCACCAGCTGTGGCACAGACCCCTGCCATGCCTCAGCCGAAAGTACCCACAAATGGACGGCCCACCGAGGCTGAAGCAGACCCGGCCGGAACCCTGTCCACTGCCACACTGAGCCTGGGGTCAGGCACCAGCCAGTGCAGCTACAGCAGCACCATCGTCCATGTCCCACCCCCAGAGCCAGGTGCCACCTTTACCTTCACTGAGTCATTGATACTATTTGCTTAATTCTAACTTTAGAATTAGGAATAGTTGCCCTTCTTTAATTCAGTCAAGGTAGTTTGAAGTGTCACCATAAAATTGTTTGGGTGACACATCTCAGGCTGTGTTTCCTAGCTGGCACTGATGGGCACCGTCCGTGTGTTTACCCTCAGCCTCCTCAGCATTCGCTGTTGGCGCAGCATCATTCCATTGACTTTCAGAGAAGGTGTCCATTTCCCACCTTGGAACATGTCCTGCGAGGTCTGTCATGGGTACATGCACGTCTGTGTTGATGGAGAAGTTAGGAGTAGAACAGATTGAAAACTTTCCTTAACAGCATGATTATATGGTGGATTATTCTGATCTTGTTCTTTCTCTTCTGTTCCCTCCTGTTCTCTTGACCTTTTGATAGCTCATAAAGACGTAGTAGATGACATGGGGACAGGTCTGTCACACTGGGTTTTCAGGTACCTTAATTTGTCCTTGCTGGTCATCATGGAGGCTCGCCAGCCCATGCTGAGCTGCTCCTGTGCCTTTTCTTCTTGGTCTTGGATGCATCTTGCCCTTTGGGTTCTCTCAGCAGCCCGTCAGCTGGAGCGTGGTGGGCAGAGAGCTGTCGTTGGTGGAGAAGGGAGATTGGATTATTTGCTGCTTAGCCAAAGATAAGTGTTTTCCTAGAGCTGAGGCAGGCCCCCAGGACAGGAGCAGGGGCACATTTTTAGTGCATCTTTTCATCCTACTTTGGGATCCTACAGGGTGTTTAATTTCCCACCACCAGGCCCATGCAAGGTGGGGAGGGTTTCAACCAATAAGAACCTTTTTATTTTTTTATTTATTTATTTTTTACCGTATCACTGTGCTTTTGGTACTCTGGTCTTCCGTTACCATTTTGAAAGCATTCATACTAAAATCCATCTGCTTTCATTTAAAGAAATATTTACAGATGATAGTTTTTTTTCCTGATCTTAAACCAGTATCAGTGACTGCAAGGCCACATCTGTGTTCCAAGGTGAGCAAGCAGAGTCAGCTCATGTGTTTTAAATTGTGGTGGTCATACGCTGACCCTAGTAATGTGCTGGGTCTGAAGACTGTGATCACAGGAGCATTTCCTTGTCGTTGCATGTGTGGAACAACCCAGGTATAACTGGTGAAGCAGGCCAGCTAGCCCAGAGGCCTGTGGCCTGTGAGTGGCAAAGTGAGAAAGTGTTTCCCAAGAGCCATTCCCACCATAGGACCTGTAGCAGGGACCAATTAAGATGGAATGTGAAATAGAGATGACTAAAAAATCACTCCATGTGTTTGTTTCTAGTATTGGGGATTGAACCCCAGGGCATTGTACCACTGAGCTACATCCCAGCATTTTTTTGTAGCTGGGATTACAGGCATGTGCCACTGTGCCTGGGTGCCAATCCATAAATTGAAATAAAACTTTCAAAATGCTCATATCCAAAAGAAGGGCTGGGCAAGAAAAATAAAGTAATGAAAACAGAAAAACAACAGAAACAGAAAAATCAAATACATAATAAAGTAATAGCTTTAAATCTAATTATGATCAAAATGACTTAATAGACTAAATGCTACAAGAAAGAGGCAAAGATTGTCAGAACAGATACAGAGATCAGCAGCCAACCATATCCTTCCCAGTGCTGTCATCAATCTGCAGTTGAAACAAACTCACAAGTACACGGGGAATGAAGGAATGGGAAAGACGATGCCATTGGGCAGTAGGTGGAGGAGGCCTGCGGTGCTTGCACAGGGCAGGACTGGCGCCCTGTGGTGATGCCACAGCCAGGAACGTTCACTAAGTCAAGAGCTTCTGAAGATAGGCAGTAGAGAAACGCCTCCGTGGTCAGAGTGAGAACCTGAGCAAAGAGGTGAGCTGAACAACATGCCCGCCACCTCGCCCTAGCTGATCTGCCAAGAACCTGGTGCCCGCTGACCACGTAATGTACATGTAAGGACAGGGTGCTCACGGGCCTGTAGAGCAAGTGGGGCTGAGATGTAAGTCTCAAATGTGAAAGGGTCCATGAAATATATACTGTGCTTCCTGGGAGAGGGTGAATTAAATCAAAAATCACTAATAAGATATGGAAACCTGAAAGTTTGGAAATTAAAGAGCACATTTCTATATAATCCTTGATTCAATGATGAAATTACAAGGAAATTAGAAAATAGTTCAAAATCCACAATAATGGAAGTATATATAGCACATCAAAACCTGTGCAATACAGCTACAGAAGAACTTATAAGACTAGGAGCTTTGGGGGGCTGGGGTTCTGGCTCAGTGGTAGAGCACTTGCCTGGCATGTGTGAGGCCCTGGTTCGATCCCCAGCACCACATATAAATAAATAAAATTAAAAGATCCATTTACAATTAAAAAATATTTTTTAAAAAAGATTAGTAGCTTTAATTGTTAATACTACAGAAGAAAGATCTCAAATCAGTGATCCAAAGTTCCATTTTACTAAAAAAAAGAGCCGAGTAAACCCACAGGAGAAGGAAGGAAGTGATAAAGATAAAAGCAGAAGTCAACAAAATAGAAAACAGGCATCAATTGAAACAAAACTAGAAGCAGTTTCTCTGAAAAGATGAACAAAATTCATCAAGCCCTGTGCTGGCCGTGGCGCCTGACTCTTCAACTTCATAATCTTAAATCAGGTGGTGCAAATCCTCCAACGGGTGGTGTTGCTCCAGGTTCCTGGAATCTTCTAGTCTTCTGTCCCTGCAGGTGATAGGCGCTCCTCAGTGTCTTGATGTGGGTTGTATTTTTATTTTCCCGCTGCTGCACAGGAGTGTTGATGTTTGATGGGATGCCAGGTACTATAAGGCAGACCAGATAGTTTGTATTCCTTTGAGTAGTCTTAAGCTTTGTTATCAGAGGTGAGTTACCTGGAAACAGACTGACCCTTCAAGCTTTGCTTTCACAGTTTGGTAGGCAGGAGCAAAGCAGTGTGTGGTGCGGGCCTGATTTTGCTCTGGTGCCAAGAAGAGGTCTTTCTGAGTCCTTGTCTCCTGACTGATGGAAATAGTGCTATTCTGGGATCTTTGGTTCTCTTTCCCTTGTGTTTCAGGAGGTTCCTTCTGCACACAACTATACTGTTGAGTGTTCCCCCAAATGGTCTGGGGGCTGGCTGTCACTCTGAGGACCCTCTCTCCCTGCGACTCTTGTCTGCTCCTCTCCTGAAAACCCTGCCCCTCATCTCAGCAGCCCTCCACCTGCCCCTCCACTCCAGGCAGTGAGCTGGGGCAGTCCTCAGGGTCACTGTCCTTCCATCTGGAGGTCGGCCTCAAAGCCATGTTTCATATGGTCCATTCATTGTCATTGTTTCAGGCAGGAAGGTAAATCTGGTCCCCTGTCTGCTGAGCTGATTCAGACCAGCTAGGGCCCCCTGGTGGGAGTGGCACAGGGCCAAGCCCACCTAGGCCACCGGATGCTCCCCAGCCCCAGAGGGTGTTGGGGAGTCCACCAGAGTGCCCACCACAAAATATTTTTTTTAATTTTGTTTTAGTTGCTGATGGACCTTTAATTAATTAATTAATTTTTATGTGGTGCTGAGAATCCAACCCAGTGCCTCACACATGCTAGGCAAGCGTTCTGCCACTGAGCCACAACCTCAGCCCCCCAAATTTTTTTTTGAAAGAAGTAATTTTTAGGAGTACACACCCTGTGGGTGGCAGCTAAGATGGAGCCCTTGCAGCGTCCAAGCACAAAGTGACTGTGCAGCAGAGCTCTCCACCATGTCGCGTGGGAAGGGAGCGAGCTGCGGGCTTGTGGGCACTTGTGCCTTGGGGCAGGTGGGGCCCACAGGAGAGAGGGGGCATTGGGGCTCGCACTTGTTCCTGTGTGCATAAAGAGCTGGGTGATAGTAAGGCAGTGGCTTCCTGAGGGGGACGAGTGAGAAGCAGGAGGTAGTGGGCAGACAGTGGACAGGGTGGGGAGAGCTCACTAATACCTTTATGATACTTGCTGGTTTTTTAATCACCTGAGGATATTACCTGTTTGAAAAATAAATACAAAGATTAAAAAATGTTTTAAAGAATTCAGGGAGATAGAAAAAGCATTCATGATAAAATCAATTAAAGAAACATGAACTGATTATCATAATCTGTAAAGTGTGTATATATTTGTTTATAAGGAAAAATAAGAATTTTTGTGCTAGACTGGTGAAGTTTTTTATATTCTAGTGTTATAATAATGTGTATAAAATTGTTGAAATAATAAATGAATGAATAGAAATAATTGACAAGAACTACAATTAAATCTGTCTTGTTTCACCTCAGCAGAGGATGCTGCCCTAGGATATGAACCCTGGACCCTAAACACCCAGCCAGCTCCTTTCACTGCAGAAGAATTCAAACATGTAGGGCTCACAACCGCCTCTCTGTCAGCCCACACACAGAGAGAAGAACAGGATTATGTGGACAGGTTCCGGAAAAAGATCTTCTCCTCGCCCTATAGCTGCTATCTTCATTGCGAAAGCAGCAGCAAGGCCAGACGCTCCTGTGTTCAAGGTGGTTACATTAAAACATATATTCCACTTATTCCTGAGGCTGATAAAGCCATACAGGTGCCGCTGTCCCTCAGGGTTAGCCGGGATGGGCTCCAGGACCCACCCTGGCAGGTCCCCACCTGAAAGGTGCCCAAGTCCTAAGGCAGAGGGTTGCCACACCTGCCACATTCTCATCTCTTAGTTACTGTAAAGCCTGGGACAATGTCAGTGGTTCTTTTACTGCATTGTTTAGGGAATACTGACAAGGATGGTGAGTCTGAACATATTCAGTACACATGCAGATTTTTTTCTGATATTTTCCATCTGTGTTTGACTCTATTGATGTGGACCCTGTGGATATGGAGGGCCAACTTCCAGAGAGATGGCATGAGCTCTTGGGGTTGTGCTTGAAAGAGTGATGCTGAAGTAAATTCCCTTTTGTCAGTAATTTACTTAGGATATGAGATCTGAGTATTGATTTTTATAAGAAACTAAAGAGATGCTAAAATAAGCTTATTTATTTTTTAAAAAACAAATTTGTAGTTGTTGGTGGACAGAATGCCTTTATTTTACTTGTTTCATTTTCACATTGTGCTAAGGATCGAACCCAGTGCCTCACACATGCTAGGCAAGTGCTCTGCCACTGAGCCACAGCCTCAACCCCAAGCTTATTTTATAGTAATAATTTTTACCCAGAATTTTGTTCATCTTTTTAGAGCTACTTTTTGCTGTCTCTGAAGTAGACATACTTAATATTGGCAAGTGTTCATTCCTTTATAATCTATTTACAATTACCTGTACCTGCATTCTCTTCCCCTTCTTTCAGTTTAATTTTCCATAATATGCCTCCATCTTTATCCTTTCAGGAGATTTCACTTCCAAGCAGAGCAGGTTAGCAGGATGTAGAAAGGGGAAGCACAAACGAACGAAGCCACCAGTGCCCTTGGGCAGTAGTAGCTCCAGTGACAGCTTCTGTTCCCAGGCTGGGGGACCTCTTCAGGATGTGCTGCCCTGGTGCCCTTCCACCCCGTCTTCTGCCTGTGCCTCGGGCTTGGGGTTCCCAGCTGCTGTGATGGTTCCCAGCCAGTCCTCTTACCTCCTCCCAGCTTTTCCCCTGCCAGCCTGGGGAGCTACACCTGAATGTCCACCTAAGCCACCTGTGTCCAGTGGCCTGCAGCATCTGCCTGCTCTCCCTTCCCTGCACGTGGATACTTTGATGACCTTTTTTTTGCACGACCCCCATATCTGTCCTCTGTGGTCACCATCATTCTCTCCATATCCATTCTTGGGAGCCACAGACTCTTCTGAAATTCCTCCCTGGGTATCAGCAATGGCTCCAAATCTGGAACTACCTCCTTCAGTCAACAGTGGGAGGGTGGAGGAAAAATGGGAGATGCAAAAGGAAGAGCACCTGTTCATCAGTTCTCAGAGCAGCTCACCACTGCAGCTAGACCTACTCCATGAAGATGTGCCCGAGTCTCCTGAGCCTCCAGACGCAGTGAGAAGGGATGCTGGCCCTGAGGCCACAGATGTAAGTGATGCAGCTGTCAGCACACACCTACCGTCTGGCCTAGGCTCAACACTGATGTCCTCTTAGTTGTCTCTCTTGTCTATGGCCAAGGCTAAGCTTTGCTCCATGTGGCCTGCAGTGGGCCTCTGACCCCATGGAATGTCCCTTGTCTTGTTTTGGTCCTCATCTGACCTCAGCTAACCCTTGCTCCACAGAGCCTGCATGGGCCTCCTGACCCCATGTGGGTATCAGGACTGGTCCTCAGGTGCTTGATGAGATCTCTTTTGTAAAGGGCCATCTTTCAAGTTTTCTTTGTGAACCAGGTTCCCTGCACCCTTTAAAATTTGATATCCAGGTTTTAAACTTAACGTGTTTATTGCCTATAAAAAGTATTTTCTTACAACTGAGGTTGTGATCTGGGAAGATGGGAATAGGCCATATAATATGAATTTACATGCATATGTGTAGGACACCAGGAGTTTATTTATGCAAGAGGTAGGAGTCACCTTTTGTAATCAAAAAGCAGGCAGCTTTAGCTGGGTGCTGTGTTGTATATCTGTAATCCCAGCAGCTCAGGAGGCTGAGACAGGAGGGAGGCTGAGACTGGAGGATCACAAGTTCAAAGCCAGCCTCAGCAACAGCGAGGTGCTAAGCAACTCAATGAGACCCTGTCTCTAAATAAATTACAAAATAGGGCTGGGGATGTGGCTCAGTGGTTGAGTGCCCCTGAGTTCAATCTGAAGTACCACTGCCCACTCCCACCCCACCCCCACCCAAAAAAAGCAGGCAGCTTTAAATTTCATGTTTATACACATCATTTGGGTCATTTTTTTCTTTAACTTTTCAAATACTGTGCCTTGTTAAATTTTTGTATTACCAGATTAAATTTTGGAATCTTGACATTCCTGTATTTTAGTGTAGAATCCAACAAGTGTGGATATGTACTTGTTTTTCTTTGGTCTTCCCTTCAAGGTATAATACCCTTCATTGAACATATGTTCACAGTATGATGATCAGAATCGAGAATTTAGGCTCACCTATGGAGAGCCTGGCACCAGTGCACTGGCTAAAAATCTAAAGCAAGGCCCTGTGTCATTCTGACTGGAGTCTGGGCTAGGGAATAGGACATGGTTTAAACTGCACTGTGTCACTAGTTGGGTGTTAGCTCAGACAAGTTATTTAACCTTTCTTTGCCTTTGTTTTCTTATGAAGAAAGTAAAAAGATGGCTAGCTCAGAGCCTATTCCCAGGATCATATGACATGACGAGCACATTCCCCTGAGCACCAGCTCTGGGGACCCTGGGACTTCCTTCCGCCTGCTGCCATATGCCTACAGTTTGCACAGTGCTTGGAACAAATGAAATGTTCAATATGCGTATTTACCGAATGACAGAGACAAAAGAGCACACTTGAGTGATGCTTGGAGTGCTTTAGGTGCTCCCTAAGCAGTGACACTTTTCCTGTTACACAGAGGAACTTTGACAAGTCCTTAGGGACAGGCTGCGTCTTCACCTCCCAGCGTGAAGCTGAAGACCTGCCCGTCATGGGATGCTTGGAATGTTAACGTGTGTCTTCTCCTGTCCCTCCTCTCCAGCACCGTGTTTCAGGTGGCGGTGGCAGCAGGAGCAGTTCTGCTGGTGGTGACCTCTCCCCAGCCCCACCCCACAAGGTGTCTCCATCTGGAGCTGGTTCTGCAGCCGCAGGTAGTGGATCTGGGAAACCGCTTCTTTAGACTCTGCTGTCCAGAGGTCGCTGTGTTGAGGGCATCTGACTGAGACACCCATGTAAAGATAGAGTCCCCCCACCTTTTTTTTAATAGGCTTTCTTGGGGTATATTTACATACAATAAAATTGACCAGTTTTAATTACACAAAACAAGAATTCCAACAGATTTGTACACTTGTAAACCACTTCTACAATCACCAGAACCTTTCTATCACTCTAGAAAGTTCTTCTGTGACTCTTCAGACATTTCCAGCCCTGGGTTTGCCACTTTAATTTTGCTTTTGTTCTAATTTTGCACATTGGATTAGACAGCGTGCAGCTGTTCATGTTAGGCTTCTCTGAGAATGAGGTTGTTGAGATCCATCCTGGTGTGTGGGCACTTAATGTATCCATTCGCCAGAGGAAGTTTGTCGGGTCGCTTCTGCTCTGGGGCTGGGATCAGTAATGCACTGAGTTCTTCCGTGGACATATGCTTAAATTTTCCTTGGGTAAATACCTGGGAGTGGAACTGAGGCCTGTGGCAAGGGTATGGTCAGCTTGGTTAGAAACTGCCCAATTGCTTCCAGAGCAGATGTGTCCGGGGCGCCTGCTGGGCTGGGTGGTGAGGAGCAGCTGGCCACCACGGACCTGGAAGTCAGTCTTTTCATCTGTTGTTGATTTTTTCAGGAAGCAGTGATAGCTGCATCTTCTTCACTAGTACTGATTATTCTTCTGAAAGCTCTGAAAATGGGCAACAATCTCAGGATACACAGAAAACAAACGCCTTTCACAGTTTAGCTGAGGATCCCATCTGGAAAATGATAGCACAAACTCCTGAGTGTGTTCTGATGACGTATCAGGTGCCAGAGAGGTAAGAAAGCATTCTAAAAGACATTCTATGTTGTTATGGCTTCTAGTGTTATAAATATAACATAACCATAAAAGTATTTTAAAATGTTTTATACATACCCTTCAGATTTACTCATTTGAAGTCAAGCAAGAAATGACTTCCTAAAGCAAGGGTAGTAGTGGTAGTGCGGCACATACACAGACCCAGACTGAACAAACGTGTGTCTCATCCTGAGACAAGAAAACAGCTGGGGTTGTACCTCAGTGGTTGAGCGCTTACCTCACATGCTTGAGGCACTGGGTTTGATCCTCAGCACCATATTAAAAAATAAATAAAAACAGATATTGTGTCCATCTACAACTAAAAACAAAAACAAAAAAACAAAGAAGGGCTCCACGTTCCAAGACAGTACACAAGGTGAGGAACTTTTCTCTTTAGACGCTAAAAGACAAGGGGAGCAAAGGGAAGCCCATTTCTTCCATGTGCTTCATTGAAACATCATGCAGTTGTTTTCCATTGAGAATAAAAGGCCTGCTACCAGCCTGGCTGGGAAATGGTTCTGCACTGTTGTCCATGTGTGCATCGTGTATTAACCAGACAGTGAAAGTGTCTCACCCACCAAAGAGAACAGAACCCTGCACCTTATTCAGGACTGTGAAGATGTCGTTATTTGTTTTCAGGGTTAAGGAAGTTGTGCTAAAAGAAGATCTAGAAAAACTGGAAAGCCTAAAACAGCATCAGCCCCAGTTTTCTCCTGGGCAGAAAGAAGAGCTAGCAAAGGTGCATCCTTGGATTCAAAGCCAGACTGTCCCTCGAGGAATGCATGTCCAAGTAAGCCCAGTAGCATAACCATCACATAGACGTGTTTTGCATTGGGAAGTGTTCTTAATGTAGGTGAGCTTTTTCATGATCCCACTGAAATTTGTAATCCTCCCAATTGACAGAGGTGCTATTAAGGTTTGTAGATGTTAAATAATAATATAAGGTTATGCAGTTCTTTGAATTTTGAACTCAGGTCTTTTTGACACTAATTTTTTTTCTTTCACCAGTTGGACTCTTTGGGGGCAATAAAGATAATATTTGCTTTGATGTATGATGAGGGAGGAGAGAGGTGGAAGAGACATACATTTCACATATACATGCATGTTTGAAAAGAGTTAAAATTGTGGGCTGGAGATACAGCTCAGTTGGTAGAGTGCTTGCCTTGCATGCACAAGGCCCTGGGTTCAATCCCCAGCACCACAAAAAAAAAAAAAAAAAAATTTGTAGAAGATTTACACTTGAGGTGGTGTTTACAGCCAGCAGGAAACTTGGTGGGGCCCACGTGGGCTTTGCCATCATGAGGTCGTAGAGTGTTCGTGAACAGCTTCAGCAGTGAAGACTTTATCCACCACTGTTCCTACCGGTGGTGCAGCCGTAGTAATGGAAGTGACAATTGCCTGGTAATAAGGCCTTTCCCCCCAGTTCTCAACATGGGGAGGTGGAGGCATCAGGTTACAAATTACTTTCAGAAAAGTAGTATATGAAGGCTCTTGAAGTAAGCAGGTCACTAAAATCCTCCCCTCTCACTCTTTTTAACTTAGTACTTTTTAATCTGATAAAATATACATGATCCATGTAGCGTAAAATTTATCTTCCTATTTTAAAGTGCACAGTTCAGAGGTATTGAGTACATTCATATTATGCATCCATTAGCACCATCCAGCTCCTGAACTCTCCATCTTACAAAACTGAAACTGCTCAGAAACAAGGAACTGAGCATCTCTCCTCCTGCCTCTCCTCCCACCTCCTGGGCAGTCCTCCCGCTGTCCACCTGTGGGCCTGGCTGCAGAGTACTTCAGTACCTCGTGCAGATGCAGCACACACTCTCTTTCTGACTGGCTTATTTGTAGACACACCTGCTCTCTCTTGGTAGCTGTTGTGTGGCCTGTCTGTCCCTCCTCTCACTGTCAGCCTGTGTCCAGAGCTAACGTGACTCTCTTGTGGACAGCAAATGGTCAGATCAACGTGTTCACACCCTTTGTTCCAGCCTCTGCCTTCTGAGTGGAAAGTCGGGCCCTTTACGTCTAAGGGACCGCTGGTCAGAGGCGCACGGTGCCCTCTTGCTGCTTATTCTCATTGACTCTTGTTTCTTCATTGTTGTCTTCTGTTGTATTAGGTTTATTTAATTATTTATTTATTGCAGTGAAAATTTTAATTCCCTGCTCATTTTCTATTGTGTATATTCTGTAATTATTTTGTTTGTGGTATCTATGAGGGTCATATTTAATATCCCAATGTTATGTCACTCCAGTTTGAATTATTCCAGCTTACCTTCAATAACATTAAAAAAACAAAAAACAAAAAAACCTCAGCTGAGTGCAGGGTGGTGCATGCCTGTGACCTAGTAGCTCAGGAGGCTGAGGCAGGAGGATTGTGAGTTCAAAGCCTGCCTCAACAACTTAGCAAGGTCCTAAGCAACTCAGCAGGACCCTGTTTCTAAATAAAGTATTTTAAAAAGGGCTGGAGATGTGGCTCAGTGGTTAAGTACTCCTGGATTCAATCCCCAGTACCAAAAACAAACCAACGAACAAAAAACTACTTCTATAGAGCTCCATCTCTATCTCCTTTCAGCTACTGATGTTACAAAATTAGATTTTGTTTGGTACTGGAGATTGAATCCAGGGTGTTCTACCTCTGAGCTACATCCCCAGACCTTTGTTTGTATTTTATTTAGAAGCAAGGTCCTGCTGAGTTGCGTAGGACCTTGCTAAGTTGTGCGGGTGACCTTGAACTTGGCAATCCTTCTGCCTAAGCCTCCCATTGCTAGGATTATAGGTATGCACCACCGTGCCCAGCACAAAGTTAGATCTTGATATATTGTATGTCCAAAAACATAAACTAATATCTGTTTTTATTCATTAATCTCTTAAATGATGTAGAAAATAAAATATATAATTACAAACTAAAGTTACCATAATATTAGCTTTGAGACTAGCTTTCTTTAAATGTATTAGTCTTTTAAATCATATAGAAAACAAAAAGTTACATGTCGTTTTTAGAATAATAGTAGCTTTTATAATTAACCCCATATTTTTCTTTACTGAGAACTTTTATTTTTTTCCTCTGGCTTTGAGTTATTGTCTGTTGTCCTTTCATTTCAGCCTTTAGCATTTCTAATTCCTAATTTCTTCCTCACCTTTTTCCCTCCCTGTACCAGGAATTGAACCCAGGGGCACTTCTTTACCACTGAGCTACATCCCCAACTCTTTTTATTTTGAAACAGGGTCTTACTAAGTTGCCCAAGGTCTTACTAAGTTGCTGAGGCTGGCCTTGAACTTGCAATCCTCTTGCCTCAGCCTCCTGAGTAGCTGGGACTATAGGCGTGTACCACCATGCCCAGCTCTCCCTCTTTTTTTTTTTTTTTTTTTGTGGTGTTAAGGATCGAACCCAGGGCCTTGTGCATACAAAGCAAACACTCTACCAACTGAGCTATATCCCCAGCCCTCTACCTCACTTTTGAAGGAGTTTTGCCAGATATGGGATTCTTGATTGACAGTTTGGATTTTTTTAAAGTACTCTAAATATATTGGCTCAGTGTTCCTGGCCTCTGTAACATCTGATGGGACCTCTGCCTATAGCCTCACCGTTGTACCTGGTGAATCCTTCCTTGCTGCCTTTGAGATGCTCTTTCTTGAACCTTAAACTGATTGTAATGGATCTCAGGGTGGGTCTCTCAGGTTATCCTTCCTGGAATTGATTAAGAGCTTCTTGGACGTGTACATTCATATCTTTCACTGAATTTGGAAAGTTCTCGGCCGTTTTCCTTCACACCCCCCCTGTCCTGCTCCATGCTTGCTTCTCTCTTGCTGGTCCCGCGGGCACTTCCGGCTCTGTTCATTTCCCTTCCGTCTTTCCTTTCTGTTCCTCAGACTTGACAGTTCGACTGTCTTCACATTCTTAGTTCCTTCTTCTGCCTTCCATGTCTGCCTTTGAGTCCCTCTAGTGAATTTTTCATTTGTTTTGTCTTTCTCAGGTACAGAGTTTCTTTTTGATTTCATTTTATGTTTTCTTTTTTTAAAACTATTTTTAGTTGTAGATGTACACATACCTTTATTTTGTTTGTTTATTTTTATGTGGTGCTGAGGGTGGAACCCAGTGCCTCACATGTGCTAAGCCAGGGCTCTACCGCTGAGCCCCAGCCCCCGCCCCTCATTATATATTTCCTATTGCTTTATTGATATTTCTGTTTTGTTCATACATCGTCTTGGTTTCTTCCATGTCTTCCTTGACTTCTTGAAGCTTCTCTGAGATGGTTGCTGTGAAGCCCTTGTCTAGTAAGCCAGCCATCTGCTCCTCCTCGGAAGCCCTTGCTCTTGGCTCCTTCTTCCTGAGTGGGCAGTGCTTTCCTGTTTTTAGGCCTGTAGCAGTGGTTGAACTAGACCTTGGGACCTTGTTGTGTGGTAGACTCCTGCTCCATCCCTGGAGCTTGCTGCTTTTGGCTTTTCTCACTGATTGTCATGACCGTATCTGCTGGAGGGCAGCAGGAGGCACAGACCTCAGGACTTCCCAGACCTTTGTTAAGTCTGCACTTCTCCCCAGATGTGCATGGAGACTCTCCAAATTCCCCACATAAGTGGTTGCATTTGAATGTCCTAGACTTTAAATGTCTGCCTCCCAAAGTGGGGGGAGGGGTAGGAGTGGGTAGAAAAAAAAGAAAAGGGCATTGGCCCTTTAAATTCCTTGAGAGTTGCTTCAGCTGGTGGGGCAGGAGCTTGCAACAGTAGAGGGGAGGGTGTCATGATGGCTGCCCACCTGAGTGTCTATACCACCAAGACCAGCAGCAGCCAGAGCACAGGTCCCAGTTGTCGGAGGATGGAGTCTTTACTGTCCACTCTGATTCCCATGAGCTGCATGCAGGCTGCTCCAGAAATATATGCATGTCCACTGGGTAGCCGGTACTCTGTTGCAGCTGAATTTGACCAAAACCAACCACAGTTTACCATTGAGGCCTTCCCCTGGAAATTGTAGCCTTCAAATAGACTCCCCCTGAAGGGTACGTGAAGAATGAGCTTCCAAAGAATTTAAGCTAACGTATCTAAACAGTTTCTGTCATTTACATTCTTATAATTATAAAAATGGACCATAGGGCTGGGGATGTGGCTCAAGCGGTAGCGCGCTCACCTGGCATGCGTGCGGGCCCGGGTTCGATCCTCAGCACCACATACAAACAAAGATGTTGTGTCTGCCAAAAACTAAAAAAATAAATATTAAAAGAAAAAATCAATCTCTCTCTCTCTCTCTCTTTAAAAAACAAATGGACCATATTAGGTACTTTCAGACATGAATAAGTTGAGGAGTTAGAAATGATGTTGCTGGCCAGCCCTATGCTGATTTTAAACCCTCAAAGGGCACAGACGTTGCATAACAGGCCTGCCTGTGTTCTCTTTTGAGAGCTGCACCACCTGTGAAGACAGAGGTTCAGCTGGTGACACTGCAGAGGCTCCTGGGCCGCATCCAGGAGAAGACAGCAGCTGAGCCACCATGAGGATGTCCCTGCACAAGCTTTCCAGGGCACGTGTGACAGGCCTCCCTATGTGTCTCTAAAGCTCGACTCACAAGTGACCACAAAGTCATCATCAACATAAGACTTCCCACCGTGCTTTTTTAACAGACATCATTTTTCTGAAGCAGAAGCAGCATTGTATATCGAATCTTCTCTTTGTTCCTGATGTGTTAAAACTGCCAATTAGACTCCTTTTCTAGTTTAACTGCCTTCTAGAGAGATTGGATTGCCTTTAAGAGGTAGGTGTATGGTAAAATTTTATTTCAAATATCACCCAAAATAAATTATGATTAGAAGTACAGCTAAAATGAGCCCACAGCTGAGCCTCTCTGGTCTGTCTGTTGCTGCCTGAGTCGTTCTCCCTGGTGGAGTGCGAGGAGCAGCACACCCCTGGGCGTGTGCCTCCGTGATGGTCTCTGAAACGTGGTGCTCCCCTGTGACTCAGAGGACATCCCAGTTTCCTGCCACCCATTAAAGTCCATTGTCCACTAGTAAATCAGGAAATAACTATTTTTAAGGCTGGATTTTTTACTTTCATTCTTACAAATGCATTTTTACTTTTTTTTTTTTTTTACCTGTCACTAAAAGGTTTTTCTAAAAAGAATCCATCAACTTATTAAGGGGCTTATTCTTTGGAGAACTTAAAATTAGCAATTGTAAATGTAGTTAAAACAAAAGAGCTATTTACTCAACCAATAGTGTTTTTCTTTTTAAGATTTTTTTTATTTTAAAATAATGATTGTAAAAAGTGACAAAAGTTCTATAAGTTAATATTCTTCTTATTGCATATGTGTTTAACCATTAACTTTTGCTTTCCACTGAATTTACACAAAGATGGCTTTCTGTGCTGAGCAGAGATCTAATTGGGGCTGCCTTTTGTTTGCCCTTGAACAGGGTAAGTGTTCTGATACCCAGTGAGAAACCTCTGGGGAGCTCAGCGACCCCAGCCTCCCCAGCCCTCAGGGACTGCAGTCCTCAGGAGTCATTGATTTCTGTGTCACTTGCCAAAGAGTCTCAAGAAGTGAGTGTTGACTTGACAGATTGGCTCACTCTGGTGCTCTTTATAGAGAAGTCATGGTTCCTTCTCAGACTTAGAATGATATGTGTGATCCACACCCATGCAGCTCAGAAAAGGAAATAGAAGATGAAGGTCACAGTGACCTTGTATTTTTATATAACTTACAACAAACTTATTTTTTTCTTTGTTTTGTTTTTTGTTTGTTTTAGGAAAAAACTTCTTTCTCCTTTGAAGTTTCATAACTTTTTCTAAATGCATCCTCATAATGATTAGGCAAATTGACCTTTTTGTCTGTGGAATAGATGGACCCTGATTCTCCAATCCTGTAGCTCAGATTTTCTCCCAAAATAGTGGGTTCTGGATTCAGTCTTCAGGTATCAAAATCAGTTTCAAATGCTGCCTTTGACATTTCTTGAAATTTTCTAGTATCAAGCATTCGCATACAAATATTGCTGTTTTATGAATAGAGAACACTCATATTCTATTCCATCTTGATAGTTAAATGATTTCTGAGGTCTTTTTGTGTTGATCCAGTTGTTCTGGTATTTTTTTCCCCTTGGTAAAAAAAATCAGATTAAAAAATTAGCCTGTCCACTGACAACTTTCTAGAGTAATGAAGTTCTTAGTTTGTGTAAATCAAAGTTGGCATTTGGAGCTATCAGGGTCATTCTGCCTTTATGTGTGTGTACTTTAAACTCTGTGTTCTGTGCCGACGCAAGGCTTCTTTGTGCTGTTTTGGATGTTTGCTTGTTAGAATCACCTGTTTCTCTCCTTCGTACACATTCTGTGTAGTCACATGATGCTAGGCTGGATCTGACGTGGTGCTGTTGAGGACAGGTCTGTAGGAGCACTCTCAGGCCTCTTCTCTTGATAAGAAGATTGTTCAGTGCATGTAGAGGTTGTTGTACTGCGAGATGCAATGGGATTCACTGTGGCCTCTGCTTCCCCCCACAGGGGTCTGGTCTCACCCAGTTGAAGCTTGGTTGTTCAAGTTTATTATCAGCTTTTTGTATTAATGACTGTAGGAACTGGTGATAAAAGTGTATTTTATAGGCTTCCATGTTTACATAAATACTACCCAAAAAGCTTTATTTTCTTGGGTCAGAGGCCAAAATTTATGAAAAACAAAATGCTGTACAAAGGGAATAGTTTTGCAATTACACAAAACTTCATTATTAATTCATAAAATAAATTTAATCCAACTTAAAATTTTGTTTCAACTGAATTTATAATTATGTGATTTACTTGTTTTTAATGGCTATTAATATTTTATTTGGGTATCTTTTTTAAGTAAAATAAGAAACTGTACATGTGAAACCTCTGGGTCCCTAGCAGTGCTGTGTGGCAAGCCCTGGTCTCAAGTGGGTTTTGCGTCATGAGAGGCACTTCTCCTGGAGGCACTGGGTTGCCATTGCAGTGCATGTGGGCTAATGGTGACAGGCGTGTCTCAGTCCCTTTTCCCAGCACATTGGCTCATTTTTATTTTTATTTATTTATTTTTTTAGTTATCGGCGGACACAACATCTTTGTTTGTATGTGGTGCTGAGGATCGAACCCGGGCCGCACGCATGCCAGGCGAGCGCGCTACCGCTTGAGCCACATCCCCAGCCCTACATTGGCTCATTTAATCCTTGCTCTGGCATTGTGAAGAATTTATTGGGTTCCGTGTGTGTGTGGGTGTGTGTGTGTGTGTGTAGTAATTTTCATGCCACTTTAATGAAACCCAGTTAGCATATTACTCTTTCATATTCCACAGGGTGAACCTGTGTTTTACAAAGACTGTAACTTGGGCTGGGGATGTGGCTCAAGTGGTAGCGCGCTCGCCTGGCATGCGTGTGGCCCGGGTTCGATCCTCAGCACCACATGCAAACGGAGATGTTGTGTCTGCCGAAAACTAAAAAATAAATATTAAAAAAAAAATTCTCTCTCCCCCCCCCTCAAAAAAAAAAAATTAAAAAAAAAACAAAAACAAAGACTGTAACTTAGCAGCAACAAAATCTAGAAATTAAAATATGGAACAAGAGCCTGAAGTCAACAGGTCTTTTAATAATACCCTTTTTGAATCCTTGCCACCTCTCTGTGGCAACAGTGACCACAGCAGGAAGGAAAGGGCCTTCGTGTGGGTGGCACTTAGTGTGGGTCAGCAGCTCCTGGTCTCAGCTTCCCCCGAATAAGCCTTGTCATCCCTGTTATGGAGGACACTGTGGCAAGGGCGCAGATAGCCTGGTGGAGGACACAGCTGGTACGTGAAGCGAGTGAGGGTCTGAATTTCATGATCTGACTGCGGAGCTGTAGAAATAATCTCCCGATACTACCATGAGTGAGGGATTTTGGAATCGCTACAAGGGAATTCTTCCTTGAGGCTCTTTCTGGTGTCGTGGTGCGAGCTGGTATGGGCTCCCTCAGCTCTCAGAGGCCCAGCGTGTCCCATAGCTGTGCCTGGTGTGGACATGCATCTGAGATCAAGTACCCACTCCTCACTAACATCTTTCCCTACAGATGTTCTTTTTTTTTTTTTTTTTTAATACCTTTATTTTATTTCTTTATGTGGTGCTGAGGATTGAACCCAAGGCCTCGCATGTGCTAGGCAAGCGCTCTACCGCTGAGCCACAACCCCAGCCCTCTCTACAGATGTTCTTGATGTCTTAAACCAGGAGAGCTTTATCCAGCTGCACTCTGTAAGAGATTTGTGATGGCTGCTGATAAGTGCACATCACCTGCTTCCAAGTGCCTGGTGCAGCCTGTGCTACGAGGGAGGGGGATGGACAGCCCCTGTGGTCCCCCTCTGGACAGTCTGCAGAGCCCTTGGTGCTCACCCTAGTCATTCTGACCACATCACTGTAGAGGTGCTGGTGACATGGAGTAGATTTACATACGTATGGTTTCTAAAGATTAGTAAATAGGGATCTTTCTTCTGTTCTGCAATTTTAAATCCTGCCATAGCCTTTTCTCTCAATAAGAAACTAAGGTATTTCCCCCAGAATACATGAACCGTGATTCTAGAGCTCCGAGGAGCGCAGTTCCAGCGTGTGTCTGTGTGAATGTCTTGGCTGTTCGGGGAGGGGCAAGGCCAAGCCCAGGAACCTCCTGGTGGGAGCCCATCCTGGGTTCTGCCTGGAGGTGTCACTCACTCTAGAGACCAGCCAAGCTATGGCACTGCTTTTTAAAAAGTAACAGTTTATGTGGTCATTTTTAAGGGTGAGAGGACATCAGCCTTTGTTTAAATGGTTTGTAGTTGAATGATTTTGACTAAACTTCACCTTTATGGCTTTTTCTTCTTAGTATTTGTTTCTATTTATTTATTATCTTTACTTTAAATTTCCAAGAAATTAGAACTAAATTGAAGGTAAGAAAAATGACAGATTTCCAGGACATGCTTACAAGTGAACTAGCCGCTCGTGATCTTGCGGACTAGAGCGTGTTTCTCAGGGATGAATTGGGTGGTGGCCTCGTTTTTCTTCAGTGCTTCTGGTCAGGTGTCTTGTGTCTGACTGTCCACACTGAGCCGGGTCCCTCTCGCCTCAGACACAATACTTCCAGAAGCACTCCAGGGGGGGCCCATGCTGCTTGTGCTGTTTCCTGGGTCTGGCCAAGAGCTGACTCAGAAAAATGTTAGGATCCTCTTCAGGGAAAGCCTGAAACCAGAACAACGTCAACCGTCAGTGCAAGAGGAAGGAGCCTTAGCCGAGCCTCTGGGGTGAGTGCTTGCCCTGTGGCCCTCTGGCTGTTCCTGTACCCCCTGGATTCTGGCCTCCCTCCGGCTCCTCATCCCGGGCCTCCAGTCTCCCCACCTGTGGTTACTGTGAAGTTTTCTAAGCCCTTGTTGGCCTAGTCCTGTGTAAGTTCTCTCTTAGTGACATGTTGTGCACATATATTGCTCTCTGTGTATCAAATCTTGGTCATAAAATTTTCTCTTTATTCTGTTTTTTTTTTTCCCCCCTAGAATTTAACGAACACAGCCTACTTATCACCTGTGTGGTTTTAATCATTAATCATAACCCTGTTCAGGAGAATGTAAACATGGGAATGGTGACTTGTAATTAGCCACATATAGAAGCCAGGGCGTCCCCTTCTGGGTAGCTTCTCCCTCTGGGACTGCAGGTGGTATGTGGTATGTGCTGTCTGCAGGATCTAATGTGTCCACCTTGTACTTTTGCTGGAATGTTAAGGGGCATTATAGCCAAAGAGGTGCCTCTGGTCAGAATGGGAAGTGGTTGGTTAGTGTTAAATGAGGCTCTTGAGCTAGTGACCTTCTGGGGGCCTTCAGATGCTGCTGTACATGCACTGCCAGGAAGGGAGAGTGGGAACCCAGGGCAGCCGAGGCCAGGCGCAGGAGGCGCACTCAGGAGACCCCTCAGGCAACACCAAGAGCTTTCTGGGGTTGATGATGACTGCATAGACTTTTCTTCTAGCTTGTCAGGTCCTCTGCGCACTGTGCACCATTTCTAACCAAGGGTTTTGCCATCCTCGTTCCCTATTCCAGCCCTCTCCACCCAAATCGACTTTCTCGAGACTGCTCTCTGCTCCGTCCTGCATCCCACAACTGTAGACACAGCATTCCTCCCTTGAGATGGAGGTGCCAAGCTCCCAGGGCTGTCAGGTGTGAGGGGGAAGCTCGTTGAGGTAGGGGGATGACTCGTGGGTTTTATTTTATTTTGAGGGGGTACCAGGGATTGAACTAAGGGCCCTCAACCACTGAGCCACACCCCCAGCCCTATTTTATACTTTATTTAGAGACAGGGTCTCACTGAGTTGCTTAGCTCCTCGCGGTTGCTGAGGCTGGCTTTGAACTGGCGATCCTCCTGCCTCAGCTTCCTAAGCCGCTGGGATTACAGGCGTGTGCCACTACACGCTGCTGACTTGGCGGTTCTTGCAAGCTCCCAGGTGATGCAGTGCTTCTGGGGGGTGTCAAGAAGGCGGTGACCGTACAGTGACCAGCACACTTGAGAGCAAGGACCTTGTCTGGTTTTTTGGTTTGTTTAGTTGATTGGTTTTTGTTGTTGTTGTTTTTGTTTTGCTTTAAATTCTTAATTTAACTTACCCTAAACAGACACTGGTGAGTCCTTGCCACATGCAGATTTTTTTATGAATAACGGTTTGGATAAGTTAATGCTTCCACAACACTGGCCAATTACTTTAAGGTGCAATTTTTACAAGAACACTAGCAGTTCCTGAATTCAGGAATCTGTGAAATCAGGACTAGAAGGCTCCCCTTTCATTCCTACCTCTCGTAAGCAGAGATACTTACCTTTCTCGGATGGCTTCTTGGGTTGGAAATGTTCATAGTAGGATCTGGAAAACAGTTTTGAAACCAGTTCATCAGATCTGCTGTGCCTAGTGTGTGCTTACTTTAGAACACATAAAATAGTGTATGATGAGTCACATCTCCTCCCAGTCCCTCACGCTGCAGCAGGGTTCACTTGAATACAGAGAGGGGTCCTTACCTCTGGGGTTCACAGAGGCCTTGCAAAAATGCTTAACAGTTCAATATTTGATTTTTTAAAAAATTAATAAAAGCTGAACTACCATCTGCTAAATAACGCAGTGAAAGGCTCCATCTTGTTTCTGGAATGTCCTGAGCATGGCGTCCGTGCTGGGGGAGACACTAGCCATGGACAGGAGTCAGAGCTGGCGTTTGTTCTCTGAGCATTTCACTTGCATTTTTTCACTGACTTTTCAAAACACCTCCAGAGGTGGGTGTTTGTCATTTCTGTTTACTGATGAAGAGCTGGGTTACAAAAAGATTCAAACCCTGGGAAACCAGGATTTAAAATTGCACTCATTGGAAACAAAATCACCACTGCCCCCCACCCCCCATCCACACAGAAAGAGAGGCTCAGGGTGCCTTGCACCCCTGGAGCTGGGTGGTGAGGACCACAGGTTGCAGCGGGAGTCCGGGCCAAGAGGGGAGAGCGCTGGGTCACTAGTTTTGCTGTTCCATCTGGTGCACCTTTATGCTCCCGCACAGGGTTTCCCCTCGTCTGAGGACAGAGGGTGAATTCAGTAGCCATGAAACCAAGCCCTCTGTAAGCAGGGACTCAGCTGACCTGCTTCCCGGAGCCCGTTGCCTCTCTCCGCACCCAGCACCTCTGGCAGCAGCTTTAGGATGGAGGCTCTTTCCAGCTCCTCCAGGGCCAACCTCGCGTCGTCTTCAGGTGCTGCAGAGTGAGATCGAGACCAGTGACTCGCTCCGGCCTTCAGCTCGTCATTTCCGCTCCCTGTTGTGTTGGGGGAGTACCAGCAACAGGGAGAGGAATACTAGAAAAACTTCAGATGCCAAGTTCGTGATCTGGGACTGGTGGTGTTTTATTTATTTGCAGTAGTGGATATTGAACACAGGGTGCTCTACCACTGAGCCACATCCCCAGCCCTTTTATTTTTTATTTTGAAACAAGGTCTCACTGATTTGCACAGGGCCTCACTAAGTTACTAAGGCTGACCTCAAACTTGGGATCCTCCTGCCTCGGCCTCCTAAGTGGCTGGAATGGCAGGCATGCGTCACTGCACCCAGCAGTAGTGGTATTTAACAAGTGAAAGGCTCACTGTCCGTTTGCATGCCAGCAGGACAGAGGTCAGGAGATGTGGATCTCATATGTGACTCACCTCACCACCCAGGAGGGAGAGCCCTGAGCAGGAGGGAGAGCAGAGCCGGGGCCCTCAGCACCCTGTAGCTCAGAGAGTCTGAGGGACCCTCCTTCCCTACTTGTCCCCTGCAGCTGACTGCCTTTTCTTTAGATATCTGGGTGGTGCCATTGGAATGAGAGGAAAAGAGATGGTTTTTGCTCTTTCCATAAAGGAAGGGCAGTGGCAGCACCTCTCACTGTCCTCCAGGTGGAGATGCAACTATTACTATCCTGGAAAAGAATTAGCTTCAAGACCACTTGTAAGGCGCTTGATCGGTGTGAATCAATTTAAGGTGCTTTTCCAGCATGAAACGTGGCCAGTGGGCTGGCCCTACACTGTGCAGTCATCACCGAAGCTCTGAGGGCTCTCGTATTGGATTGGAGTCGTGGGCTACGCTGCCTGCGTGCAGGGGCGCAGGCTGCGGGAGTGGGCGGAAGCCACTCATGGCCGCAGCCTGACAGCGGAGCTAGGACCTTGTCTGCAAGACAGCACACAAACCCTCCATCCGAAAGGCGTCCGAGCATGTTCTCAGCGTTTCTAATACCAGCGAAACCTGTGAAGTCTGATCATGGACAGGTGCTTATGGCTTGAAGGGTCCTTCACAAAGGAGCAAAGATTTGTGACAAAAAATCCACGGTAAACTTCTGCCTGCCTGGAATCTGGGAGAGGTACTGCCCTCATTTCATCTGATTTTGTTTCTAATTATTATCTGAGTGTTTAAAATACATTAGTGTCTGAATGTTCATTTGATTTCTTCTTACAGTGCTTATCAAAATCTCTTTTTAAATAATAGAGATTTGGTTAGTGCCTGGTTTTGACCAACAAGGTGACTGCCAGTTAGGAGCTCGGTGACCCAGAAGTGACTGATGATGTATGAATGACTAGCAACACTTGAAAGTCATGAGAAAGCTGTTTGGAGAAACTTTTAGAGGCTAGAAATTATAAAATCAATGGCTTAGAAGAGTTTTTTCTTTATTTAAAAAAAAAATGTCTAAAAGTACTCAAAGATAAAATCCAATGAAAAATTTTTTTAATGGAACTTACCTCTGCCTTCTCACTTCTTAAACTGATGTACCTCACTGGTTGTGTTTTCTTAAAGCTCAACTTGGACTTTTATGAAATGAGCATGTATCAAAAGGAAAAGATAAAGGCACTTGGAAGACTGTGACATCCCTGCCCTGCTGGCCACTTTCCTGACCTTTAATAAGCCCGTTTGTCTCAGCCACACATCAGGTGAGTACTTTTCATTATAGAAGGAGAGAGAGTGTTACTGATCCGTAACTAGAACAGCTGATTCTACACTCAACCCAGTTTATTTTAAAATTAAAAGTAATGATGTTTTAAATTCAGTGCAATTTCTATAAATGGGAAAAAATATTGACCAAAGCAAAAGTTTGAATTGGAGAGGTGATATGAAGCCAGCAGTGCTACTTTTCTGTGTTTACATTTTAGAAAGAGAAAGCTGCGTCCACTACTAAATCTAAATTGTGCTGCAAGGGCGCCCGGTGTTCTTGGTAGAGCTGGGACTATCCATGTAACCAGCTCCTCCAAGCAGGAATCCCACCCTCACCTCCAGCATGGCCCCGAAGGCCAGTGGAGATTCTTCAGAAAGACTAGTACAAAAGATGCATCTTACCTGGGAGCTGGAGAGACATGTCCCTGGAGTCAGTGACAGGAAGAGATACAAGAGGATTTAAGAATCCTATAAAGAGCAAGCAGCAGGAGGCCAGCTGGTACATGATTGTGGAGAGGCAAAGTCCCCCTGGCTCTGTCCTGGAGTGTTATCAGCTTGCTCCTCCTCAGTCTGTGGTCACCAATTATATATATATCATCCCATGACCTCATACAGAAAAATGTAAATGTATTGGCTCTGGAGGCTAAAAGGCAATCACTTTGCATTGATGTAATTTTTCAAAGTAACAATTCATAGACAATAAATTTACTGTCTCGTTGCCTAGTGTGCAAAGTAGGTAATATAAAGAACAAATCTGGCAAAAGGAGTCACTTGGCAGTAAATCTTGAGTTAGAGAAAGGGTCAGAAGTGAGTTGAGTGGCCAAGGTAGGAGACACAGATTTAACCGAAGTGACGCAGAGTGTGACATGAAATATGTTGGTTCCTTTTAGTTTTAATCTTGTGAGTTGATGAGTTGCCGTGTGGTGCTGGGGCTGCCATGCCTGGACAACCACAACCTCTGGACAGACTTACAACCAGTTCTTTAAAACAGTGAAGATAACTTAAAATATACAGCAGACATAGCTCAGGACTCCATTTCAGGGCCTGCAAGCATGGAGACCTCAGGGAGAGGAAAGAGCATTCCGCAAAGCTGGACGGTATCTGTGAAGCAGGGCTAAAGGACCCCAAGACCCTGCAGGTAAATATCTCCAGAACTTGGCCTGCTCACCATGGCGCCTGGCCCTCTAGGTCCAAGCCTGGGCAGCTGCCGTGGTGTCCCCAGGAGTGCCGCCCGAGCCCCACCTCAGCAAAGCAAAGTGATGCCCTAGCGCGGACATCCATTCTTTGCTCAAAACCCTCTTTTGACTTAAAAGTCAAGACTATTATTAGGGAAGAAAATACACAGATACCTTTGCAGCCTCAGATCAGGCAGGTATTTCTAGGGACATGTGCCACACAAGAAGAAACCAGAGACAAGAGGTGCACGCTCACGGGTGACTCGTTCAAACAATGGGTGGCACACTTGAGGATGCTAACTAGATTCTTTTTTATAGCATTACTTCTTTTAATTTTTTTTTAGTTGTCAGTGGACTTTATTTATATGTGGTGCTGAGGATCGAACCCAGGGCCTCACTCATGCTAGGCAAGCGCCCTACCACTGAGCCCCAGCCCGGCCTGCTAACTAGATTTTTAAGCGATCTCATCATGCCCAGAACATTCTGAAATGTTTTTGTAAAATTAAGCACCCTACCTGTGCAACCCCAAAATGCCTCTCCGCTTCATTCAAGTGGAATGAAACATGGGCTCCCATAGACCTCGGCCCGCTGATGGCAGAAGCAGCTCTGTTCATAACAGTGGAAAACCAGAGGCACCCTGGTGTCCTTCCCTGTGCACTACAGAGAAGCCACTCAGGAACACAAAGGAAATGAATCTTGGAAACTACACACTGAGCAAAATAAGCCAGACCTGCAGAGACTGTCACATGGTCCTGTGCAAATGAAATCTAGAACAGGCAGAAGTGACCACAGCAACAAAGTGGCCTGGGCCTGGAGTGGGAGGCAGAGGGGGACCTGGGGAAACAAGGGAAGTTTTGGATGACAGGAATGTTCCCCATGACAGTTAAGGCTGTGGCTGCGTGGGCACGAGCGTCAGTCGACACTCATCAACCTGTACACATAAGACAGGTGCATTTTGCTGCATGTGAATGATACTTGAATAAAGCTGGTTTTTAAAAACCTCCACTAACCCCTGATTTTATTTTGACCGAATTCTGCTTTCCCTCTTGCACACTCCATTCCACCACCATTTTCCACCGTTCACTGCTTCCTGAATACATCTCTGCCTCAGGTCCTTCTGCCTGGATTGCTCTTCCCCAGGAGTGCACAGCTCTTCTCTCGCCTCCTGCAGATGTCTTCTAAAATATCACCCTCTACACGGGACCTTCCCGCCGCTTGGCCCCCCCGCATGCTGAGCACCCTGCCTCTCCATCTTTTCCCCTCCACTGAGCTCCTCCCAACACTTGTTAAATGTTGGTACTTAGTATACATGTGGCACTCAGTGCCTGTCAGGCCGCAGTGTGCGCCCGCCATGTGCCGTCCCTGCTCAGGAAAAAGCAGTGACCCCAAGGAAAGGATTTCTACCTGGAGGGACCGACAGCAAAACAGAGGTCCAACCGCGGTGACTTTATTGGCATGAAGAAAAGCGGAGCCCGGAGGCCCTGGGCCAGTGTCGGGGTCGGTGTGCTTTCAGGAGGGAGGCCTTGGGTGGGGGCGTTTGGGCAGAAACCCAAATTTATGCAGGATGGGGACACGTTAAAGGTTCGTGAACGTTAAGGAGGTGGAGGGGAAGGGCCTGACCATGGGCTGTAAGAAGAGCCCACCCAGCAGGAGCAAGGGAGAAGTGGGCCATGGCTGGGCTCTTGACCCTGGCCCAGCTGGGAAACCAGCCTTGAGATCTCGGGCAGGGGCGACCTCTTCAGAGGCCCTTCCTGGCTTACATCTCACCAACTAGGTCAGCGTCTCCCACATGCCACCAGAGCTGGGACACAGCTGTGGACAAAGGACAGGGAGCTGGCCTCGAGAGCCTGACATCCAAATCAGGGCTGAGAAAAACCTGGAAAGAACGGGCCGGCATCCACCCAAGGGAGCGTGGGGTGGCAGGAGCCGGCAGCCCATGGGCCTCTGGCCTCTGCCTTCAAGGCCTGCCTCCCACCCTCGCTGGGGATTGAACCCAGGGCCTGTGCATGCAAGGTGAGTGCTCCATCAACTGAGCTAGGTCCCCAGCTCTCCCCCAGGGTTTCTTGCTTCGACATCTCTCCATTCACATATTATCTCATTTTTCTTTTAGCAAAAACATTTTTTCTTTTCTGTGTATATTTGGCCAAACATACCTCTCCACTGCCAAAATTTCTCTTTGTTCAGTTTCAGTGACCAGTTCAGACCCAATTATGTCCTAATTTTCAAGTTCCTAGGAGAGGGTCTTTGCAGGGAGTTATATGGACAATTGTAAAAGAGCTGCCACCCCAAAGGAGGATCGTCCCAGAGGACACCCCAAGTAGAGTACGGTATGGCAGGAGCCAAAACATGTTTGTACAGTGGGACTACTTTCAGAAATATACCCTAAGGAAATGTTCTGTTGAACATGAGCAAAAAATTACCTGAAGGCATCATTTGTCACCTATCTGTAGTGGCAGGGACATGAAATCCAAGGTGGCAACTCAAGTATTCATAGGGATCAGAGAGGTGATAATGTGAGGGAAGGAGGCAGGCCTGGTGGGTGACATCAGGGAGTGGTGGCAACTGTAGCAAAGTGGATGTCGCATGCCCTCTCTGAAGGGGCACCTCTGCTACTTGGTAGCACGCCAGTGTGCTGAGACCCAGATCCCAAGCCTCCCCGTGACGTCCCTGAAAAATGCCAGAGAAACAACTAAAGCCATAATTCAATCCATAGCCATCATTTTTAGCCCAAATACCCTCAAATAAATGTTTTATTAGTGGATTATAGAGCTATCAGCATGTTATTTTAGCAACCCTTAAAGCAGTACCTAAAAGGTTTTTTTAAAAAAAAGAAAAAGGTCTGTGGGAGGGAGCAAGGGGTGGGAGGGCGGGGAAGGGCGGGTGCTGGGGTCTGAATTAGAGCGAGATGTCATCCTTGCCTGTGGAGTCATGCCACAGTGGAGTCCTCTGTCAGGTACGACTCAAAACCAGAACCATAAACAGTTTAAAAAGAAGGTATGTGGGCAAGAATTGGTATGTAATATTGCAAAATTTAAAATAATTGGTTAAAAGGATTTTTCTTTCCCTTAAATCTCGCGCTGCAGACCTGTGTGTGTGTGTGTGTGTGTGTGTGTAGCTCTTGGGTGTGGAGAAAGGGGTGGGGAGGACACAGGCTGTGAGGCCCGGAGCTTGGGGTGACCCTCGAGGAGGGAGGCAGAAGGCAAATTTCCAGCTCCAGCAGTCCTTGCTGGTGGAGGTGGCTTTGCCACGTTTGTCATCCCCTAGTGACTCAGGGGTCCTTCCGACAGCTATCAGTGATGGTTTTACGGCCTAATTAAGTTACTACCAAAGGCTCAAGCTCAGAAGAAAATTAGCTTCTTTCCTCCAACTGGCCATCAATGACAGTGGCACCTTGTCCCAGAAATGTCCCGAGCATGTCATTGAGCCACAGTGGTCCACGTGCAAGGCGGGGCGGCCTGACGTTTATGTTGGGACACCTGGGAGCAATGTCCACCCTGGTGGGCAGAAACCGTAGGTCGGTTGCAAAGTTCCTTTTAAAATGGTCACCCGTGTGTGTGGTGAAGAAGCCAGTTATTCACGTGTCCTATTTTGGGTGACTTCTGCCCATGGGGCATGAGTGACCAGTGGGTGGGTGTGAACACAGAGAGCCCCTTTTCAGTTTCTGTTTTGAAATGGATCTCGGTTCCCTCCCTCTGCCGCTGTCTTTGCCTTTACAAAAGGATCACAGTTTTCTAACAGAATTGATATGGAATTGTCCTCAGAAGTCCAGAGGAAGTGGCCCTGCCAGGCATTGACCCTCTGCCCCACAGTGGGCGCCCCGTCAGGAACGTGTCCTCTGCTTGGAGCTCGTGCCTCCAGCCTGCTTCCTCCCACCTCAGGGCCTTTGCACGAGCTATTCCCGCTACTTGGAATGCCTTCCCCAGGTGGCTCCATGGCTAACTCTTGCCTCTTTTAAGTCTCTGCTCAAAATCTACATTCCTAATGGAGCTATGCGGACAACCTGTGTTTGAAATTGCAACCTGCGTCTCCGGCCCTGGATTTTCCGCCCCTCACCTGGTCTGGTTAAATGCTTTCCCACTCGGCCTGTCACATTTGACTTGGGTAGTATGTCGTTGGGGTTGTGATGAAGGCAGGGATCTCCATTTTGCTCGCTGAGGTATCCCCAGAACCTAGCACGCCCTGGGCACATGCGGGAGCTCACGCTGTCGACCGAAGGCGTGATGGTTGGCAAGGCCTTCAGCCCGGTGCTTGGGCTGCCCGCCTAGCTGTCCACTGTGTGATGACCCACCCGGGCGCGGTGGCTCCCGAGTCTGCGGTCAGCAATGCAGACTGGTGCGGGGAGCCAGCTGTGGTTGTCCCCTCCCTGAAACAGGGTGACCACAGAGAATATGGTGACATTCCTGGTGACACGAGCACCGCCCTACAGCCCAGGTGCCTGTAAAGCACCTGAAGAACCAGCCGCAGCGGCCTCAGGTTTCCTTGGCATCCTGCGCGGGCACAAGGCTCATGCTCGGCCCTCAGGTGTCGGTCTTCCAGGGAGATGTCCCCGCTCTCCTGTGACTGGCCATCACTTCATAAGGAAGGATGAGCTGCCAAGGGGACGAGGCTCCGGGCCTGGGTCTGATCCAGCAGCGGAGGCACCGAGCGAGGCCGGGCAGGGAGGAAGGGTGACGTGTCCCTCATCCGCTGTTCATTGATCTGATTCATCCCGTTTCCTAGGCGGCTCCCCGGGAAGGTTCTAGGGAATGACTCAAGCGTCAGCTGAGCAGGGTCCACGGGCTGCGCCAGCGTTGCCATCAGGACTGACATTAGAGGAGACTCGGTTACAGAGAATATTAATTGCTGCTGGGAGCCAGGGGTGACGCTAAACGGAAATGAAAAGTCACCACTGAGTTGTGCCACCAGGGAGCCTTTGTGAGGGGAGTGGGTGCTGAGCCAGTGTGAGACTTCATTTAATGACTTATTCCTACTTCCTGTCACTAACTCCTGTGTAAGGGCAGATTTGGTTGGAGCTGTCTTCCCGGCCCCAGTTCCACATATGGAGACCCTGACACCCAGAGCTCAGATGGCAAGGGAGACTGGGCCTCTCAAAGAGAATCAAGCCAAAGTGAGGTCATTAGGGCAGCCCTGAACCCATGTGAAGAGATTAGGACATAGGCACACACAAGGGACGGCCAGGGAAGGACACAGGGAGAAGACCCTCTGCCCAGCAACAGGGGCGTCAGAAGGAAGCCACCTGTGGCACCTTGATCCTGGCTTCCAGCCTCCAGAGCTGTGAGGAAGCAGACCTGCGGCTCCTCACTCTGCGTCCCATCATGGAAAATTAAGCCCCCACAGTACTCGGTCACAGGGTCACTTGATTTTGCATGTGAGAAATCTTTTTGCTCTGGGAATAGGAACTAAGCTTCGATTTCCAAAGTCCCCCTTGTAGTGCTTGTAGGCCTGTCCAGGATCAGAATCTAGTTTCCCGAGTCCTCCAGTTTAAAAAGAACATATCTTCAAGTTTCAAAAAATATAGAATATTGAAACTGAATGATTGCTTTTCCTCACATCATTTAATTTGTACTGCCTGCCCATTATCAATTTCCTCTAGCCCAAAACTGCCGGGAACACATCTGTAGTCAAAGAAGGTTAGATTTCTCTCTCTCTCTTTTTTTTTTTTTTTTTTTTTTTTTGGTATTTGGAATTGATTGAACTCAGGGGCACTTGACCACTGAGCCACATCCCCAGCCCTATTTTGTATTTGATTTAGAGACAGGGTCACACTGTGTTGCTTAGCACCTTGCTTTTGCTGAGGCTGGCTGTGAATTCTCAATCCTCCTGCCTCAGCCTCCCAAGCCACTGGGATTACAGGTGTGCATCGCCGTGCCTGGTGAGAAGGTTACATTTTTTTGACTCACTGATAAAGCCATAGCCATGGAGAACTGTGGGGGTGTCAGTGAGGAGTGAGGACAGGGCGTTCCAGGGCTGTGACCTGAGCGGTGTGAGCTGGGGGAGCACCCATAGAAAGAGATTTGCTCCAGATTGGATGCCATCAGGAAGCAGGAGTATTCTATGTCAGGATGTCTTACCTTCTCGATGAAAAGATAAGGAAGAACCTTCTAGAACTCGTGAGAGACTAGCACTGTCACTGGCAAAGAAGCAGCCCTCACTCATTCAGCCACAGAGAGGTTGGGGGACTTCTCAGTTCAAACAATGCTCATGTTTTGTCGGGGCAGCCTCAGTCGTGTGTCCGTGGTCTTGTTTCTGACCTGATCCAACACCAGAGTGCGCTTCTCTGATGCTGGTGGTCATTGAAGTCATGAGGTTCAGCAGGACACCGAGGCCCCGCTGGGAGGGCCGGGCAGCCCTGCTGATGGGCTGGTTTCCTCCTCCCACTCACGCAGCCACTTACCTGTCAGGTAGCCAGCACAGCCTGCCTGCTCTGCGGTTCAGAAGCACGGAGTCATTTGATAAGTCCTGACCTGTCACCCTCCCTCTCTGCCTGTGTCCTCCTCCCCTGTCCTGGCTTCTCTCCACAGGCTCTGTCCTCCACGGGCTGTTGATGTGCTTATGTGTGGTTTATTTGGTGTCGATAAGCTCCCCAGGACCAGTGTGTATCTGTTCTGTTCATCCATAGTCCCTGTGCCCTGGAACACAGTGGCGGCGGGGGGGCTCAATTCGGCTAACAGTGCTGGCCGTTAATAAAGACTGGGTTAACTGTGGAATCCACAGTGCCTGGCTGAGTCACATCTGGCCTTTTCTAGGAGAATGTTCTAGTGTCCTGAGTCCCAGGGCCACGCTTCCAGATGACAATAGGAGTCATTCCACCTGTCTGTCCACCCAGCCACCCAGCTATCCATCTATGACTATATTGGGCTGTGCATAATTCTCATTTGGAAAGGGAACATCTTTGGAAAGTTTTCTCATTTCTTCCATGTCCCTGTGTCCTTATCCTTGGCAGTCAGCATGTGTCCCAAGTGAAACAAATTACTAGTATCTACGAAGCTAGAACAAAGCATCTTCCACTTCTAGACAGCCTATGCAAGTCCTCTGAGGATGCTTAGGATATTGTTCTAGCTAGTGTTAAATTTAAAGGAGCCACATCTTTTTTTTTTTTTTTTAAAGAGAGAGTGAGAGAGATAGAGGTAGAGAGAGAGAGAATTTTTTTTAATATTTATTTTTTAGTATTTGGCGGACACAACATCTTTGTTTGTATGTGGTGCTGAGGATCGAACCCGGGCCGCACGCATGCCAGGCGAGCGCGCTACCGCTTGAGCCACATCCCCAGCCCCGCCACATCTTAATTATGGCAAATTATAGGCATTCTTCAGAGAGTGTGGGTTCAGCCCAGACCATGATAAAGCAAATATGGAAATAGAGGCTCATGAGTTTTTTCTTTTCCGGGTGTATGTAAAAGTTATGGTGACACTGTATTGTAGTCTATTAAGGGTGCAATAGTATTATGTCTAAAAAATGTACCTATCTTAAATTTAAAAGTACCTGATTGCTAAAAAATGCTGACTGTCACCTCTGAGTACTATGATCTTTGCTGGTCGAGGGTCTTGCCTGCTATTGCTGGCTACTGACTGATCGGGTGGTGGCTGAAGGCTGGTGGCTACGGCTTAATTCTTAAAATAAGACAACACTGAAGTTTGCCTCATCAATTGATACTTCTTTTCTAAAAGATTTCTCTCCAGCACGCCTTGCTGTTTGACAGCATTTTACACCCTGTAAACTTCTTTCAAAATTGAGGTCAGCCCTTTCAGCTTTTGTGTGACATTCTCAAGCCTCTGTCGTCATCTCAGCAGCGTTCCCTGCACCCTCAGTGGATTCCATCTCCAGACAGCGCTCTCGTAGCTCATCTGTAAGAGGCAGCTCCTTGTCCCTTGAGATGGCAGCAGTCAGGCCCCACTTCCGGCTCCACTTCCAGTCCCCCTGCTGTTCCCACCGCACCTGCAGCTCCTCCTCCACTGGAATCCGGAAGCCCTCGAGTGGGCCACAAGCGCTGGACTCTGGTGAAGTGCTGGTGTTCTGACCTCCTCCCATGAATCCCAGATGCTCTTAATGTCGTCTTGAATGGCGGGTCCTTTCCAGAGGCGTCCTGTTGACTTTGCCCAGATCCATCAGAGGGACACTGTTTAGTGTACTTTGCTGTGTGCAGTGCTGGGCCTCACGCAGGCTGGGCAAGCGCTCTGCGCTACTGATGGCAGCCACGGCCTTAGGAAATGTGTCTCTGTGATAATCAGACCTAGGATCTACGTCACTCCTGATCGGGAGCTGCACAGTGAGGCTGTTGGCAGGCATGAAAGGACATCAATCTCGCGGAGCATCTCCCCAGAGCCCCTGGGAGACCAGCGCGCTGTAGGCGAGCAGTAACGCTTGGAAAGGACTCTCAGGCAGCGGGCTCCACGGTGGACGTGCTCAGCAAGCCACGTGACAACAGGGACGTCACAGCCTTGGCCATTCCCTTTATGGAGCACAGGCAGCAGAGCTGTGTCATTCGGAAGGCCCCAACGGGCTTCACCTTCCCCTTGAAGTCACCAGCTGCCTTCGCCCCTAACAAGGAGTCAGCTGTCCTTTGACGACCTGCTCAGGCGCTGACTTCTCCGTAGCCATCAAAGTCCTGGGCAGCACCTGCTTCCACAGAAGGCTGCTCCGTCTACACTGGAAATCTGCTGCTGGTGCAGCGGCTCCATCAGCCGTCCCAGATGGATCCTGGGGACAACTCTGAGCTGCTTCACCGCCCTTGCTGCGTCACCTGCACTGGGACTGGTGGAGCCTCAGGAGCGACCTCCGCAGCCTCGGCCGTTTCTCCTGCAGCTGCCTCACCTCTCGGTCCCCCAGGAGGGAGAGTGGGGGCCTGGCTCTGGCTACACCTGGCTCAAGGGAACGCTGTGGCTGGTTTGATCTTCTGTCCCAACTGCCAAAACTTTCATCAATAAAACTTCCTACAGCAACAGGCTGTGTGGCCACTTTATCGTCGCGTTTGCGGGAAAGCACTTCTCCCTCTCAGACTCTTCCTTTGTGTTCACAGCTTGGCTCTTGGAGAAGAGGCTGAGCTTTGGGCCTGTCTTGGCCTCTGCCCTGCCTTCCTCACTAAGCCCTATCACTTCCAGCTTTAGATTGAAAGGGAGACAGGAGAGGTGTGTGAATCTTCCTTCCCCTTGAAGGCTTAGCGGCCACTGCAGTGTTACTACCTGACCGATTTCAAACTCGTGTGTCTCAGGGAACAGGGGCCCCGGGAGAGGGGAGAGTGGGGGAAGGCTGCTCAGAGGAGCAGCCAAACACCAGAGCACTTAGTGGTCAAGTTTGTCATCTCACCAGGGTGCAGTTCACGACTCCCCGAAACAGTGACGATAGTAACATCAAGATCACTGGTCACAGATCACCATCGCAGGTAAAATAATAGTGAAAAAATCTGAGATATTGCAAGAACTGTCCAAATGTGGCCCAGACAGGAAGCAAGCACACACTGTTATGTGTGCAGGGCAAAAGCAGGGTCCTCACAGAGGGTCCTTACATCAGGTTCAAACAGCTCCACAGTTTCATCCTAAATAAGCCTTCCAAGGAATTCTATCAAGATTATTTTGAAAGGTAATTCTGAGGCACATTTCTGGACTTTACAACAGAAACCAGGTGATTTTGTAATTATACCGTATGGTTCTCATGATGGGAAATAAAAGAACATCACTTAATTTCGTGGGTGGAATCACAGAGGGGTGCATTTTTTGCATTAAGTTCATTTCTTTAAGTTTATTTATTGCATTAAGTTTATTTTCTTCGATTATTACAAGGGAATACAAATCTTATGAGAAACAGCTAAAGAAAATTGTATGCTCTTTTTTTGTTAAAGTTTGTTGTTATAATGTCATTTAAAAACATATAATATATGCACGATCTTCCCACTTACAAGTGCTAGCAAATATTTTTTCTTAACATCTTATATCATTCAGTGGACGTGTGCAGAGACCTGCAGCTGTGGTCAGGTAGCAGTCCTCTGCTGGGAAGCTTTCCATATGGCATATGGTCTCTCAGGATCTTTAGGGAATTGGTTCCAGGACCCCCAAAATACCAAAATCCACAGATGTTCAAGTCCCTCATCCAAGACAGCACATTCCCCTGTCTATTTTAAGTCATCTCTGGCTCACTTCCTAATGCAGTGTATTGTGTTAGGTAGGGAGCATCTATGCTAAATAGTTCTTGTGGTGTGTTGTTTAGGGAATAATGACCAAAAAAAAAATGGTCTGAACATGTTCAGGACAGACAGAATCTTTTTCCTGAATGTTTTCAATCCTCAGTTGGCTACATCTGCTGATGCCGACCACACAGGTCCAGAAGGACTCTTGTGTCCCTTAACAGGTGGGCATTGGTCTGATCTACAGTTTCGGAACCAAATGCCCTTCTAACAGTAGCATGGTATTCAAAGAAAAAAAATAACATACTGCCTGATGCACAGCAGTTGCCTGGGTCAGGAGTCACCCGTCAAGCGGAGAGGCCACTTCTGTGCTACAGCTCATGTTTTGTTTTTTTTTTTAAATATTTTCTTAGTTGTTGATGGACCTTTATTTTATTTACTTATTTACATGTGATTCTGAGATTTGAACCCAGGCCTTGTACATTTTTATTTCAGGCTCAAGGAAAGTATGTGGGGACTTCAGGAGCCTTTGTGGAATAAAAGTAAAATGGGGAGAAGGGTCCAAAACTAGAAATATTTTTGGAGGAAGAAATTGGTTCTGTATAGAATATAAGGAAGACAGATGTTGCCTTATGGAGCTCATCAGCGCTTTTCTTCTAAAGGAAAACGTCCTACTTAAAAAAAAAAAAAAAAAAAAAAAAACAAAACCTTTGGGCAGTTTGTGGCTGTTATTTTTTTTAACTCTATTTAGATTTTTATGTGGTGCTGAGGATCAAACCCAGTGCCTCACATATGGTAGGCAAGTGCTCTATCACTGAGCTGTAACCCAGCCCCATGGCTGTGTTATTTTTTTAAATCATCCGACATTATTTATCTTCTTTATTTCACCAGGGTAAGCCCTGTGGCACAGGCTCTTGTCATGGTGCCATTGACCTAGAACTCTGCTTTGCAGTCCCACCTGCTTTTGTGCCACACTGTCAGCTCACATTGGACTCAGAGTTAGTGTGGATTTTTTTTTTAAAGTTTTGTTTACCTGACTTTAAATTTGCGTATGGTGAAATGTATACTTCTGCTAAGCATTTCTGAGTTTTGGACAATCTGTGGTCATGTACCCACCACCACCATCGGCACAGAGAACTGCTCCATCCAGCCCCCGAAGCTGGAATGAGGGTTCAAATGCAAGCAGGAAAATCATGGAATGAGTACTTTTTATTTAACCTAGCAGGAAACAAAAGGGACTGCAACCTCTGAAATCATAAGCCAAAGCAAACATGTCCCCCTCTAAGTTGGTTTCAGTATTTTGTAGTTTTCAGCATGCAGATTCCATGCATATTTTGTTAGATTTATAACAAACTATTTATGATTTGGGTGTTATTATAAGTGTGTAATTTCTATTTCTATTTGTTCACTGCTGGTATATAAAAATTTGCTTGATTTTTGTTACTTCCTATCCTATGACCTTGCTAGACTTATTTACCAGTTCTAGGATCTATCTTAAGACTCCTTCTAAGTAGAATCCACAAATTTTTTATGTTTATTTACTATAATCCATATGTTTTGATATTTTGGGTTTTTCATTCAGTTAAAAATAGTTTATGGTTTTCTTTCTGACTTAAAAAAAATCCCAATTATTTAAATGTGTGTTTTTGGTTTTGTTTTATATTTTGATGGTAGGGCTGGGGATCAAACCCAGGCCCTCACGCATGCTAGGCCAGCAGTATACCACATACCCAGCTCCCAAACTGTAATTTTTTTTTAATTTCAAAATATTTTGGTATTTCCAGATACCTCTCTGTTTAATTTCATATGGCAGAAAATGCATCCTGCATTATTTTAATTGTTTTAAGTTCATTAATGTTTTGTGACCCAAAATGTGGTCCACTGCGATGTGTGTTCATGTGTACTTGCAGAGAGTTTTTAGATGGAGTGCTTTGTAAATCTCAATCAGGTCAACTTGGTTTAGTGCTCAGGCCTCACACTTTCTTGCTGCTGTCCTGTACTTGTTTTATTATTGATAACTGGACAGGAATGTTGAACTCTCCAAGAAGAGTTGTAGATTTGTCTAGTTCTCTTTATCTTTTTTTTTCTTTGAAAACTTTCCACATTTATTTACACATAGCTTAAGGAATCATTTCCCAACCCTATTTAATATTTGCAGATTTCTTTAGTTGGAAACAAAAATTCAAAATACAGCAAGTACAGGCGCGGGTGTCACTCCAGCAGGGCTTGCCCTCTTGATCTTGCCTTTCAGCAGATGGGCTGAAGTTGGAGAGGTGGCAGTCAGACACAAAAATGTTTGCTTTAATTTCTTCCATCCATCAAGTCATAAAGGAAGCTGCCACGGAGCCTCAGAATCAGTATCCAAAAATGTGGGCTGGTCCAGTAGCTAGTAGCTCAGTGGTAGAGTACTAACCCTGCGTTAAAAAAAAATGGAATGGATTAGTTTAAATGAGATAATTACCAGATTGATGAGCAGTGGTTAAAAGAAACAAGACCTTTGGTGCATAGGCAAAATTACCACATTACTTGCAGAAGCAGAATTCTCTAGGACCTTTCTGTAGCCCTTTATTTACATACATTTTAAAAAGTTACTGCAAGATAGTTTAAAATTTTAACCAAAACAAGAAAAGTATGAAGTGAACAGTCAATGACACTAAATTCAACTGTTTATGAATCAAGGAACTTAAAAAGCAAATCTGGGAATTGAATTCCCTTATGACTCTAGGGCTTCAGTTAGAATCTTTTTCTGTTGATGCTATTTCTATTTTATTCTTTCAATATAGTCTCTTCAGAGTCAGAAAAATGACTTCAGCAACTTTATGAAAATCAGCAATTTTTGAGAGGATGTACCTGGGAAATCCAGTGAGCTTTTTTTTTTAGAATTTTTTTTTAGTATTTATATTTTAGTCATCGTCGGACTCAACATCTTTGTTGGTATGTGGTGCTGAGGATGGAACCCGGGCCGCACGCATGCCAGGCGAGTGCCCTACCGCTTGAGCCACATCCCCAGCCCCCAGTGAGCTTTTCACAGGAGCTGACTTCTGCTCAGCTTCCCTCCCTCCCTGCGGTGGGCTGGCGGGTGCCTGGCCCCTCCACGGGGTCTTCACCCCACACTTCTCCTTGGGATGTCTTTAACCAGAAGGCCCAGGCCCAGGGCTGGTAGGAGTACCGGTGAGAAGCGCCAGGCTTGCGAGGCTCTTTCCCTCTGCTCTGGGGGCTGGGGCTTCCTTCCCGGGGACGACCTTGGGTCTGGGTGTCAGGTGGCCTGAACACAGAAGGTAAGCTGTGGGTGCGCGTGGACAGAAAAAGTGATCGAATAGACTGTGGGCCTTGGACATCAGGTCTCTCTGTTCCACTGTGGGGACTGAGCATGGGAATTGGCCTTTTGAAAATGCCCTTGGCTAGTCGATGGGGACCCCCATTACTAAGGGGATCCCTGATGTCTCTGACTGGAAGACAGCTTGGAGTCTCAGACATTAGATGTGGGAACTTGCGAGTAGATTTTCCACTGAATGTCTGGCCTGCCCTCGGTGATGGTGCCTCTGCTTGGCGGAGCACCAGCTCCTACTGTTGTGGGGAATTCGGGTGTCACCAGAGAAGTGCTGGGCTGTGGTCCACAGGCTTGTTTACTGGGCCCCGGGGAGTGCGAGTGGTCGCTTTCTACAGAAGCCACAGCGACATTTGGGACCCTCCAGTGGTTGCTGGTGGAATGGCGATGGAGCTTCCTGGGAACCTTGGCAAAGATCTGCCCAGGAGGCACCAATAGAGGAATGAAAAGCAGTCACCACGCAGGCGCTGGTGGCCTTTGGCTTGGGGAACAGGCCCAATTCCAGCCCACACCTGCCCTGCGGGCGGCCACGTTCCCCTCAAGTGTTCAGCGTCTAGTTCTCTTTGATTTCCACCTGGCTTTGCCTCACATATTTGAAGGCTCTGTTCTTCAGGGGCGTCACACCTAGGGAATATTTTACCTTTGGTAAATTGAGCCTTTGTTATTGTGTGAAGTCCCATTTCACCCCTGGTATGGTTTCTGTTCTGAAGTCTCCTTTGTCTATATTAACATTGCCACTCGAGTTTCTTTTGATGCCTATTTTCATTCTGTAATCCTCTTTCATCCCTCTGCTTTTTAAAAAAAAAAATTTTTTTTTTTTTTAGTTGATGGACCTTTATTTCATTTATTGTTTTTATATGCGGTGCTGAGAATCCAACCCAGTGCCTCACACATGGGAGACAAGCCCTCTACCACTGAGCCACAACCCCAGCACCATCTTTCTGCTTTTAACCTGTGTAATTTTATTTAAAGGTGAGTTTGTATAAATAGAGCACACATTTGGGGCTTGTATTTTCAATCCAAACTGATAATCTCTGTCTTTTAATTGGTGTATATAGACCATTTAAATTTAATGTAATGATTAATATGGTTGAGTTTAAGCTTCCTATTTTGTCATTTGTTCTGTTTGTTCCTACTGGTTTTTATTGCTCGGTTACCTCTTTCTCCCAATTTTTGGGATCATTTAAATATTTTTGGTACTTTCTGATTTATTTATTTATTTTTGTGGTTCTAGGGATTGAAAACGGGACTTCATGCATGTTAAGCAAGCACTTCACTAAGCGACACCTCAAACCCTATTATGGTTTGGATGTGAGGTGTCCCCAAAAAGCTCACATGTGAGACAATGCAAGAAAGTTCAAAGGAGAAATGATTGGGTTGTAAGAGTCTTAACCCCATCAGTGTTTTAATCCCACTGGTAGAGATTAATTGAGTGGTAACTGAAGAGGTAGGGTGTGGCTGGAGGAGGTGGGAGCTGGGGTGTGGCTTTGGGGTATATATATTCTGTATCTATCTGGAGAGTGGAGTCCCCTCCCCCCCCCCCGTGCTGGGGATCCAACCCAGGGCCGTGTGCATGCAGGGCAAACACCCTACCAACTGAGCTATATCCATAGCCCCTCTCTGCTTCTTGATTACCGTGATGTGAGCTGCTTCCCTGTGCCACACACTAGGCCATAGTTCAGCCTCACCTTGAGCCCCAAGAAATGGAGCCTTTTATGGACTAAGGCCTCTGAAACCGTGAGCCCTCAAATAAATCCTTTCTCCTCTTCAGTTGTTCTGGTCAGACCTTTAGTCACAGCAGCAAAAAAGCTGACTAAAACAAGCCCCTGGTACTATATTTAATTTACCTACACTAGTGCTTGTTGTCCATATCTGTTAGTATTATTACATAGGAGTTGCTCTGGACTGCACAACATACATCCCTCATTTTTAATAGTCTATCTAAATTTAATATCTTAATACTTAAAGTAAAATGTACAAGCCTTATAAACATATTTTACCCTCCTCTTTATACTTTAGTTGTATATCTCTACATTCATCAAACATTTTACCAACAATATATTTTTCTTTCCGCAGTCAAAATATTTTAAAGAACTTTAGAAAACAGTCTATTCTATTTAGTCAGATATTAACCACTTCTCTCGCTCTTTCATTCCTAGAGCACCAAGTTTCTCTCTCATCTCCTCAGCCCAAAAAACTTCACTTAATATTTATTTTAGAACAAGTCTGTTGGCAACAATTTTTTTACATTTTCCTTCATCTGAGAACATCTGTTTGACTCCATTCCTTAAGAATATTTCACCTAAACCTAGAGCACTGTTCCACTGCCCTCTGTCCTCCAGGGTTCCTGATGACAAATCTGCAGTCCCTCTCATCCTTCCCACGTCTGCTATGTCACGTTTCCCATGTCACGTTTCCCGGCTGCTTCCTAGAGCTGCTTCCCAGAGCTTTATCTCTGGTTGTGGGCAGTTGAGTGGGTGTATATGGGCCCATTTTCTTTGAGTTTATCTTGTTGGATGGCTTATGGAGCATCTTGAATCTGTAAAGTTGTTTTTCACCAAAATCTGAGGAGTTTTGGTCATTATTTTTTCAAATGTTTTCTGTACCAGTCTGTTTCCCCTTTATTCCTGAGACTCCAGTGGCAGAGGTGTTAGACCTTTCAGTGTTGTCCCAGAGGGCTCTGCGCCTCCTGTTCAGTAGTTTTAATCATTTTTCTCTGTTCTTCACATTGAAAATTTTTGATCTTCAAGTTCACTAACGCTTTCCTATGTTGTCTCATTCTGCTGTGTTGTTTCAGACAGTGTGTTTTTCAGTTCTAAAGTTGCCATTTAGTTCCCATTTCTTCCTCATGGTTTCTGTTTCTCTGCTGAGAAACTAGCACCTTTACCTTCATTTAAAGTGCATTCATCTTCCCTCAAGAGGTTATGTCCGTCACTTTAACACCAGTGTCCATTCCGTTATCTGAGTCAGCTCAGCATTGCCATCTGACAGTTCTTTCCCTTCATTTGTTCACATTTTCCTGGTTCTTTATACGTTGAAGAATTTTTGACACTTTGATGATTCTCTTGGGAGACTCCATGTTCTGTTGTAATCCTCTGGAGAATATTGATTGGTTGCTGCTGTGTGGCAGGCAATCACCTGATTAGACTCATACCACAAGTTCTACCTTGTTCTCTATGAATGGTGTTTCCTGCGCCACCTAAGTTGTTAAAACCTTTCCTGTGCTCCTTTGGGCCTTGCCTTTGCATGTGCCACTCTGAGGTTAACTGGAAGCATGATGGTAGTTCAGTTCTCAAAGCTCTTGTATCCTACTTTGGATTCACTCCTGCAGAGTTTAAGGTCGAACCCAGGATTTGTTCCAATTCATACTTAGAACTGGGAGGGTCCCCTTCTTCAGCTCTGCCCCCTCTGCGATTCCCTGAACACTTTCTGGATCCCAGGAGCCTCTTTCCCAACCCTCTGGCCAGCAATCCGGATTTTCTTTCAGAGTTCCAACTGCACTTCCTACCACTGGGGTTGGCTGAAGAACAGGGCTGGAGGAGGAAAAAGGGAGAGGAAGAAAAAGAGAAAAACCAGGGATTTCTCTGTACTCTTTGATTTGTGAAGGCCCCTTTTCTTGGTTCTGTGGCCAAGAAGACAGAGTCGGAGAGGTCCATGGTGGGCTGCCTTCCTGTCAAACACGGGGAAGCAACAGAGGAAACCAGACCAGCAACACAGCCCTCCTCTCCACCTTCAGCTTTGACTCCCCGGCAGTCTGTGGCCTACTGTTTACTCTTCAGGGGTCTCAAGTTTGATCTCGTTCCTCCAAGACGGCTTGTTTGCTAAGAGGACTTAGCAGGCACTGGAAAGAGACCTTGTCCTCCTTTCCTCTTCATGGAAGTCTCAATGTCACATTCTGTGCAAACCCTCAAGTGTTGTAGTATCTGTATTCAGAACACGCATGCATACACCACACACATATCCAGTCTCTTTTTCCAATTTGTAGAGCAAATTCAACCCCTGGGTAGGGAAGCCCAAGAAAACAATTTCCTGACACAATGCCTTTTAAAATTCAGCCTGGAGACTGCATCTGTAGTCCTTTGGACCTTTGCAAGGTCAGTCTCATTGATTCTGCATTCTCATTTTGTTGGCTTCAATATATGGGGCAGTGGAACTTAATCAATATAAATTGGATTGCATTTCAGAGATCAGAGTTCTGCCTGCATTAGAGGATGATTGCTTTACAGCTGGAGATTCCATTTGTATTGAGCTCGGCTCCTGGTCCACGTGAGGCCTGTACTGAAGAGCTGACTGGTGAGCCTCAGCACGGCAGCCTCCTCCCCCACCTCCCCTCTCTGCTCACCAGTCGTGCCAACTATTTGTGGAGGCTACAGTTTTTAGAAGGAAAAACAGTGAATGGTTTGACCACGGGAAATATGAGACTCACACCACAAGTTCTACCTTGTTCTCTTGTAGCTGAGGAATCTGATGGTTCTTTTCTAGTCACTGAGCCTCTGGGTTTCTAAGTATGGGTGGCCTTGCACGTTCACCAAAGAACTTCTGTCTGAGTGTTCCTGCATACATATTACCCAAGATGAGCCAAACCTGTTAGAAAAAATGACTCTGTTGTCTCTTATTATCTTTCTTCTTCTTCTTTATCACTTAACAAATGAGTCTGGCATATATTAATAAATATATCATCTGAGAGACATTAGTGCTTTAAATGTTACTTCTTTTTAAAAAACCTAGTTAAGACAGGCTTGGTGGCACCCACGTGAAATACCAGTGACTCAGGAGGCTGAGGCAGGAAGACTGTGAATTCAAAGCCAGCCTCAACAACTAAGCTAGGTTCCAAGCAACTTAGTGAGACCCTGTCTCTAAATAAAAAATTTAAAAGGGCTGGGGTGTGTGGCTCACTGGTTGAGCATCCCTGGGTTCAATCTCCAATACAAAAAAAGAAAGAACGGAAGGAAGATAAACAAACCTAACTATTGGCTGTGATGTGGCTCCGCGGTGGAGCACTTGTCTAGCATGCATGAGGCCCTGGGCTCCATCCCCCGTGCCTCCCCCATAAACAATTTAAGTCCTAACTGCTGAAACACGTTGTTTGGATTGGGGATCCATCCGCACCTAGTTGTGGCAGCAGCTCCTGCTCCAAGTCTGATGAACCCTGAGTGGACGGCCCCCTTGCTGACTGGACACTGTGGACAGTCTCCAGGCAGTGAGGTGGAACCCACTCAGGAGTCAGTGGTCTGCAGCGAGCCCTCGGTGGGCTCTTGGCCCTGGCCGTCTTCCCCCAGCCCCAGACTCTTCACCGTCACCACTCTTTAGTGACAGCCAGCGCTCTCGGAATAAGACATCAGCCCTGAGCACGCTCTGCTGGGCTCCGACAGGCCTGGGTGCCGCGGAGGAGGGCTGCGGAGAGGCACCTGGAGTTCCCTCCTGCTGGGCAGACAGGGCGGGCAGCCAGGGGGCTGGGGGAAGGGGAGACCAGCGTGGGGTCAGCAGGACCAAAGGGGACACCAAGCGGGGTGCGACCAGGGAGCCACCTAAAAGCAGCTCTGAGAAGAGGAGTAAACGGAGGCTCATTTCACCAGGACTCTCCTCTGACCAGGTCAGGGTTCGGAATTTCACCACGTGCTTGGGACTGACCTTGAAAGGAGCAACGAGAACGGCTTAGGGTGGAGCTTCCAGAGGGCAGTTTTTTCCCCTTCCTTTTTGGTTCAGGTGGGGAATTAAATCATTCTTTGCTATTCCATTAGCACTTTTAACAAAATGTCCACAAATTCTTTTTACTTGTTTCCCATTGAGAAGTGGGATGTAGGCTTTCCCGCTTCAGTCTGCGCAGGTCCTGTGGACTGGCCATCCACTGCCCTGTCACAAATCACCTGACACTCGTGCCTCGAAACAACAGTTATCCTCTCCACACTTCTCAGCAAAGAAACCGTCAGTGAGGTGAACAGAGAGCCTGCAGGACGGGAGCAAATCTTTACCACACCACATCAGACAGGGCACTGATCTCCAGGATCTATAAAGCACTCAAAAACCTAACACCAAAAACCCAGATAACCCAATCAATAAATGGGCCAAGGACCTGAACAGACACTTCTCAGAAGATGATATACCATCAATCAACAATATATGAAAACATGTTCATCATCTCCAGCAATGAGAGAAATGCAAAGCAAAACTACTCTAAGATTTCGTCTCCCTCCTGTCAGAATGGCAGCTGTTAAGAATACAAACATCAGTAAGTGTTGGTGAGGATGTGGGGAAAAGGCACACTCATACATTGCTGGTGGGACTGCAAATTGGTGCAGCCAATATGGAAAGCAGTGTGGAGATTCCTTGGAAAACTGGGAATAGAACCACCTTTTGATCCAGCTATCCCACTCCTCGGTTTGTAGCCAAGGGACTTAAAATCAGCACCCTGTCGTGACAGCCACATCAATGTTTACAGCAGCTCAGTTCATAATAGCTAACTGTGGATGCCCTCGGCAGATGAATACATAAAGAACCTGTGGTCTATATACAGAATGGAATATTACTCAGCACTTCAAGAGAAACAAATCATGTCATTTGCAGGTAAATGGATGGAGTTGGAGAATATAATGCTAAGTGAAGTTAGCTAATCCCCAAAAACCTGCGGCCAGATGTTTTCTTTGATATGAAGCTGCTGACTCACTATGGCCATGGCAGTGGGGGGGGGCATGGGAGGAATGGAGGGACTTTAGAGGGGGGACTTGGGAGCGGCTCAGCTGCTCTGGCCCACTCTCAGCTACCTTCAAGATTGCTTGGTCCCCAGCAGGAGGCCTCAGCTCCTCACCAGGTGGACCTTTCCATACGGTGTTGGAGTGACTCATGACCTGCCAGCTGGCTTCAGTGATGACAGATCATCACCTGCTCTTGGAGGTCACATTTCTGACCTAGTCTACTCATCCTGAGTCACTCGGAAGAGAAAGACAGTTTGTTTCCTCCCTTGGAAGGGTGCCATATCAAAGAACACTTATTCTGAAACCACTGTACCCTGTGACTTCCACCAAATACAACCCGGAGAAGTGAGGTTGGGTGATTCCAGAAGCTTCTTCATTGTTATGGAGACGCTTGGCCCTGAAGACCGAGTCTCCATGTTAGAAGTTGACTACCCTGAAGCCACCATGCTGTGAGGAACCTGGGGCCATGTGGAGAGGCCATGTGTAGGTGCTCCAGTGGACAGCAGCATCAGCTGCAGACCTGTGGCAGCAAAGGAGCGGCCGATGCCCCAAGCCCGAGCTGCTGTGTCACTGGAAGACATGGCCCGGGCATCGTGGAGCAGAGCTGGATCACCCTGGCTGAGTTCCTAACCCACGAAATCCACGAGCATGCTGATCGCTTGTCCTAGGACACTCAATTTAGGGGCTGTTTGTTACGCAGCCTTGGGAACCGGGGAGAGGTTCCCAGCGTTCTGTCCCTGTGGGCTCAGCCTCCAGTGTGTCCAGAAGGCACTTTCCCCAGCCATCTCTCCATTTCGCTGACCCTCCTGCACTTTACTTTGTCCCTTGGACTCTGAAGAGAGAAGTCTCATTATAAATAGTGGCTGCTTCGCTTTCCACAGCGCACAACAAGCAGACCTTGCCCAAGCTCACGCTGCTGCTCGGTGGAGCAGAGGCCTGAGGGGATATCGCCGATGGAGTCCCCGTGCAGTGGTTGGAAGTAGTTCAAGTGATTAACGGGAATAGCTTTCCTTTCTTTCATTTTTTGCCAAACCACCCACCTCCAAGAGTCCCACAGCCCACATAACGTGTCCCTGAAATACTGAGGAAACCCCCCGTGTGGCCCCAGGACCTAGGGCTGCATCCGTCACAGGCAGCCTGCGGCCTGCAGGGCCAGGCTGTGCAGGGAAGGGAAGCCCAGGGCTCATGGGAGCGGCTGGCGGTTGCCAAGTAAGGCCTTCCCTCCCCAGACCTGCGCTGCTCTTTGCCCTCAGCCCCTCTGGCCCTGGGCTGTGGCTGTGCAGTCCACACAGCGGTGTGGTCACATGGAGTCCCTCCCAGGGCTTTGTGGGGTCAGAAAAAAAGGAAGCTCACGTGGGGCCCTTCCTGGGCTGCTGCTCTCCTCACCTCTGTCCCTGTTCTTTACTCCAAGTGGCAGGTGGTGGGATTTTGTCAGCGTGACTGTGACAATGTCATAAGAATCATCAGGCTGTTGTGTACATTCTTAGTTCCACCATGGAGTGAAGTTTCGGGGTCGGGGTTTCCATTTGGGGTGTCCTGCAGGGGCCTCCCAGTAGGTAGGGCCTCGCAGTGTGTCTCTCCCCAGCAGGAGAGAGACCCAGAGGGGCCGAGCGTCACACTCAGTCACAGACACATGCTGAGGGGCTGGGGGCAGAAGCCGAGCTTCAGGGATGGACACGGGATGACCTCTTCTCTCTGCTCTACAACATGGTGACTGTAGTTAACAGCATATCACACACCTGAGAGTTCACAGACATACAGGAGGGGGAAGGGAACCATGAGCTGGACACATGCTAACTGGCTTGACTCAGCCATTCCAAAATACATGTATATTTAAAACACCAAATTGCAAACCACAAATATACTGTATCCCATTTTTATTTGTCAATCTAAAATAATAATTGAAGATTTTAAAAGAAAGAAGCCATCCCCGAATAAGAGAGTGTGCCCTATATTGTTCCATTTGTGTGAAATTCTAGAGAACTCAAGCCAATCTGTAGTGACAGCAAGGTCAGCATGGCTTGGGTGGGCATGGGAGGGGGTGAGCTGCCAAGGGGCGCTAAGAGGCCTTGGGGGGGTGTCTGTGGTCCCGAGTGTGGCAGCTTCACACATGTGCACACGTGCCAGCTCCCTGCCTGGTGACCTCCCACCCACCCTTCCAGCCCTGCCTCACTCTGCAGTAGGGCAGCTCCTTGGTCCTCTCTGGGCCTGGAGCACCACTCTGGGGAGCACTTCGCACATGGTTTATTATGTCAAGGTATGAGTTTCCTGTTGCTGCTGTTACAAATCACCACAAACTCAGTGGCTTAAAACAACATGAACTTATTCTCCAACAGCCCTCGAAGTCCAGAGTCTGAAACAGGCTTTATGGTGCTTAAACTCAAGGGTCCGACAGCCTCCAGAGGAAAGCCACAGGCGAGAACCTGCTCCTTCCCTGCAAGACAGACATGAGCCCGCAGGGGCTACCGGGCCAGACAGACGCTCTCAGAGAGCAGGATTGGATCTTGTTGTTCATGTCCCTTTATTTCTAGATTTTGAGATGATCAAATCATGTATTTCAAAAACACTGGGTCCAGCCCTCCCTTGGCACGAAGGTCCACTCAAGGGCAAATGCATATCCATCTTATGACAGCCCTGGGAGGCCAGCTGGTACCCTTCCCTGATCCCACAGACACTTGGGCATGGAGAGGTGAGGGGCAGGCCCCGGGCCGAGGAAGAGAGGATTTGAGCTCAGGCAGTCTGGCTGCAGAATCCTGTGGTTTTTCCTTCCTTCCTTCCTTCTGGGGATGGAACCAGCGCCTCGTGCTTGCTGGACAAGCTCTCTACCACCGAGCTGCACCCCCGGGCCCCAGAATCCCATTCTTAATCATGCCACTCTGCTGGCCTTGAAATGCCAGTTTTAGGAATGACTGACAGACTGATGGGAAATATTTCTTTTCTTTTTCTTTTTCTTTTTTTAAGAGAGAGAGAAGAAAGACAGAGAATTTTTTAATATT